CACCTTGTTACCGTACTCCGTACTCATTCACCCATACATTCATTGTGTGTGTATGTGTGAAAAGTTACCATCACCCGAACCGACCAAAACCAAAGGTGTGTCTGCATGGCAAGTCGCTCACAATTTTAACACCCGGTCTATTCATTCATTCATTCCTTCGTTCAGACAAGCAGACATATCCACACGCCTCGTCTTGAACTGTGCTTCAGTCCTGCTAAGGGCCCCCGGCACTCAACCAGACTACATGTGTTCAAAAAGATACCACCACCCGAACCGAACCAAACCAGGGCATGTTAACCACACCTTTCATTCGTCCATTCATTCATACATCCAATCATTCACGCAGACAAAGAAATGTAAGCACACGCGCCTGCCCTGCAGTAGTGTGGCCCGGCACAATGTATCGAGCCCTACTGTGTACCAGCTACTACAGTAGCACCCCTAGGAATCAAAAGCACTCGAAAGGAGGCGTTTTTATACTGAATGAAAGGCCTTTCTGCCAACTTGACAGCCAATTCGACACCCTGTCAGGCTAATTCGATACCCTGTCAGGCCAATTTGACACCCCGAACAGGTCAATTCGATACCCTGTCAGGCTAATTCAATACCCTGTTAGGCCAATTCGGCACCCGGACAGGCCAATTCGACACCCGGACAGGCCAATTCAGGCGCAGCACAGCCCAATTCCGAGGCTCCACAGCGCAATTCGAATACCTCCGGCGGGTCCGCCAGAACAATTCCAGACCTCGGCAGACCAATTCTTTTGTCAGGAATAAAATCCAGGCTAATTCTGCGACAGAGCTCTTCCCTAATTCCAGCCCGAATCCTACCCTCCTGCAGACGTGGGCGTGCAACACCTAAGCAAAGCCTGAGCTCATTCTATCCAGCAGTTAAGTTGCGTTTCCTGATTAAGGCGATCAGGAAACGCAATTTAACAGGAGCAGGTCTCTGTGTGACACCCGCAGCTCACCCGTTAATGAGCAGCCCAGCGTAGTTGGATTATGATGTTACACCGCTTTGTAGTGCCAGGGATACGAGGCAGGCTTTTTGTGAGGATCCAATGATGCTCGATTTCTCACCAACATACTCTTTTGGAGAAACTCAGTCCAGTGAGGCACGTCTATTGCGTCACACGTGTGACAGTTGCGTACCGAACACAGGCGACGGTTGCAAGTGCAATGACGGCTCGCAAAAGGTGTACACCGATTATTGGAATCATGGCCGGTCGGCTGTTTAAGGACAGGCGACTTATCAAGGACGTGATTCTGAGGCGGCGAAGCACGCGACTCGCCTTGTTTCGGCATGATGTGCCGATTACACCGAAAATGTTTATGAAGCAAAACTATCGCAAGATATTTGACTGTATAAGACTGAGAGCCCTTGCGAACTGCCTTCAGTTTTGAACTTTGGCGTCACCACCGAAGTCACATCCGTCGTACATCCAACCGCTTCGATAGTACTGCTCAGCCGCGCCAATGTTCCCAAGCCATTGTTGTCTTAGGAAAGTGCATGAGTGCAGGGCGCATATGCAACATCACAAATTATTGGATAGGTCCATCGAGATAGCTGTATACTTCCATGAGTTCTATCCCATCGTTAACCTGATTTAAAGCTCTAAGCTGTGAGAAATTTAACCATACCATGGTGAGTTATAGGATCAAGCCTGAAGGGTGTTGTTCTAGTGTGCGCTTGGGCCTTAGAGTTATAGTACTTTTCGCGGTATAAGCAGTATACATCGTTCCATCACCTTAGCAGCATGGCTAGAGGTTAGGACCCTGATAGGAATCTGCGATGCTACGAGGGTCTAGGGGTTTTTGCGTGCCGCGTCCTACACCCTCAAGACTCTGAACGCCCCAACTTTCATTCAAAGCTTGTTTGTCACCCTGCTTCTGTTATGCAGACTGACGCAAACGCCAGCCTATCTCAAAGTCGGGTGAGCCTCTCGAGGGCCAGCAATGACTGAAACTCTTGCTGTGGGTAGTTGTTGTTATTGCATGATTTTAACATAGTTTGTAAGCTGAGACTATGGGTTTGGTGCACCTAACGTGGAAGTGATGTCCCCCTCGAGGTGTTTCCAGGATATGCGCACGTCCTTGGTCATTGCCATTGCCGCGCGTCCTCAGACTTTATCCTAATTTAACACAAGCTATATGGGTTTTCCATGGTTGAAGGCATTGTTGCAGAAGCAGAGAAAACTGTCAGAGGAGGTTACAGACTAGCTGTCTCACCAATCTTACCTGTCCCTCGTGTTTCCGCCCTGCACCCGCATCACAGCTGGACGAAACTGGCGATTCCCGAGACTTAAATGGAGTCAGCGGTGGCAGCTTCCGCTCTAATGCAAGCTCTGGGACGGGTTCAGGAGGACGCACTGGGCTCTCAGCTTCGCGCCTAGACGGCAGCGGCCTTGACGGCACCACCTCTATCGCCTATTCTGATGATGCTTCTCATCGACACGGTAAAGCGCATGGCACCCAGTCGGCCGCGGCTTCGCAGCGCGGTACATCTATCGGCCACAGCAGCGCACTATCGCAGAGCAACATGGCCGGCTCCGTAGTCGGCAAATCGGGCGAGGACGCGGATAAGTCTGAATCCGAGTCCGGGAATATCCCGGGGGAGTCAGAGACTGAGTCAGACGAGGGCGGCGGGGATAGCGCCTTCGTGTCCGGTTCCATCTTGGCGTCTGAGCGCTCTGGAGCCAGCAAACCGCGCGTGGCAGCTTCGCCCATGACCTCTAACCGTGCGCCCTCTGCCACCAGCGGCCGCGGAGACGGCAGCCGCCTCGCCTCTGAAACCAACTTCGCCTTTGGTGAAGCGGAGGAGGATGTCGGTTCTGTGGTTTCCAAGGCGGCGTCCTCCTCGGCAGGGCCCGCCTACCGATCACCCTCCCTGGCCAGCGCAACTGGCCGTGGCAGCCGAACGGGTTCAGAATCAAGCCGCAGCATGGTTGCCGGTGATGATGACGGCAATACCTCGGTGACAGGATCTGTTAGCAAGGCCAGCAAGACCCGAAGTTCGCCGCTATCGCACCGTTCAGGAACCGCTGGGGGACCCCCCGGTAACTCGGACAGTAACCTGGGATTCAGCGGCTTCAGCATGCCCGGTACCAAAAGCACCGCCGCCGAGGATGACAATGGTTCGGTCACAGGCCGGTCACACAGGACGACGACTGGGGCTGGCAGCGTGGTGAGCGGCAGCCGAGATGGCACGTCGTATGATAAATATGAGGATGAACCGGCGGCGACAGCGCCGATGCCGACGCGCCGGCGGTCGTCATTTGCCAGTTCGCTGCGCCAATCAGTGGCCTCTCACAAGACCATGTCGCCATCAGGCAGTGATGAGGAGTACAGCCGCAGCGGCAGCGGTGAGGGAGATGGTGAAGTTACGGGCGGTGTGAGCATGAGCCAGAGCCGTTTCGGAGACGACGCCATGAGCACACAATCCGAATACAGTGGCGCTTCGTCGAAGGCCCGCAGCGGTGCGTCCGGCGCAACTGGCAAATCGGGCCACTCCGCAGCGCCGTCATCACACACAGTGGAGAGCGCACGTTCACGCTCTACAGGGGGCACGAAAAATGATGACTATGACGAAGACAAGTTTGAAGAGGAAGAGGTCCCTGCTGAGGATGACGAGGAGGAGCAGCAGAAGGCGAAGTCCGAGGTGGGGTCGATGGCGGCAACATCGTCTGCGGGAGCGAGCGAGAGCGTCGTCACCGCATCGTCAGTAAGTGGGAGGAGCAGCCGCGTCCCAGCCGCAGGTGCATCAAAGCAGACAAGCCCCGGCAGCGGCCGGCCACAATCGGCGTCAAGCCGCCAATCCAACCGCAGCACAGCACGACCGCCGCCGTCAGCGGCTGCCGCATCCAGCGCAGCTGGCTACAGCCAGGAGTCATTCGACGGGCCCAGCAACAGCGACCGCCATACGCCTGCTGCAATGTCCATTGCGCCAACGAACGATAGTGGTGACCTTCAGCACCACCACCATGTAGACGATGATGGTGCCGGGAGCAGCATCAGTGCGGCCGGTCGTAATGTCCATAGCCTCCACCACGTCAATATGAGCGCGAGTGGCAGTATCTTCCAGCCACCGCCAAGCGGGGGCACCACACCCAGCAGCCGCGGCGGTCGCAGCGGGGTCTCCATCTTCCGCCGTCTGCCTGCGGATGCGCCAGATGAGGTGGACACCGGCAGCGGCGTCGCCAGTGCGGCAACCGGCCTGCCGCCGCGCTCACCCTCTGTCCGCAGCTCTATGGCCGGAGGCGCCGGAGGCGCCGCCACGGATAACGGTGACTGGAACGAAGGCGCCATACGCGTCGCGCCGCCGGGGGCATCGCGCTTGGGCAATGTACGGCTGGGTACGGAGCACAGCGCGGGCGCAACAGCTGCAGCAGCCGCCGGCACCCGCGTTCGTCCCATGTCTGCGGCGCCGCGTGACCGGCAATCGGCATTGCTGGATGGCCTGATCCGAAAGCATCCCGCAACCTGGGACACCGTTGATGTGGCCACTTGGGTGGATTTCCTGGGCCTGGGGCAGTACCGCAGGTGGGCTTCGATATTGGAACCCCAGCTCCGAGCTAGATAAACACTAGGCCAATCCTAAGTTAGGTTGAATCTTTCTTGTGGTCGAACTGCTTACGGTGCGCTAACTCTCCTGCTTGCTGGAGTACAGATGCCGCTGCGGATGTTCACGCGTCCCTCGTCTGAACCCAAAGCATCCGCGGCTGACCTCTCGCAGTGTTTGTGCTGATCATTTGACCTCTACCGCATCTATGCAAACGCCACTGTACGCTGTCGCAGGCGCTTTCTACACCACTGCATTGACGGCCGTCTGCTGCTACGGCTCAACGACGCGCAGCTCAAGACAGAGTTGGGCATCGGACCCATGGGCCATCGCGCTGCAATTTTGGATGCAGCAGCCAACCTCATCAAGAACTACAAAGAGGCGCAGCACGACCGCATTGCTGCCGGAGAGATTGGCGCCGAGGATGACGACGATGCTGTTGCTGACGCAGCAGCCGGCAGTCGCCAGGACGGCCAGCGTTCAAGCACCGCCCCGCGGCCGCGGCCAGCCAGTGCCAGGCCCGGCGCACTGACGATGCCGCCGCCGCCGCCAGGCGCCCGACGGCCGGCGTCAGCGTCGCGTTCGGTCATACCCCCTGATCCCTTCCTGGGCCCTGCCATGGGCAAAATCACGGTGTACGAGCAGCGGTCCAAGTTGCTCTTTGAGCTGGACCGCGCACAGGTAGGACATGGAGGATGTTGCTAACCCTTGCAATGGTTTCGGCAATCGAGATCCCAACCGTGCGACTGTTGAGGAGCCCCATGGCTATGATGACCAGCGGAGCTACCCACAGTAACCTTTTTGACATGCACCCCATCCCATCCCGCCGCATGGTCCCCATGTGCCTTGAGAGTGGGTCATCAACAGGTGGCTTGACAGGGAAGGGGGTGGCGCGTCGAGTATACGATGCCACCCAGAAACATTTTGCTGCATGACCGCGCCTCAGTCTGCAACGCATCGTGTAACGTGTATAGCACTGCTCGCCTTTCCTGCGCCCTTGTTCCTAATCACTGATGCCCGGGCCCTCTCTTGACATGTGCGACAGGCCCGCGCCGAGCAGCACCGTGCACTGGCGGAGCAGCTACGCTACACAGCTACGCTCTCATCTGAGGAGGTAGCCCACATCCGGGGCTTGCTGCTGGAGATCGAGAAGAAGAACCGCGCCGCCTTTGACCTGTCAGGCACCTTGGACTCGGCAGCACGCGTCCCGTGGCGCCACGTGGGCAAAGGGACCAAGGTATGGTGGCTGGTGGTTGTTGGTTGGTGCATTATTAGGGACGTCTGCATCGTTGGCTTGCTGGGCCCGGCACAGCTCGGGTGGATTCGAGGGCGGTACTGGTGCGGTGGTTTATTGTCGATGTTTGGTGTTGAATACCCATTTCTTCCCATGTGTGTACTGACCGCCCAGTGCTTCACCCAGTGCTTCACCCTGGCTTGTTCAGTGACATTCTTACACTTGGTCGTCAGTTTATTCCTCTTTAACCCTCCATCATACAACATTATAACCGTCTCCGCTATTCGGCTATCCCGCCCGGACCTGCAGCTCAACAACTGGTACCCCGAGCGCTTCGGCCGCCCCGGCGATCCGGAGACCGTCGATCTGACCTTCCAGCCGCGGACCAACCCAGAGAGCCGGAAGATGCTGGGAGGTGGCGACTACGGGGAGAATTCGGGCGCGGTCAACTCGTTCCTGGACCGTCTCAACAATGACCTGCGCAAGCGCGAGCAAACACGCAAGGTTCGTTGTATTCGCTGTGTCCGGTGTGAGCGGTGTTTTGGTTGGGTCGGATGCATGCCACTCTTGTTCCGTTCCATGTATTTAACATCGACCCCCTTTTTACATAAGGGCCTTTTGCGTTGGGTCACGCAGTCAGATTTTCTAAATATCCTCCACATTCCGCCGCGTCACATCAGCTGATGCAACGTAGGCTTGCAAGCGGTTATCTCTTTGATGTCTCAAAAGTACTCCCGGTAACACTCGTAATTGCACCTCCCCATCCCGCAGGAATTGGAAAAGCGCTATTACGGCGATAACGCCAATCCGATGTCCCAGGCGGAGTTGGACTTCAACCTGGTCTCGGAGCAGCTGCAGAGTCGCTGCCGCATTACCCTGGATCGCGACCCGGCCGAATACGAGGGGCAGATTGATGAGGTGAGCTAGAGCACTTGCGCTTGCGTGCAAGCACCCAGAACCCCTACATGGATAAAATTGCCGCATTACTACGCCGTCCGAGCCACCTGTGACGCCATCCCCGCTTTGCATTTATGCCCTGCCCCTTGCTTCCTTGCATGGTGTCGATACCAAACCCGCCTTCCTCCGTCTGGCCCGACCCGTAGGCCATGGATAAACTTCGTGCTGGCGAGAGCTGGCGTGAGGCGGGCCTTAAGGAGGGCCCCATCCGTGCCGCCAAGGGCCCTGCTAAGATTGCAGCCCTGGCTACCGCTCTGCGGTCCCTGTCCTTCATGGAGCGATACCGTTCAGACCTCAGGTCTAAGAGCGGCCGCATGCAGGTGCGTCTTGCAAGCCGACCCCCGCGCAGGCGAAGGCAGCCGAAGGGGCCGCGAACGTAAAGGACTTTCGGGTGGGATATGTGCTTTTCAGCCCCGCCATAACGAGTCCTAGGGCGACGACGGTGGCTTCAGCGCGGTGCCATGTCTTATCCGTAAACTCATCTGCCAGTTGCCAACCTGCGCGTGCTCGTGGTTGTCCAGCTTGGCTGTAGTATCGTTGCGGCTGCGTCCATCTGTGGCCCTTCCTGAGGTTAACTCCTCCCTTGCCTCTGTGTTAGCTTCCTGCGCCTGATCCGTGTGTCTTGGGGTTGCCATCAGACTCTGGAGCGCAAGTGGATCAACCAGACGCTGGGTGCTCAGTACCTTCCAGGCGGTAAGGACAAAGAGGACATGGAGGAGGCAGCCAAGTTCTTTGCTCTACTGGGTTGGCGCGATTCGGACGGCAGCCCATCAGAGGACGCAATTGACACGGACCTGTTGGACCGCCTTTTGGAGTGAGTTACCACGGTGGCCTGCAAATTTCCCGTGTGCGGTGGTAACACATCACAGGCTCCTTGATGGCACCATTGCACCCATCCGTACGTCAAAGCCTCTTCATGGCATCCTTCCTTCGTACAGAAGCCCGAGCCACTGCTGTTCAGCAATGTTCAAGGTGGCTGCTTTTCCCCTTGTCGCTCCCATATCCTCCTTATTCCGCAGCCGCGCGCTGGAGTATCGCAAGCGCTTCGACGCATGGTGGGAGCGCGTGCGTGACAAGGCCGAGGTGAGGGTTGTATAGAGGGTGACTGAGGATGAAAGGCAAAAGGTTTGTGAGCAGGGTGCACAGCGGGAGTTGCGTCTTGCTGCCTGTAATCCCGCTCTCCATTGAGCCGATGCTGAACCCCCTGAAGTTGTGTCCCTTTCCTTTCCTTCTGAGCGTTCCGGGCCTGTCCATGCGTGTCCTTGACCATTTGTAGGAGCGCGCAGCGGGCTTCAAATGTGACGTGAACTGGTTCTCTTCGCCGTGGGACACAGACGGCCTTGCTGTGCTAATGGATGCCGAGATGAAGCGCATGGGCGGTAAGCTAGACTGCGGCGAGGCGGACGGAAACGGAAGACAGGGCCCTGCCTTGCAGCACCGCTGGGGTTGCTGGCCGCTTGCCTAGCAGCTTACCACGTCACAGACACCGCGTTGCATTTCCATTTAACCCCATCAGGTCTTGCTAACCTATAAAGCATTGAGGTGCGGTTTGCGCCGGTAACCCTTTCGGATTCACAATCATGAGGTCCAACATGTGAACGCCCCGGAAGGATCAAGTACGGGGAGCCGGTTGCGCCCGATGTGCCGCAATTCCTCCTGAACGCGGCATTACTTCGTGTTACATGCACATCAGTGCGCCGGTGCTTCTATCCTGAGCAGCCCTTCTTCCCTTTGCATTTCATTATTTTTTTCCTCTCCCTTTGCAGACGGCGGCCGCGGCGCGGCGGGGGGAGGTGGAAGCATGGACTTTGTGGAGTTCACTGTGGGGCTGCTGGGCAAGTGCCGAGAGGACGACTTGCGCCGCCTGCAGGCACTTAACCCCAAGCCCAAGCGTCTGGGAGTGTACCGTGCGGTAAGGAATTCAGAACCTCGGGGGCGCCGACTGACCCTATATCACGCAGTTTCCCCACTATTCACTCGCTGTTGCCCCTGTCAACCTGGAATTCGGATTTGTTTCCCCAGATCCGAACCCAGAAATTCATCGAGTTCACGCAGCGGGACCTGGAAGAGCGGGACCGCAAGCTTCGGCAGGTGGGGCCCTGGGTAGGAACGGGGGGAGGGGCCCGGGTCGGAGCTTGGACCCGAAGCGAGGTTACGATTGGCACCAGGGGCCTGTGCCCCCATATTCTGGGTGTAGGGATATGGTGTGTAAGGTGGATGGGTGTAGGGAGCTGCTGAGTTTGCAGGAGGGGGGGGTGTTTGGGACCGTAACAAGTTCCAGGGTTCGCGGGGCCAACATGCTCTCACCATGGTGCTTGCCTGCAGGCTGTTTACCCGCTCCTGATGAAACCCCAAATAGCTGACCCGTCCGTTTCTGGGCATACTGCCAAGCCCTGCCCCATTCATTACGACCTTCCCGTCGCACCTGCACGTGCTTAACCTACATACCTTGGAGCTTCTACCCTTCCAAGGTACCTGATGCGTACTAAGGACAAAGCCCCTCGTGCGCTCCACACCGCTGTTCCTGCAACCTTGCAGGCTTACGACGCCTTGGCGCCCACACGCCGCAAGGTCGAGCCGACACGCATTGAAGGATTTTTTGAGCGCTTGGTGGAGGATGCAGCGCGGCGGCGAGCCAAGGCTGAAAAGATTGAGCACGAAAAAGTGCAGAAGGAGAAGGAGATTCTGCAGTCCTCAGTCATGTTTGGCAGGCTGCGCGCAGTTCGCTAAGAGGAGGAGATTCCCCGAGCAGTGATTGCTCTGCAGTGTCCTGGCGACTGCGCGCTGCAGCTGTAGCTGTAGCTGCGGCAACGGCAGCATGCCTATGAAGCGGTCGCGTAGTGCTAGTAATGCAAAGCCGCTGTGCTGTCATCTGTAGCTCTGGGGGCCGGTAGGGCATGGCTTCTGTGAGGCACCGATGAGGAGCTGCGTAAAGTGCGCGTGCAAGCGTTTGGGTGTGAAATCATGCGTATCTCCTATTGCATTTATAAAACCAAATTTTCTTGTGCGCGCGGGTACGTGGGGGTGACCTTGTGCCGATAGGATGTGCCTCCAATGTATGTTTTTGTTCTTGCTTATAAAGAAGACTGGGGACTTTCTTTAGCGAATGCGGAGCATTGCGTAATCTTCTGATTGGCCTTGACCGTATCCAGGTCAATGTTTAAACACGCAGCAGGTAGGGTAAAGCATATTTTGTAGTGGTTGGGGTGCAGCTGCGCGCAACCCCAAACCCGCTCCGAAGGGGACACTCAAGCAGGCGGCCTGCGCTATTTTTTACAAATTGTTCGTGCTGCAGGCCTGTAGACAGTCAGGCGGGTGGCCGACTGTCCAGGCGGGTTCCCAGTACCTAGCGGTGGAGGGCGACGAGTTTTTGTGGCTGCCTGCGAAATATCCGCGCGGTTTGGGCTATGGGGTGGTGCCGCACAAACCCAGGGGGCGGGGTTTTGGGTGGTGCCGGGCCCCCTGTCTCTTGTATTGTGATGAGTTGGCGCGATCGGGCCCGGGCTATGGCTGCTGCGGGCGTGTGTGGCTATGTTGCCGAACACCGCGATATTGTTTCCGATTGGCTTCTGGTGCGTGCGGTGATGGGCATGGCCGTTTGTTGTCGCATTTGTCGGCCGGCGCAGGGTTTGAGGAGCACTGAATGGCGAGGGTAGGGTGTTGGCAGGGGTCTCATTATGTTGGTGCGGTTGAGCTATACTGGCAGGGGTTGTTCTGTAGGTTGGCCGCGAACTGCTTCGGAGCATTTGCGCTGGTTGACTATGCTGGCCAGAATACCTTGGTGGATGCCTTTTGGAGGAGGATTGCGGTCAGGATTCAAGCGATGACGCCAACTGAAACAGATGGCGTATGGCGGAAGAGAAGTACGGATGGTGTGGGGACATGCAGGCTACCTATTGTCCCAACAGAGGCAGATCCGCTTGGATCTTCATGCCGTTTCTTGGATGCATGGCAGGTGTGTTTGCGTGAAGCGCGTTGCAATGTGAGATATACGTGACAGGGATTGCAGCCCTTGCGGTGGCGTGAGCGAACGTGGTTAACTAGGGCCCTGATGCGTTGGGTCCCCGGGCTGCCCTTGACACACTTTAACTAACGCAGCCTCGTGCTAGCCTCACTAGCCTCGATCCTGTTTGGCATTGGGAAGTTGGCGAGAGGATTTGCCGCGTCTGCCTGTTCGCCCAGCTGCATGTCTGCTTACGATTACGCGGTGCAGGGGTATGCAGGAACTGCCTGAAGCAAGCTGGGTTGCATGTCTTTCGCAATAAGTTGCAGTTTGACACAGCAGGAGGGTGCATGTGTACATGTGTGTGGCTACGTATGCTGTGAACGCGATGGGAAGGCTGTGGTGACGGCTGCGGTAAGGTGTTCGTGTTGCGAGGTTATGAAAAAGTGGTATGGGCGTCTCTGGACGTGCTGCCCTCGAGGGACCCTGGCGAGGGAGGGCGCCTGTTGCGCTTGCCCTGCGTGCTGAATATAGCCTGCGTGCCCACATGCCTGGTCTCGAGCTTATGCGTTCGCTCTTGTGTCCATTTGCTGTATGTCCGCTTGTATGTCGGCCACGCCTTTGATCTGTCCGGGCGCGTTTGGGGCTTGCATGAGGGCATATGCACTGCGGGCATATCGAAGCCCTTCTGGCGATATGCGTCCGCCGTCCCGTCCATGTATTAAGGTGCTTTGCGCGTCTTTCCACGTAAGGTGTGTGCATGCTCAATCTTGCCGGTGCAAGTCCATGTCAGCATGTGCGCATATTGTGAAGCCGGATCATGTGACGACCTGGGAATTGAATTTTACTGGTACTTTAGGAGTGTGGTGCCTGGGCTACATCTAGGCCAGTTAGCGCCCGGCCCTCGTGTGTTTGGGGCCCTGTGGGTGCGGACTCGCTCGCTTCTTGCGTACCCATCTGGCGAAGCGGCCCGCTTGCGCATGTGGAGCCGGGCCAGGGTTTTATGTGAGCCCTAGTCTGCAATCTCAAAGCCAGCTGAACGCGTGGCATAGGCACCTTGGTGGGTATGTCACAAGCAGTCTGCGGAGGTCGCAGCCTCTGCACACCTGCTGCAAAGTCACCGCCACACGTTTCCAGGTGTTGGTTTGTTGCCCGCCGCATATACCTGTTGAATAGTTGAATCGCAGGTCGTAAGTAATGTCGTTACGGTAATCCAGTCATCTCTTCAGGGACTTAATGTCTATTGCCCTGTCAAACCTGTTTGTGTGCCGCTCCTCCGGCGGCTCGTATTTGCCTCTTAACAGTGTGTGCACTTCGAACAGCTTGGTGCTTGCTCCAATGCAGGATTGTATGATTAATCCCATCACTGAGAATTGCTGTGCTAGTGCGCAGTTGGCTGAACGCTTGTTGCCTTTAACATCCAGAGGTTCACATTTTCCCTTTCCACATTGTTTTTCAGGCTGTTCCGCCGGAAACATTTCTTGTGGCCAGTAGGGCTTTTAAAAAAGTCAAAACGTACAAGATTGACCAGGCAGGGCTACGAAAGTTTTGCTGCTGCAGGCACGCGGATACTCAACTCAACCCCTCCGCCCACAAGTGCAGGGGCTCCATAACAAGCACCTGAACATACTCAAACCATACCCCAGACGGTAGGCTCATGGTCGAAGATGGCTGAGAGGTGCAGTCCTAGCAGAGCACAAGTTACACATTTCCCATAGGGGCACCATCTGCACAACTGGACCTCGCCCTCAGAGAAAGTGTGCGCCACACTCATGAGGAATCCGCCCGCAATTTGGACTGCCAAGCATATGCGCGCTACCTTCATTATCTTTTCAGCATCAGAAATGTGCCATCCTTGCAGCTTCAATGATAGGACATCTTTTGTGACCAGCTTTTATCAGGAGCCAAGCCGCTGACATGTCTTACCTGAATTGCCTGAATTGAGGGTCTAAGCGATTAAGGGCCTTGGACGACCGGTGTAAATTATGTCGTCAACCCAGGAACAATGCATACCGTCGTGCCAAAGCGGCGATAAGCATTTATAAGGGAAGGTATGCTTCTATGAAACAGGCCGACCCATGCACCGCTTCGTTTGCGGTTGCAGTCCAACCTCTGATCCGCTGCAGCCTTGTTATCCCGCCTGGATAGAGCCCAGATACGGCGGCGAGCAGGAAGGATGGCGTTCAGCCGGATTATGCAGTGCGTGTGGGGGGTTAGATGAATGGGTCTGTTGGCATGAATGGCAAGCAGGATATTAAGTATGCTTTATGTAAAGTTGCATCAGGCAGCCTTGTCGTGAATCGCCTAAAGCGCTTCTTCATATTTATTCGGTTCCCCTTGCAAAGTGAAAACCTTGAGCCACCGTATCGGCAACGACGCCCAAAAACCAGCGCAGCCCCAACCGCTCCGCACGCCCCGTTTTAGCTTAAGTGGCAACCGACGCAACCAGTCCAGCATGAAGCACGAGTTGCCAAATACGGAGGCAGTCTAACTTATCTTCTGCATAACATGTTTCAGGTCGCTTTGTCACATCAAATAGCGACCTAGTCACACTTACCAGGAGCCATGAGACATATGGAGATACATCAAAACGACAGCAAATCTGTTAACATGTGTATAAGAGGCATTGCGACGCCTTATAGAATTCAACAGCGCTGTGTTAATTGAGAGGTCGAGGTGGCGTCCAAATGCTCAGATCGCGTTCACGAGCCCGCAACAGGGACATTATACCAATAACGATTCCATCGGTAATTTCACAGCGATGTGGAAAAGCAGTTGCAGCTGATGTGAACAACGAGACGTTCACAGAACCGACGTTCATAAAAGACCAGATTTTTACCCGCATATGCATTGCTATGAAATGGCTCACTTCTACGGACAAGGCACGTCCAAGTTTCAGGCTGCAACTGACGGGGAAAAACATGACATAGAGGCTGAAAAAATCAACCCCAATAAGTCGTAAGTCCATGCCCCAAATAGCGTAGATGTATTCACATTAGTCGCAGTGTCAGTGGATGCTGATTTTGCTGGCTGAAGTCTTTTCGGAATGTCCATGGGTAGTGGAGAGCCGGTCTTTGCCGTTCTTGTCCCAAGGCTAAAGTACAGAAAGAAGAATAACATTTAAAACACTAGGCAATGCGGACGGTCAAGCGAGACAATGCGTTTTGCCGCCCTTTTGGGTTGGTAGCTCTGGTAGCGCTGGCTATACCCGTACGGCAACGCTAACAAAGCCTTGTTTCTCGGGCTTAACGTTACACGCCGTACAGCGCATTATGCTGTTAGGCCGTAGGTTCGTTGACTAACCTAGACAGACGTTTTCCTTGCTAGAGTCAGCGCACAAACAGGCGCCGATACCCTCATTTGGGCCAGTGGGTCCTAGCTCTGACGATTACTCTATGCACGCAAATTTTACTGCACCTATATACCTAAAAATATATACAACAACTCAGGATAGCAGGTGCATTTGTGCCCAAAGGGCTCTACCTGACAGGCATATTTTGAAACTGACGCCCAGCGCTTGGCGACATTTCGTGGTTAGTGAAAGTAGTTGTTAAATACCAGTAGGAATTGAGTTGTACACATCATTTCAAGCTGGCTATTTGGTCAATCAGGCGCGTGCATTGAGGAGCGTGGGCGAGGGCATCAACACCATCAACGCTTGCGCTTGTGCATTATCGCCTGCGCCAAGTCCAACCTGTTTGACTCCTGTGGGTTTGCCAGCAATGTTTGAATGAACAGGTGAGGAGGGTGTGGATGCTTGGCAGATCAGGGAGATAAGGCGGAACTTGGACTTTTCAAGTGTTCTGTTCTGGGCAGAGGGGGGCCAAGGTAGGGTGCGTCAGCCAATGGTCAAGGGTCAAGGTATGCGGCACATTTACATTCCATCACAACTCATGGAAAATTTGGGTACGCTTTCCTGGCAAAACAACCTTTGGACTCAGACAGTTGGTTGATGAAATCTTATCACGGCAGCACTCTAAACTAGCTGCAGTCCTTGCTTGTTCTCATCCTTCAAACCCGGGCAGGGCATTGCAGCTGGGCCAGTCCAGCTGGAGTGCACGACAGTGCGGGCAAACAGAAGCGGTTGTCTTACAGCCGGTCTGTGCACACTGTAGTTCTCTCCTCACAACTCAGGGCGGGTTCGCAACAGATTATCCGGTTATGCCCATAGACGTTGGAGTTGCCGTGATACTACCTAGCCACCAAACCGAACGTAGCTAGCATTGCTACTAGGCAGGGCTCAAGCTATCTCAATCTCTGAATAGCCTTCTTTGCAAATTATATATTTTCCTGGTGAATGCGAGCCATGGCCGACAAGGCGATAGCATGCTTGCTTCCCATGCCTTCTGCGTTCTCGACGTATAATTCACCGATGTGCGCATTTACTTACACCTTAACACCTGCTGCAATTGTTTCAGCACAGTAGATAAGCTGGGGTAGTCTTGCCATAGACCTACTTCTTAGTTTGGTCATACCGATGCGCCCATATGGACCGATACCTACATAAACATGTCGATGGGCGGCTGCCTTTCCTATATGTGTAATAATTTTATGAAAAGGGCAATGGAATAAGCCTCTGTCGGCTCAATCGTTACGAGGAGTTTGTTGAGAAGCACATAAGGAAGCAGAAACCTAAAGTCCTGCTGCATTCCTGGGAGCTCATGCGGAAGTAGCAACTAGGGAAAAGTTATAACATTTCGCTCAGTTATGTCGTGCTATCCGATGAGACTATGTTGGGAAGCCGTTGGCGGTTGGCATTTCGCCGTGTCCATGCATACGGTTCCTAATACCAGCAACAAGGATGCAAGAAGCTTAGGTGGAGTTTAAGTTGGTCTAGAACCGCAAAGGGTTCACGCTTGCTCCAGGGTTGGCGACCCGGTAAGGACGTTCCTTTCACCCACTCCATGCGCACCGAAATCTCAAAAGGTTAACGAGAAAGGAGAGGTCAAATGCATGAGGAGGCCATTCTTGGCGTTAGGATCTTGACATTAGGCGTTCGGGACCCTGGGGGCGTACCCTACCTCCGGCCCTACAGGCTGGAGCATCTTATATACATCCCAACATGTAGGGGAGATGGGGAGTTGAGGCTCTCAAGTGCAATTAATGCGAGGCGTCCGTCGCCCGCCTCGCTCGGCGGGACGTGCCAAGACATCGCAGGCGGACCCTTCGTTGGCACAGATCCGAGAGGTAAAGGAAACTTAAATTCAATACTAGAATGTATAATATTGCTCGTGCAGACTTTTGGCTTGAAATCATTGAGTGCTCCAGTTTAGCGTTTCGCATGCCACTGATCCTCTGCGTAGAAGCCGGCCTCGAGCGCTCGACCGGTGCTTGTTCTGCAGCTCAATTTCACACATGTTTGCTGTGTTGTCCTATTCTGTCTGTCACGCTCTGGGCAACGGGAAACGGCGCACTTAGCAGACAACCGCGCGAAGGGGCGGCGTTCTCGTACTGGTGTTTATCGAAGTAATTTTGCGCACAACTTGCTTAGTGCTTTCGCTTCAGTTTTCGGTTATCGCAGCCTTACGCTGAAGCATTTCTTTTATGGTGTAAAAGCTCTCTTGGCACCCTCGCCGTTGTTGGAACTACACTGAACACTCACCCACACAGTTCTTCCATCTTCCCGTTGAGGAGGCCAGTGAGCAGCTTGGTGTCAATAAATCTAAGCTCAAGCGGCTCTGTCGGGAGAATGGAGTGTCACGTTGGCCTCAGCGCAAGCTCCAGTCCCTTGTCGCGCTGCGCCAGCACATACAGAACGATGACCGCCTGCTTCCACACGATCGGCAGGTACGTCATGTCTGGCTCTTTTAAGACAAAGGCAAAAAACGATTGCTCTTTATCTTCTTGCAATCGGCGATTCGGTGCCGTAGCTGGTGCTGCTGTTTTCACGCAGTGTCCCAGGAATGCGCCTCCTGTTTAGAAGTCCGCCATGCTCGCTGCCCACAATTATGAAAGACGCAACAACAACGAGCTGCAGTCGGGCCTGAAATGCGATGGCGGTGTGGCGCGTATGTTTGCAGCGTGGGCACGGCTAACAGCGTTTGGCTCGACGGCTGCAGCTTTAAATTCAAAGCTGGTTGCAATGCTCTTGCGGGGCCGCGAGAATGCTGCTGGAGGCCGTCAGTCGTAGCATCAGGCGTGTAGGTTTCATCTCCTCCATCTCCGTACGACACAGTACTCCATGCGGTCCCACAGGCGGTGCTGTCGAGGTTGGAGCTGCAGTGGGCGGCCGTGCTCGCTGATCCCGATAAGCCGCTTGAGCGCGAGTTTGAGGACATGCGGAAGAACTTATACAAGGTGAGAGCGGGTGCGGGAGTCCGGATGGCCAGTGAAAAGCGGCTTCGTGGTAGCAATACGCGAACAGCAGCCGCGCAGTTCTGCCGAAAAAAATAGTGTTTTCGGGTAATTTAGGTCGCGCCTGAGTTTGCAGTGTGGGGTCCTGATTGTGAGCGAGTGCACCTGTATGTAGCACCATAGGACCTACCGAACTCTCCGGACTCGTGCGGGGAGGACAGCCCGTCACTCGTGCGGGGAGGACAGCCTGCTCTCTTAGGGAAACGCCTCTAAGCGTCCTCTATGTGCGTGTATATGTATGAATGATTAGATATCCTGTTGGGCCTTTTTGCCGAGGGCGTCTACCCGGCCTTGAAGGGAGAGACCGCCCGAAGCACTCCCTCCGTCCAAGCTGAGGAGGGGCCTACCACCTATCGTCGATTGTTATGTTGTGCGTGAAAAAGTGTGAGACTCCGGGCGGAAATTGCCGCTCCTCATTATCTTGCCATGAGCGGATGCTATTGTTGTACGGCAATGCCTGAAGTATAGCAGTTGTTGGGTTAATGCCCAGCTAGCAGTACGTCTGCCATAGTTTGTACAGCGAGAGCACTTCCTTGCCATCCTGAAAACAAGTGCGTGGTCGTACACCTCGCCGTTACCCCACCGCTCCAGGTCCGGTACCAGAAGAGAAAGCAACAACGGCTGAGCAGCGGGTCCGGGTTGTGGGTCGGTGACGAGGGCGAGGTGGACGAAGGAGAGGAGGGAGACCCGGATGATGAAGGTGGCGATCACGACGAGGACGAGGACGATGACGAGGATCAGGAGGCAGCAGCAGCCGATGTCTTGCCGGAGCGTACCCGGCTTGAGGGGTCCCGCTCTGAAGCGGAAGCGGCCGCAAGCCCCAGGCGGCGGCGCCGCTTTGACCCTTCCAGCGATCTCGCCACGAAAGATGAAGCGGAAGATGTGGCTGGAACCGCTGCCGGTGGCACAGCGCCGTCACCATCGGCGTTACGTCGTCGGCGGCCGCATGGACTGCCACAGCCGCAGGCGCAGCGGAGACGTCGAGTTGGCCTGTTGGCGAGCTCTCAGCGAGCGCAACGGCGTCGGCGGCGAGCTCAATGGAGCACTAGTAGCAGTAGCAGCAGTAGTAGTGCCAGCCCTTCCGTTGGCGACAGCAGCGATGGTGGTACCCAGCAAGGAGCTGTCGAAGAAGGCGGCATAGCGGCCGGGGGCCCACACGGAGGCGGCAGCGAACACGGCAGCCGCAGCAGCAGCCGTCGCCGCCGCAGCAGCGGCGGGGGGGCCCCGGGCGGCGGCCAGCATTCTAGTGCTGCCGGTGGCAGTAGCAGGCTGAGAAGTGAAGTCCATGCAAGTCCGCAGCGGGCGCAGCAGCAACAGCAGCTGCTGCTGCGACTGGCTAGTTCAGGCTCGGCGCAGGGAGCAGTTGGCGGAGCTCCTCCCGAAGGGGACGCAGCCGCAACCGGTGGGCTGGGTCCTACAGAAGAGCCTAGGCGGATTAGTCTGTTTGGTTCGGGGCTGTCCGTACAGTCTGGTCCCGACAGGAGCGCTGTGGGGCCGTTGCAACGGATGCGCCTCAAATTGCGAGCTCCCACGTTGTCAAGCGCACCCCGCGACTCGCAATCCTCTCCGCCAACGCCACGACAACAGCAGCAGCTGCCGCTGCTGCCAAAGCAGGAGATGCTCGATTTGCCGCCGATGCCGCCACCACAAATGCAACTCATTGGACAGCAGTCGCCAACGGCCCCGCAGCCACAGCTGTCGCCTCCCCAGCGGCGGCGCGTCGAGCAGCAGGTGCTAGGCGGCGGCGGTCTGCCGCTCCCACGATCGCGGTCGCTCCCACAGAGCCGACGTACCTTGGAATCCCAGGTAGGGCTGTACGGAGGGCCATGGAGGGCCTTTTCCAATCGCACCGGGAATGGAAAGGAGAAGATCCGCCGTCGGCTGCCCGGGACAAACCTTGCACACGATCTCTGCTCGGTATCCTTTTGCACACTCAATAGCCGCTGCCGCTGAATTGCTTTCCTGTGTTCCCTTTCCCCACCCTCGGTGGTATCCAGCTCCCCGCTGCTGGTGCAGGACCACCCGGCGGATCTGAGCTGTACGGTGTTGCGCAGTACAGTAGTATAACACATGCCGAAATGTCCCAAGGCCCTCCCCGTGGCCCCCTTCCTGCGGTCCCCCCCGGGGTTACCCTGCCGCCGCCGCCGCCGCCGCCGCCTGCTAGCCGACCAGACAGCCCCGCGGACTCCAGTCGCGTGGGGCAGGAGGCTCCCGGCCTGCTCGTGCCACCGGGCTTTGCTCTCCAAGGGCCGGACCGCGCATCTGGACGGACATTCCGGGATGATGATCCCCTGCCGCTCCCGCTCCCTCCGCAGCAACCGCAACGGCAGCCGCATACTCTCCTGCGCAATCAGGATGTAGAAGTACGGAGGCAGCAAGGGGGTTCCGGATCTGGCGGTCAAAGTTGGCCATTGAGGATGGAGGAGCAGCCGCAGCAAGGGCAGTTTTGGCAGCAGCAGCAGCAGCAGCTAGCGGAGCAGTCATCATTGGAACGGCTCCAGCAACCACAACTACAAACGGTGCAGCCGCCGCCGCCGCGCCCGTGGTCGCAATCCGTTAGCAACGTGCAAGAGGCGCAGCTTTCTGGGCCTCAGTTAGGGCCATCGGGATCCGCTTCCGCCATGCCGTACGGCGGCGCATCGCAACAGCGCCTGTACGAGCAGTCCCAGCCAACGCTGCAGCAGCCGCAGACGCTATACGACGACTGGCGTTTACAGACCTCGCTGCAGCCGCTGCATGAACGCGCACTGCAGGGCCATCATCGCCCGGAGGAACTCTCGCCGGCTCGACAACGGCCGCAAGGTCTTGCGGGCCATGAAGGCCGTGTCGTGAGTGGTGAAGGCGGTGGTGGGGCCGATTTTCGGAACGCGGCGCAAGGCGACAGCGGCAGCGGTGGCGGCGACGATGAGGCCGCCCGGTGGCCGTCAGGTTTGCTTGCTCACGATGCGGGTGGCGGCGGTGGAAGTGGTGGTGGCAGTGGCGCAATGTACCTTGGGCCGCAGCAGGGCGGCCCCGGCCTGGAGCCGCCCAGTAGTCTACGAGAAGGGGGTTCAAGGGGCCTTCCTGCCTCAGGTGCCAGTCCCCCTGGCGCTGCAGCCGCTGCCCCCGCGCTGTCCACCGGCCACCCCCAGGCCCCAATGCCACTGCCTCCGCGATCCTCCCTGCAACAGCCGCAGCAGGAATTCCTAGGGGCCCCTCCGCCGGGGGCCCCAATGCCTCCGACACAGGCCACCAGACAGCTGCCGCCGCCGCAATTTTTCCTGCCGCCGCCACATATGCAATGGCGTTCCGCTCACCCTTTGCAGCTGCCGGCACAGCCACAGCCTCGGCCGCCCCGAATGGCGCCCGACCGGCTCAGCCCCGGACCCGCGGGTCGCCCGGGTGCTATGGGCCACCTGCTTGCGAGACACTCCTTTCCCCCGCTGGCCGCACCAGCGGCCTTGACGCCGGCCGATTCTCGACCGGCAGCGGCCGCCTCCTTAACCCCTTTCGCTGCAGACGCGGCCACACACGCGGCAGAGCCCGACCCCTCGACAGCGAGGTCCACATCCGACGCCGCAGCACCAACGGCAGCGACATCGAGCTTGTACGACCAGAGCTTGTACGGCTGGTCGAGCGCGCGCTCCCTCGCGCCGATGGGCGCCCAGCAAGGCCCTGCCTCTCTTGCCCCTCGGCATTCTGGCCCAGGACCTGGGCAGGGCTCCGTGGGCCTAGGAACGCCAGGCAGCCATATCGTAGCGTCACCCGGTCCGCAGCCAGGCGCGTTTCCGACGCCACAAACGCCTACAGGCCCACAGCTACAACAGCAACAGTTGCAACAGCAGCAGCAGCTTCAACAGCAGCTGCTGCAGCAGCGCCGGACGCAGCGTTCTGATGTCGAGCTGCAGCTACCAGCCTCACCGGGTGCCGGCGGTGGCATGCCGCCGCCGCCGGGTCGTCTGCTCAGATCTTCAGCTCCGGTCTCGGCCTCCATGGTGCCCACACCCGCCGCGACGGCAGCGGCCACGGCATCATTCTCGACGCAGATGGGCCCTCCAAGCGCTCTCAGTATCGCCGTTGAGTCCCGTCGACAACTCGCTCTGAGTCAGCGCTTGCAACAACAGCAACAACAACAGCAACAACAAGCTCTGGCGGCTCACGCCCACGCGCAGCAACTCCAGCTGCAACAACAGCAGCAGCAGCAAGCGCAAGCACAGGCTCAGCAGCAGCTGTTCCAACAGCAACAAGCGGTACATGCGCAGCGGCAAATGCAGGCGCAGCGGCTGGCCACGCAGTCGCCGCAACGGCCACTAAGCCCACAGCAGGCCCAGGCCCAGGCCCAGACGCAGCTCATGTTGCTCGAACGGCGAAGGCGGCTTGCGGAACTGCGCGGCATGGAATCTACGGCGGCTCCAATGGGACCGGCCGCTACCGCAGCTGGCGGTGGCGCGACCGCCACCCCGGGCTCCCTCGCCGGCAGCGTCATGGGATCCCCCCTCAGCATGTCCGCACCCACGCAGCTGTACTACCACCCGAGCGGCCTAGGGTACCCTTACGCACCGCACAATGAACGCCCCATGTATCCTTCGGCCGCGTCTTTGGAACGCTCAAATAGCGGTAGCGAGCGAGAGAGGAGTACCTGGGCTGAGGGCCAACGTTCCGGAGCAACGGCAGGGGCAGGGACAGGGACTGCAGCAGCGCCCGGCAGCCTGGGATCTATAGGCATTGAGGGCGGCCCCTCGGGTGTTGGCGGGGGGGGCGGCGGCGGCGGCGCACCAGCGCCTGGCGGCGCGGCGGCGCAACCGCAGTGGCACCAACAGCCGCAGCTACAACTTCCTCCACCTATGCACTATCAGCAGCAGCAGCACCATCAGCAGCAGCAGCCGGCACAGCACTACCAGCAGCCGCTGTCGCAGAGGGAGCGGGCTCTCCTGGCCCTGCACTCCGTGGAGCCGCTGCGCGCGCCCGGCCCGGGCCTACCGCCGGATCCAACACCCCATCAGCATTTTCAACCGCCTCAGCAGTCTCTGCTGTTGCAGCAGCAGCAGCACGCGGCGCCGTCAGCCCCCTCACTGCCTCCGCAACAGCAGCCACGATACTACGGACAGCAGCAGCAACAGCAGCAGCAAGCCTACCAGGCACATTTGCAGCAGCAGCAGCAACAACAACAACAGTCATTCGGTTCGGGAGCCGCGGCAGACCCCAATGCAGGGAGTGCTAGGACCGGTAGTCCCCCGTGGCCGGCTGGCGCACAGACACTACCACCGTCCCTCCTTTCCATGGCGCCCGGACTGCGCCCGCCCAGCCGAGGTGCCGAGGTGATGGCGCCGGGTCCTCCGCCACCGTCAATGGCCTCGCAGCACGCCGCCTTTCCCGGAGTGGTCGCGAGGCGGGGAAGTGCCGACCCAAGGGATAGCCCAGCGGCCGGGGGCAGTGTTGGGGTTCCGACCATTGAGCCGTCGGCGGCGGCAACGGCGGCGGCGATAGGTCATGAATATCGTACACGTACCGTCAGCCATTCGGCCGGCAGCGGCGGTGCCGCAATGCTCAGTTTACCGTCCGAACATATTGCACCGACGCCTATGGCCGCCGGCGCCGGCGGCGGCGGCGCCGAAGCGGCTTTCGACGTCATTAGCTCGGCCACGGCACGGCGTGAGGACATCGACAGCGCCATTGGCAGCAGGTCCGTGGCACAGCTCGGTTCAGCCCCCGCAACGACGCCTGTCCGCGGCGGTATCGTCAGTGCCGCAGAAACCCTTGAGTCCCAGTTGAGTCCTGGCGGTGGCGGCGGCGCCGGGGGCTCCGGAGCCGCGTTGTCAGAGCGCCAAAGCCAGTGCCAGGCGGGCATCTCTCTGCCCGCTCACCCTGACCACCTGGGTACTGAGACCGGCCACATTGCGGCTGCCGGCGGGGAAGCTGAAGCCGCAAATGAGACTCCTGCCGTCGCGGCGGCTGGGGCGGCGGCATCCAGCATCGGCGGACACGACGGCGGTGGCGGTCGCGGTTCCGCTCCCACAGCGGCCAATCTGCATCCCTCTTCACCGTTGCACCCCATGGGCCTATCCGCAACAAGCCAAGTCCTACATCTGCCGCCACCGGCGCCGCAAATGCCGGTCATGCCGTCGGTCACTGATGCACCGCCACTACCGCCGCCGCCACCGATGCCGCCATTTGGCGGCCCCAGCGGAAGCCCACTGGCGTTGAAGCTTTTGTACGACACCTGGTCCGGCAGCCCTATGGACTCGTCTGGGCGCTTGGGTGCTCCACGTGTGAGGTCCGCTCCGTCAGGCCTCTTGCAGTCGGCCGGGGCCCCGGGGGGGGCCCTCGGAGCGGGGCCGGGGCCGTCGGACAGGCAACTCGGGGTGGCGGGGCAGCTGCCTTCCTGGGGCGGGGCAGGCAGCGCCGGCATCAGCGGGGACGACCTACCGACCCACGGGTCATTCGGCGACATGTTGGCCGTGTTCGGTGACGCCCAGGTGCAAGAGGAGGAAGCTGGTGGCGTCGTCGTCCTCGGGGACGTCGCCTCTGTGGGCCCAGGACACCGCGACGTGGGTCCACCGCCGCCGCCACCGCCGCCACCCCCATTACCGCCACCAGCATCACCGCCGCCGCCGCCGCTGCCATTATCATCGCCGGCATCGCCCCCATCGCCACCGGCAGAGCCCTCGCCTGGCACCGACGGCGACACAGCGTCAGCCAGGCAGGCCATGGCCGACCTGCGTCTAGGCGAGCGAGGAAGCCAGAGCCTCATGGTTTCGGAGCTGCGATGTAATTTGCTCTCGGAGGAGGCCGCGGAGCGGTTCCTCCGGAACCACTCCGACGTCGCCGCCTCCCCCGCCTGGGGTGATGCTTGTCAGTTGCGACCGGGCCCCTCCGCCGACCGCACTGAGCGCCGCATCCTCAAGCAGCAGCTGCTGCAGCCCTCATCACCCCCACCGCCACCGTCGTGGCAGTAGCAGTGGCAGCATTCACCGCCGCCGCGGCAGTTGCCATGCTGGGGAGCCAGCAGCAGCAACATCACAGCCCGCAAGGCTGGCAAAGGGATCCGGGGTACGGAGGAGCCGCCGCCGCTGCCGCTTCCCCTGCCGCCGCTGCCGCTGCCGCAACCACCATCACCGTAGCATTGGGTGCAACCTGGCCCCCTCAGGCACGACCGCGGCAGCAACAGCAACCGAGGGTGCTATTTGGCGGCCGTAGCGTCGCCGTCAGGCCCAAAACGTTTAGCGGCCTCGGTCCTTCTTCGCGGGCACCAGCTTGTTTCGGGTAGTCTTGACTGAAGCATAGAAGCGAATGGCGAAAGGATACTGACAGGCCGTGTACCCGGTTCGTGAGCGGAGACCAGTCGTGACCTGTCGTGGTTCTTTCGTTTTGGTTTTTTTTGAGGTTTCATGGAGGAGGCGGTGATGTGAAGGGAGGGCGCTGGCAGGTGGTCGCGCAGGCGTCGGCGCTGGAGGACTTGCGCACCCCCTACTGAGAAGCGCGTGGCACATTATAAGAGGAAAGCTTTTACTCATTCACATATGTGTGTGTTGGATCCTTTTGGTTTCTGTACCTTGGTGGCTGGCGGTGTTGTTTGACGTGCGGGGGTTCGATGTTTGCGGCTGTGTAAGGTGTGTTACGGGTCGTGGTTCTGCTGATGTGGACATACACTATATGTATGATAGTGTGAAGTTGGGGGGTAGCTTCACCCGCCAACCTGCTGGCAGTCCCCACTACCTTCCCCGTTGTTTCAGGACATCCTCATCCTTCGCACCCAGATGCCGATTTCTGCGAAGTCAGTGCCTTTGCCGACTCATCCGGAGGAAATTTCCCGCCAGGTCAATGGCGGCGTCAACTCCACTCCACTCCACTCCACTCCTGGTCGGTCGGCTCGCAGGTCTCTCACTATAACCGGGTCCTCCATCACCGCCCACCGGCATGGAGGTGCATCCACCCTCCTGTGGTCGAGGGAGTTTCCTCCTGCGCTTTGTCGGGATATCTCCCGGAACCTTCTTGGAGCCATCTATCTATAGATGCCGCGCCTACCTAGGCCCATATTTGCTGTGTTTGGAGCCGATCATTGATACATGTATATGCGGTTTGTGTATATTCCGTCTCTTGCTTCGCCTTCCCTCCCTCCCTCCTCCCTTCATTTCCCTCTCGCCGTCTCGCCTGGCGCTGCGCCATCGCCTCCTAGACTGAATGCGGGCTAGCGTGTGCCGTACAGCTCCCCTTACATCCGCATCTCCCGTGCCTCGCTAGACTCGTCGTTTGGTAGCGGCCCCGCTTGGCCCCCCCCGTGGTAATCAAAGAGCGCAGGCGTTGATATGCTTTGTACAATGATTCGATAAGTAAGCCCTCTTTCGGGCTCTTTTTATCAATATAATATGATATTAATGTCTTGGTGTATGGGAATATCACTAACCCAGGAGTTGTTACATACAGGCGTGTGAGCAGTGGCGGGCGTGGGCGTGCTTGTTATGAAAGGCGGAATAGGTGGATATGCCTAATGTGCACTCTGCGACAACTGTGTCGTACTAACGCCAGTCAAGGCAAGTGTCGTTCTAATGCGTGTGTCGAGGGGCAGTCACATATACAGAGTGCAGGAGGGTGGGGAGATATGGTTTCAGGCAGTACTTTGCGGACCCAGCTGGGTATCGAGGCCGCGGGGACTGGGCGACGGGGTTTTAGCTGTCTGGACTGGGGGGCATTGCCGCATAGCAGCGGAGCGCGCGTTAGTCGACATATGGAAGGAGGGCCGAGGCTGTACAGCATGTATGTACTGCACTGGTTGTGTACGGGTTTGTGTACGTGTGGCTCCATGCACAACAGCTGCGGATGGGTCTACGGAGGCGGCTATGCATGGGCTTGCACCTCCTAAACCTGAATCGTGCCTTAGAAAAACCGGGTGTCATGCCGCCACATGCGCCATTTGTCATGCGGCACATCGCCAAATGGAACCAGTCCTGGCACCCATGGCCCAAGAGTGTGCCAGGTGACGGAGGAGGGGAAGAAGAGTAGTGCATCGGCGGTCCTGGCGCCCAGGAGGGGGCCATCACACAACAGAAGGCTTGATGAGCGGAGCCAGCGACGGCTGGTACTTGCGTGCGCATCGCGGAAGCGACTAAGGGTCCAGAGGCCATCACCCTTGAGGGGGAGCGTCAAGGGGGAGGACCTCGGCCGGCCCCAGAGCGGAGGGACGGACACAGCGTGAAGAGTATATCAGGATCAGGTGCCTCGACCTTGTGTGTTCATAAAGCGTGTGGCGAGTTTTTTTGTTTGTTTGTTGGTTGATTTGTTGATGATTGTCCGTTTCGGGGGATGTCATCCTAAAGGAGGGTGCAGTTTGAAACCCTGTGGTACTTGGCGGCGGTGTGGCGCCTGTGGACCTCTCTCTCCATGTATATTTGCACATCTGTCTGTCTGTATGTATGTTTTTTCCCCGCGTCGTCTCTCTCTCTCTCTCTCTCTTTTCGTGTATTGGTTTACGGATCTTACCAACAACCGCAATGTGCTTCGGACCCCTGGACACCTGCTCGTGTGTGTCTGTGTGCGTGTATGTGTGTGTGAGAGAGTACGCCAACTCCTACTGCACTGTGGGCCCCTCGAGCATTGATTGCGCCGGGCCCCCGACTATCGTGATGGTGGTGGTGGTGGTGATGGTACCAGCGATGAGCTCGTGGAATAGTCTCCCCCGTGCCCCCTTTTGGCGACTGCTGAGGGGCCACCTAGGGCCACGTTGGGGGCCCGCGGCTTACGATCTTCTTCTTCACTGACGTCGTCGTCGTGGTCTTCGGTTTTAGTTCGGTAGCGGTTCCACAACTCCTTAACTTTACCTACCTTCTTACCTGTCTAGCTACCTACCTGTCTAGCCACCCAGCTTTTTTTAGTTCAGATTAGTTCAGATCATGTGTTCAGGGCACATTGGGGCTCAGCAGCTTCGCCTGCGGGACTAGTCGTGCCATCATCGTGCCTGTCCCTTAGCCGCCTTAGGAGGTCTGGTGAACGATGTGTGATGTTGTTTCCGTCACCGATCGAGGGGCGGCCACACCGCACCCTCATTATGAAGCAAGTACGCACTGGATGGTTTGGAGCCCTGGATCGGCCCAGCCACGTGCTTCTATGCGACTTTTTATTAATGTTTAGTAATTGAGGTGGTCCAATTCTGTTCTAGGCATTGCATGCATTCGAAGAGGGACCGCCGCGCTCTAACTCAGCGCATTAGCGTTTGCCGGACAAATGACCGCCAACACCTGCGACATGACACGTACGGCAAAACGATATACCTTGCTGTGGCCTTAGTGACTTTTCGCCCGTTTTTGACTTGTGTTAGCGGGGCCGCTATATTGCGACTCTTTTTACTTAACTTAGTTGCCTTAGCTGCTAGTGGCAGCGCTTTTATTTCTAGACACGAGAGTACGTGTGTGTGTATGTGTGCCCCGCTAGACGCCGCTAAGGGGCTTGCGGTCGCGGTGTGCGACTGCGTGGCGCAAAGCACAACAGATTTTCACTTCGGCAGACAACCTTAAACCGATTGAAGCTAGGCAGCATTTCGTATTTTGCTCTTCCGTTTTGGAGCGCGCAAAAACATATGACATAGTGGTGCTACGGTCCAGGGCAACTGCCTGTGTGGGTGGATGGGACCTTCTGTCCCGCTTGTTAGCAACGTTCCCGGAGCTCCTTCTGGTGCTGGCCGCTGGCGTTTTCGGGACATTTCTGTGCTTGATGACGTTAGGTTAGTTTTTGACGTGCGACACAGCCGTATGTGCCGTCTACCTCCTTTGCATGTTCCCGCTCCCCGGCGAGGTGGTGCGGATTGCGATGAGGTTCGGGCACGACTGGTGCGATTGCACCCTAGCTATTCTCATCCGTATTACGACGACGCATCCTCGGTATCTTGATAATTATGCTATGTGGCTTAGCTGGGATTTGTAAATAGATAGTTCCGCTCTTGAAGTTGTCGCCGGCACCTGCACAACCACAGCTCCTCCATCAAGGCCCGGTGTGTGGAGACAGGCAGCACCTGCCGTACCTTGACACATACATCACCTTGGCCCCGTGGTTATGAAACCCACGCAGCACTTGCCATCGGAACTCATGGATCAGTAGCTGTTGCTTCGAAACCCACGCCGCTGTTCCGAACATGCCCAGCCTCTGGCGCTTTGTGGTGAGAATAAAACAGCTAAAACAGCCAAACAATTAAACATGAGCCAACTGCGCAGCACGACTTGTGTCCTGCGCCGGTAACTGCGGTAAGGGGGGGAATCCGATATTAGAATACCGCCCAAACATCTGTAACACATTTGGAGAGCACCCAAGAACCCCAAGAGAGAGACGCGGTGCACATGTCAATCCAGTTTGTTTTCCCCCCGGTTCATGTTCGCTCCCGGGTTCGACGGACACGACGTGAGATGAGATGCCATGTTACGGTGAAATACAGCCGTCTGTATGTATGTCTTTGAAAACGTAGACCGCCTCTTGCAATGACGAGCGAGAAACCGTGCATCATACAGCCATACCGTCCTACAGCAGATCTGCGCGGACCTCCCCACCGGGCTTATGCGCTCTTTGTACACATCGCCCTCAGGCAGGCAGCTTCAGCTCCGCGAGCCATCTCCGCTCCAGCTCAGTGCCGTACACCGCAACGTCCCGCGCCAACACTCGTCGCTCAAATTCCGCCCACGCCTCTTCCAGAAGTATAGCTGGTCCCTGTGTGCCTTCGGCTCTGCCATCCAGTGCTTCCTTGCAGACCCTCGCTGCCCCCTGGCCATTCCGCTTGCTCGGGAGGAAGAGCCGGAAGAGGCGGCGGAGCCCGACGGACAACCGCATGTGGCTGACGGGCGCTGCTGCGGCGGTGGCGGCGGTGGCGGCGGCGGCGGAAGCACGGGCGGAGGACGAGGGAGATATGCCGGCATGGCCGCAGCTGCCGCCAGCGGCCGTCTGCGGCGGTGGCAGTGTCGTCGGCGCCACTGCGGCCGGCAACGCGGGGTGCTCCAGCGGCAAGCCCGCTACCCAGGCTGCGAAAGTGTACGACGCCACCTCGGCGGCAACGGTGAGGCCGGCTCCATCATCCGTTGTCAGCGGTAGCAACGAATCCACCAAGTCGGGCGGCAGGGGCCCCAGTACACGAGAGGCCAGCTGCCGGACATCAGCGGAGGCCCGCTTTGTGTCGTACCACTCTATTTGCACGGGTTCCGGGAGCTCAGCTACACCAGGTAGCTCCGAAGCCCTTAAACCTGGCCGCGAGAAGTTAAGCAAGTGGACCAGACGGACCTCAGGAGGTTGCCGCCGTACGTCGCCTGGCTGCGAAGGCGGCGTGGCGCGCGGGGCAGTGCAGGAGCGCTAAATGTCGCTGACTCTGTCATTTGTTGTTAAGTCATATTTGGTTTGCTGTCTTCACGCGATCTGTCTCTATATTGGGTTGTGCGTTAGCCGCTCCAAAGAGCCCCTCTTCACGACACAACATGCGTGGGACGAGCACGGCAATGTATGTACATGTCCAGGGAAAAGGTTCCTCCCGGCTGAGGGCGCTGATGAAGATTGTCAAAAAGCACGAGGCCGCTCCACAAGGCTTGTCACCATGTCCTTGCAACAATGCCGTCACGCGGTGCCACAGCCGCCAAATGCGATAGCCCATGCTTGTTCGCCGCAAGTGTGTCGCAACGTAGCCCAAACCAAATGGCAGCATCACAATAATATGCCGAGCAGCACTACACTATGCTGAGCAGCACTCACCGCCGGATGATGACCGCCGTCAGCTTCCCTGCCGTCACGTTTCTCGTCCGCCGTCGTCAGTGTAAGTACGGCACCCTTGCCCAAATAGATGCCGTACTCGTGATGCAGCTGGCCCTGCGCGCCAGCCGCGGCAAGCAGCTTGCGGCTGCAGACGCGGTTCTTGTGATACCTGGCAGCGACCCGATCCATGCAGCGGGGCAACAACACCCGCCGAGGCACGGGGACATGCACGAAATCACAAATCGCGGGATGTCGGCACCTTAGGGCCTCACAGGGTTGGGCATAACATCACGGGTACAAGGCCCAGAAGGAAGATCCCCAAGTCGTGCGTAATTTAGAGGCGGCTGAGGACTTGACAGGGGTGGGCAGCTGGACGCTGCGCCGTGCCCTCCTCATGCCCTCGCTGGCGCACTGCACGTGCAGAGTCGCCACGACTACTGGGCGGATGACAGTCCCAACTTTGCACCGGTTCAAGCCGGCATGACCCGCAGGGACCCTGTGGTGTCCGGTTTTCGTTTTGTGCGATCGGGCCGCGAACCCTGTGGGGTTGTGCGCTCGCGTATACACCAACAATGCTTTCGGGATCGGATCTTTAATAACGAATTTGTTGATTGCATACAGCCAAATTATGGCTTCAAATGTGTTGGTCTCTAAGCTGCGTACGCGACGCGACGCAAAAAGAACCAGCAACAGCAACAACAGCTAATGACCCGTGGGTCATCACTGCAACGCAAAAGCGCTACCGAGGGCCTGACTCAGCACGGATTAGATAACTCGTCCTCGCCCAGACCAACAACTGAAAACCCAAACGTAAAAAAATGTTGTTGGTTTTAGAGCGGGCTACCGAGCTTCTATGCCTGAAAATCAAGAACCCCAAGGGCACATCGCCTGACGCTGCATAAAACACAAACCGGGTTAATTGTGTGAGAGTATACTACGTGCACAACGCTAAACAGCGCCCTCCGTGGCTCATACCGGTCCGCTTCTCGGCTCTGAGCCATGGCGACATCCAGGGTGGACCAGCTGTCGCTTCCGATAGCAGATGAAATTACGCCCTGCAGCCGCGTTCGTCGAGGCGCGGATGATGCCATGGCAGGTGGAAGCCCCTACGGCTCGCAGTGAAGGCTCAGAACCGCCGTTTAAACAACAACCTAACAGTTTTAATGCCTTAGTATCAAAGCCAACCGGATTATAAGTCTCCCTAGCAGTGATATGCTGTAACTGCCCCCGGAAGGATGGAAAAGATGCTGGCGGTGAAAAGGACGGCATAGGAAAACGGTCCGATGCAACACAGAGCGGACGAAGATGATCAGTTAAACAGTTGTTGCCGTTAAGTTCGAGCTGCGGGGCGGGCTATCCTCAAGGCCCATGGGAAGGCCCGCGCCTGAGTGCGCCCCTGGATCTGTAGCCCGCTACTGAACTAATTTAGGAACCCAACTACGGCGGTGCAGAACGGGCAACCGTGCATTTCCGTATATCTTCTGTAAAGCTCTTCGCACGAAGATGATAACCACAACGCAGCATGTGGGAAGAGAAATTTAAGAGCCACCCACTTGGCTTGCGAAGGAGATTTCCAAGGGAGGACGTTCACTTCAAGGCTGGACTCGATCTCTCATACTATGATGTGTGGGACAGGGGGACATGTACCCTGCGAAACCCTTGCCTTCCTCGGTATTACGGGGCACCCTCATCTAGTCACCCTAGCCGACTTCTCAGTGGATTGCTCAGGTTCAGCACCCACTACCGGCATCCAACGGATTCTGCCGGATTGACGGCGGCTCGACTCGTTCCTGGTCAGCTCGCAGGTCTACTTTATCCCAGGTCACCACCGTCCATCGACCAGGGGCCACTCTTACCTTCCACCATCGGTAGGATTTTCGAACCTGACAGGTCTCGATTCCGGATCCTCCGGGGGAATCGGTGTGTGCGTTACCAGTGGTGCCTGACTATATCAGCCCTGATTGCGAAATCCATTTAGGAGGCAGAGCCTTTATGTTCCGCCGTCCTCTGGCGTACGTAAGGTGGAGCATGAAAAGGCTTCACTATACACGATATGAAAGCGAAGCAAGAAAAAAGGAAACCATAGCATCCAAGAAACTGAACATATACAGCCCGACACGGCGAACCGCTCCGCCTCAGCGATTGTTCCCGTGCTCAACCCGGCTCAACGTCTCCGGTCCAACAGGCAGCAAACAAAACAACGCACACAAAAAAGGTGGCTCCGATACCTTGCTCCGCGAACAGCCTCTCGCCTTTTCCTAGCGCCACCTCTACCGCTTTACCGCAACAGCACTCACTCACAACAGGAAGTGCGCAATGATAGCGGGCACTTTCGCTATGCTGCCGCTGCTCCTGGTCTGCTGCAGCAATGCAGCACTTCATCCCTCGCCCCATTAACCCCTCCCCTTTGTTGCTCCGGAACGAAATGCAGGCTCTTGAACGAACACAGGACAATTCATTACCAATGTCATTCATTACCTTTTATCATTGCTACTGATCACGATTGCTTCTTAAAAATGCGGTACCTCCATCCGCCACGACGGTGGCAGGCAGCTCTACGGCTGCAGTTCTAGCGGCCGCGCGGCGAAGGGGCGCGAAGGTTGGCGACGGTGGCAATGCGTCTCGTCCTTGCCTGCTGGCCCAGCCGCCATCCCGCCGCTAACCACCAACCGCCAACCAACTACCAAGCAACCCCCCCTTCCGAGGAGTGCTGAGCAGTTACTGAACAAGAACACGCGGTTGTGTCATCCGCAAGCAAACACACACCCCTCCACGGTCCTCCAGGACAACATGGTCCTTACGGCAATACACACATACATACATTTGGACGCAAGCATAAAAACACGCACGCACAGGACATGCCGCGCAAAGCAGAACTGTTATCAGCAGGTCGAGGATGAGGCGATTGGAGCTCGCCCCCGACGCCATCATCCTTCTTGACAGTGTCAAGCATTTGCTCGGTTTGGTGCAGAAAGAATGGTTTTTAACCCAAAACCATGACCTGGCGCCCTAGGGCGGCAACTGCAGAAGCCGTTGGTCAAGGTTGCAAGTCTGTCGACGGTCGGCGGCGAAAAAGCCCGCGCGCCTTCCTAAAACACACAAAGCCAGCTGCGTGCCGAAACCCCCTTCATCGCAGCTAATAACACCCCTGACCTCGTTTTCCGCCTTGGTCTGGCCTGGGCAGCAGTACCAACAACAACAGAGCCAGCCTGCAAGATCCAACCCTGCCACTGCCAGGCAGCAAGCCGCATGCGCTCCTTTCTTAGCGTCTCAGCTTCTTCGGCCTTATTCTGGACTATGCCGCTGCGCCGCCTCCTGGCTCATAGCACCGCGCAATTAGGAGACCGTCAGACGGGAGCACACAGCTCCCAATTCCAGTCCAGTCCAGTCAGTCGAGAGCACAACAGAACAGTCGCAATGTCTGTCACGTCGATCATATCTCTCCTAACAGCCCCCACCGGCTCCTCCTGCGAACCTGGAGAGAGGGGGTTATACGCCCAACCCCACCACAACCGCAAATCTCAACGGAGGGTGCTCTCGACTACCTGCCGCAGCTGACGCTATCCACGAAGTTAGCAGTCTGGGCCCCGTGTCCGGAAAATCCGCACCAATACAGTGAGTCTATCCAGCACCGTCAAAACACCGTTCAACGCCACCACATACCGCATGCTGTCAATTACACCACCGTCATACACCGCCGCGACCATCATCAGCATACACCACCATACCAAGAACGTTTGGCATGAATTAAAAACAGTTTTTTTGTTTCTACTACGACTATTATGTCTACTAGATCTGTTATTGTAACATACCTTTGCTCCCCAACGCGAAGAAACCCACTAGGAAGCACAACGTACGTTACCATCCGCATTATTATGATCATCAGCATCGGCATCACGGTCGTTCTCAACGTCTGTTCAAGGAAAATAACACTGCACACTCGCCCAAGACCGGCCCCCAGGCGCTTTCAGGTGCCATGTTCCCCGGAGGCGCGGCGGCTCGAGTCCTCGGCGATTAACCTACCGTCCGAGGCGCCGCGTACCTCCTGTCTTGCTGTTATAACCTTTATGAAAATCGTTTTAAAAGACATGGCCCTGTGGGGAAAAGCCTCACGCACATACGTTTACACACACACTGGCCACACCACAACACCCATGAACCGAGGGGGGTTTGGGGGCACTTTGTCTCAAGCGCTCGCCCCCTCCTTCAACTGCTTTCTTTGCATTACAAGGACACCCCTCGTTATTTCTTTCTCTCCCTCTCTTCCCTCGCTCATTCCCCACCGAACCGTAGTCCGGAATGGGGCCTTGGTGGGTAGGTGGGTGGGTTGGGGAAGGGAGGTAGAGGGAAGCACCCAGCCTGGGATGCTGACACGAGACACCAAGGGGGGGAGGGAGCGACAGCTGGCAACCACTGAGACCGACAAACAGCAGCTGTGTTGTGTCACAGCTGCCCCGAGGGGGAACAACCCTGGGGGGCCAGTCAGACCGAGGTGCCAGAGGCCGCTGGACCCTGCTGGCCTACCCGGGGCCCACATTCCTTATATGGTAGGTATATGGAAGGGCAGGGGACGACTGGAGACCCCGGGCACCAGAGCCTTACCCCATGCACTCACAAGCGGGGCCCCAGCGGATGTGTTCCCTACTGAGGGCAAAAGGGTGTACACCGCAGCACAGCACACCACATCAGATCAGACCCAGGCAGGCCGCGCCACACCAGGCCCCGCGCTCTGCAGCAGGCGGGGACGCGAGAGCACCCTCCGTGCAGCGGGGACGCGCGTAGGAAGGAGCAGCTGCGCCTTTCCCTCGCCACCTCTACCTCTGCCTAGCTAAGGGCGAAACTCCACCTCCTGTACCAGGTAACAAGGTAAGGAGGATCGCTAAAGAGACCCCTGGTCCACTCCCGGCCCGGAGATTATTGCAGAAACCCTAAGGTCGGTCTCGGACTCGGTAACGAAGAAACGTGTTGCTGCCCCGGTGCTGTTATTGACGTGGATGTGGACGTGGATGGCCGCTCTAGCCAAGTCGCAAGGTTTATTGTAGCAGCAGCTGGTCGCTCAGCTGTTGCGCTTTCCGCCGTCACTGCCGCGAGCATGGATCAACAGCTTCTGCCGTAACGGGGTGTTGAGGTTGAGGCGGTGGTAAGGGACGGAAGTTAGGGAGCTGGATAAGGGCGAAAACAACTGATGGTATGCAGCGTGGAGGTAAATCTGGATGGTGGAGGTATGGGAGGAAAAGGGCGCCGTGTCCTCCGGACAGGACCACAACCTCCAACAACAATGACCTTGCATTCCAAATTGACCCCCTCTGCACCCCCTTCGCCCCCACAAGCCCCCATCATCCGTTCCCAACATTACAATCTCCCAGGCCCCGCCCAACCCACCTCCAGCTCCGCAGGTTCCGGTGCTGTCAGTGTCTGCGCCCTGAGTGCCGCCATGTCCAGGCTCCGGAACCAGTCGTGTCCTAGGGCGTCTACAGCTGTGGGTCGCTCACGAGGGCTCTTGTCCAACAAGCGACTGAGCAAGTCCTGTGAACCGGAGGTGGAGGGGAGGTGATGGAAGGGAAACGTTAATGGGTTTAAAGGGGGTGGGGAGGAAGGGCGAGGCGGCAGAACGTGCAAAGTCCGGAATTCAGACCCTGCGCAGACTGAAGGGGACTATTCCGCACAGCATACTCCTTCCGCATCCGCCTCATTCCCTTCTCGCCTAGCACCTTGAGTTCCGCCGAAAACGTGTCCGGGCAGTGCAATGTCTTGGTCCAGTACCAGCTGACCGCCGCCCACTTGGGCAGGGTGCCGTCAACCATCTCCCACAACATGATGCCCACGGACCATCTGCGAAAAGGGTGTGGGATTGATAGCGGTTTGGATGAACGTGATGATAATTATAAAATAGAGCACCCAGGTAGCGCTCCACTTGAAGGAGGACGATACGATGCAGAAGGCCATAAGGGAAATAAGCACCGCCATCAAAAGCACAAACTGCTCCAGGAGTGCAGAAGAGGGTCTGCGCGTAAAAACGGCATGATCTATATTGTTCCACGCCCAAGTCATGACCTCCCAAACTCCGCAAGGAATATCATGTCGCAGCTTTCTCTCCGATAGGCTCAACCGGGCCCACAACACCTGGGAGACCTTTGCCTGCCCTTCCAGAGAGCGAACTGGGGGTCTGCATGTACGCATGTATGCATGTGTGTATGCATGCGCGTGTGTGTGTGGGGGGGAAGGGTGTTTGCTCACATGTCAGCTGAAAAGCTGTATCCGTTCTTGTTGCCGTGTACCACCTCCGGCGCCATGTAGTGCGGCGTCCCGGCCTGCGGGGGGTGCGTCAAGTGGGGGCCACGTGTGGGGTCCAATGTGCACAATGTCACACGGGGTAGGCGTTGTGGAAATATCCCCCAGGGCCCCATCATCCACACACCCGCCCATGACGCCCCCCATTAGGTTGGCAGGCGGGAGCGAACAACCCCCTGCGGATTAGGGCCGGACCGGGCCGAACATCACTGGCTGCACCCCTGAGGCTGGCGAGAGGCTGTTCCCATGAGGCCACTGTCACGCTCACTCTCAGGCACTCACGTGCGAATGCGCCTTGCTGCCAGCCCCAAGGTGCTTGGCCAGCCCCAGGTCCCCCAGCTTGAGGTAGCGCGACTCCGCCAGCATGCAGTTGGAGGGCTTCACGTCGCGGTGCACGTAACCGCGGGAGTGCATGTCCTGAGCGGGGCAGGTAGCGGGAGGACGTGGGGTCGGCGAGAGAACGCAGCGCACCGGGGGACGCAGAAAACGCGGTGAGGTTTAGGATGACCGGGGTGGTGACCGGGAGGGGGTCCTGTGAGGGCCCTGTGGGTGGTGAGGAACCACCGCGGGCCAGCGCACGTAGGGGGGAGAACACCGCACGGAGCAACAGGCATCACCACCCGGGGGCCCGGGGCATCATGTGCAAGGAAATGAGAAATGAGCTGTCGGCGTTAGAAGTTTGAAACTGCTGGAGCCCTGGAGGGCGGTAGGCGATGTCGGGATGGAGACAGTCACTGCTGCTCGGTAACTTCGGTAACAGAGCTGCGGCACCTTACATGGCCGTGCGGACGTCTGTGTGCGTGTGCGCACGGATGTAGGTTTTCGCGCGCGTGTGTTTGCTTGTGTGTATGTGTATGTGTCGCGGAGCATCGTTTAAAATGTCAAACGCCGTGCTGGAGATATAATGCAACCATGCAGCTATGTGTACGCCTGTCTCTGCAGGAAAAAGAGTCATATGCAGACACGCGCGCGCACACACAAACACACACACACACACCACCCCAAGCCAGGCTGACCCGCAACTCCCCTGGCCTACCTCCAGCGCGATGAGGACGCAGGCGGTGTAGAAGCGCGCCTCGTCCTGCGGTGCACCGTGTGGGCGCACACAAGGTGGTGTATGAGGGGTCCCGGGTGCCCTTAGGAGCGGCGCCAGGCACCGCGGCACGCAGGAAAACACACACCACCACTAGCACCACCTAATAACATGCCAGCACCCGGCACTCACCATTGGATTCCTGCTGTACGGAGCAGCAGCACTGGCGACGGCAAAAGTACGATTTTAGATCCTATAACCCGTGTATAGCTTTACACTCGCGTAGGAGACATCGTCAGTAAGTGCATGGATTGTCCACAAAGGAGAACACCCACCCCCCTGAAAGGTCATTTGGGTCCTTCCGGGGGGCGCATGTAATGTAAGTCGCAAGGAAACATCCCTTACTGTCCACGCCCCGGCGTGCCAGCCCCTCCGCGCCGTACTACTCCTGGACCCACCTCGCTCAGCCCTGCCCTCCGCTCCAGCCTCAGCAGCGACACCACCACAAAGTCCAGGCAGGAGTTACCAGTAGCGCTGCGGCGGCAGGACACCTCCTGCGGCGAGGGGCGGAAACAGAACCCGCAGCAGGAACACCGGAAGAACAATAACATCATCATCATCTGCGTCATCATTATCATCATCATCATGGGAGCGCACCGTCGTCGTCCTCCTCCTCTTCCTCTTCTTCCTCCTCCCCCTCCGCATCATCGTCATCGCCACCCAGGTCATCCCACACACCGGTGTCACAGCCCTGATGTGTCACGGTTCATTCGCTACTTGCTCACGGGCTCCGTCCGGGTGGTAGTGGGGGCTCACACAGCACTCACGGCGATACCTTGTCGAATATTTACATATTGCATATAACATTACGTGCTATAAAACGCTCCCAATGGCCACGGCTCCAATTCGACGCACCCGTAGCAAACCCTCCAGACTGCCGTACGGGCAGTACTCCAACAGCAAGGTGTAGTCGTACAGTCCCATTACGGAGCTCCACAACTGAGTCAGGAAGCCGCTCGCTCGTAATGCCTCCAGCGCTTCCACCTCCCTGGCGGGGTCGTTGTTGTTAGACTCGCTTGCCTGCGCGTGCCAGCAGCCGCACCAACAGCTTGTACGGTGTGAGCAATCGTGTAGTGGCCAGAGTCACCGTTGACATAGGAGTACGCGTGTGTGCAAACATGTAATGCCAAGGCAGGTCGTGAAGTCAGTACTCGCGCGCCGCAGGTGGGTGAGTAATCAACAAGCCATCCAGTATTCGCAAGAGACCACGCTTTTCACTGCAAGCCCCTCAGCCAGCCGCACCTTTCCCCGCCCGATTGGTGCCACGGCCACTGCCGTACCTTGAGAAGCTTCTTCCGTACACAGAGCAGTTGCCCTGCCGGTGTAATCACGCGAACCAGGTCCACAATCCCGAAGGCGCCCTCTCCAAGAACCTACCGACGTCAAACAGGGGCAAGACCGAATGGCACGGGCGACTAAGGTGCAAAGCCAAAGTGGACCCCTGTGGCCGTGCAGCCAGGCCGGGCAATATCACATGGACTGTGTACGATGGGAAACGGACGACGAGGGGTAATGAGTGACACTGCAACTTGACTGCACACGGAGCGCTGGCTGCTGGGCCGTGCAGGGAGCGGCCTGCAACCGACGCCGCCGCTGTACCGGGGATGTCAGTCATTAGGAGCCATTAACGCGAGCACGGAGCCTCACAGGACTGCCCTCGTTAGCCTTGCAGATGCTCTTGTTGCTCCCCGCCGGTGTACTCCCACAGCCCACTGTACACTCCCCCAACAACACACGCGCCCGCCGGTGCTCCAGTGCGGCCCCGGTCACGCGGTTACTCGCCTCGCCGACTCCGGGTGCACTCCCGACGGTGTTGGCTGTAATAGGCGGGGCCCTATTGACCCTCAGGCCCATGGACTTCCCAGTGGGGGTTGCGGTACTTCGTTAAGCTTGTCTAGCCACGTCATCAGAAGTAAGGCCCTTTTGGCCGTAAGGTGGGGGCCTACCTGGTCCTATACCAACCCCAGTTTCCCAACAGGATAGCGCTCCACCATACCTTGACGGTCCGGATGTCCGTCTTTTGAGCTGCTGCCAGTAATTCCTGCATCATTGTGGTAGGTCGTTGGCATGCATACATGCATATATGGGCCGTGCTGTCATGGCGTCTGCGCGATCTACATGCAGAAGAACGAGGTTAGCCGAAAAAAGATTCATGCTGCATCGCACGTATCCCCGGCAGCACGGCACAAATTAAAAAGTTGCAAGAAGGTGGGCCATTTAGCGGCCAACTGCTGTCCGTATGGCATACGGAGGCAAAGAATGCTTGACGCCGGCTAGACAGGTAAAGTTCTTGGACCACATCTATTCGTTCCTACGGGAACTAGTCACCCAATTGATTTCGCGCTGCTCTGGATTCTCGGCTTGCGAGTGTCGGAAGCCAGGCCAGGTGTTCGGTTGTATACATGCATATCCGGATGCGCGTCACACGCAGCGCATTCAAACCTCCGCGCAACACCTCGAGGCCCAGACGTACCCGATCGGCTGCGCAAGCTACCCGTGCTCGCGACACACTGGCACCGTCGTAAACAGCCATCCTACGCGACTTGGCACTGTCCTCCAGGCTACGGCGGATGGCTCGCTGTTCGTGACTTTGATCCCCGGCATCGCAGACCTCCACGGCTGCCAGACCTTGGAGGGCCAGGGGAGAAGACGACGCCACCAGTCCAACGGTGGCCATGCTCGAGCATTTTGGAGCCGCCCAGTCGCGGGATGCGCGCCCGGTGCGGCCGCATTGTAGCAGAGATTCGTCCTTCCCAAGCAAATAAGCTTTAACTTCACCCGTACCAGGAGGTGAAGGCCTGGACGCCGTTTGCGCTCCTGTCGTGCCAAAGTTACGGTTATAAGGCATCACGGGTACTGCTACTTAGCCATAACGCAGCCGCGTTCAGCACTGTTAAAAATATGCTGGTTGGTGCGCTCGACAGCATGATCGCAAGTATGTGGCGCATCGACGCAATCATAGTTACATTTTGCAATTCATTACCTTCCACGTAGATATATGCCTCGTCCATTAAATCAACGACCTAGCTCCCAGCCGAGAGCATCCTCAACATGTACCCAGCACTGTTTGGTCCCTTATATAATTTCATAGATGTCTGGAAAAGCTTGAAAGTTATTGGAAGCCCAAACGCGCTAAAGTTACGAAAACAAAAGTCTCCCCGTAAACAACCAGCAAGGTTTTTATGAAAGAAGTGCCCAAGGGGAGAAGAGAGATCAAAACGTGTATATCACGACTTTTCAAACCGACGCACAGTGATCCCTGCATGATTATTTGTTAGGGTACGGAAGCGTAGACGTACAATTGTACGATTCACTATTGAAAAGGCTAGCGCGCTGCACATTGCTGTCTTTGTGACGATCCTAATTACATCTGCGAGTCCATTCATCAATACTTGGAGTCATAATGGCGGATCTGAAGAACTTGGGAGCTGAGTATGACGTCACCAAGAAGACGCTAAAGTCCTCTTGCAAATTCAAGGTTGCGGACAGCGTTGGGGTAGGTGACCATCGTCATAATATGGGTGACAGAGATTATCATCACGACTTATACATGACGGCCGCCACCAGGTCAAGCTGAAGCTGACGAGTCCTGCAAATGCGCTTAACGTGGAGGTCGATGGCAAGAACTGGGGCATCACCTATGACGTGGTGAAGAAGGTATGTCTGCCTTATCCTTGTTTCCAAATAAGTAGACGACTGATCAAGCTCTAATTTTGACGGCCGTAGGACCTTGAGCTCAAGGGCGAGTGGAAGCTTAAGGGTGGTGAGTTTAAGATCAAGCAGAAGGTCCCCGGCCTGAAGACAGAGCTGCTGCCGTCGCCGGAGGTCCAGGTAAGCAAAAAGTGCCGAAAGCGTAACGCCAACACCTGTCAGAGGATGTCCATATTAGGTGATATTGCCATGTTAATAATTATGATTATAAGCGTTGAGGAGTCATGATATTCATGTTTCCTTGTACAAGTATCCCCAAATATATTACTGAAAGAATGGCGTCTGCCAGGTTGTCGTCGTTTCTGGGGTCTCAGGATGCCCTGCTACTTGTCAACAAGGGCCTGTTATATTTGCCACACCTGAAGCTTGAACGCGCTTGCGCTGCACGCCCCTCGCGAGCAAGCAGCTGGCCCAGACATTCAGCGCCGCCCAAACAGCTCGCGGCATACATTGCCGAGCCATTCTAAAACTTTGTGGCCTCTCTGATACACGCAGTGGAAACAGCATGTTGTGAAGAATAAGAAGTTTGCCTGGGAGGTGGAGCCCAGCTACTGCTTCCAGGCTCGCTTGGGTAAGTTGTATTGGTAGGCAAGGTGGGTTTTGAAGTACCTCTACCATGGCTGCCTAGGTGCCGATGTAGATCCACGTTTCATAGCTGGCCCTCTGGGCCGGTGTATGCCAGCTTGCATCTTTGATCGACAGTGAGGGTCATGGTACGGCCATGCTTGCGCCGTGAGTACGTCCGAATGCGTGATGCATCGCCACCACAGTGTCCGTGAGGTTGTGAAAAAACGTCTCTGCCCAACCGACGTATACCTTGCAGCTAAGCTTGAGCAAACTGTGGAGTTCAACGGTGGCAAGCAGAAGCTGAAGCTCGAGACCGATTCCAAGGCCGTGAGTTTTGCTGTAGAGCGATTACTTACTACCGGTGATGGGTATATGGGCACTGTGGTGTAGTGAGCTTGGCAAGGTGCATGGCTTTCGCGACAAAGGCTGGTTGGCCCCGGGTATATCTGCAGGGCGTCAAGGCCACTGTCGGCACTCTGTCTGCCAAGGTGGGCAACTCTTGGGCCAAGCAGCTGAGCGTGAAGTACAGCAAGGCGGCTGGCCCCAGCTTGACGCATGAGGTGGAGCCGAGCAACAAGGTAGGTTGTGGTATCTCTCGCTTGACCTGCATCTTTAATGTTTTCGGATTTATTAATGGGGAGTACCATTATGGGAATATATGGCGGCGGCTTCCCCGTCTGTTGAACCTCTTGCAGGTGTCGCTCAAGAGTACCGTTGGTATCAAGGCACGCGACCTGAAGATCGTGGCGGAGGTGAAGCCGGGCAAGGTCGCGGGGTGAGTTGAAGATGGTTGGGCGGGCTCGAATTCCCGGGACGTCAATCCTGACGTCAAGATGCGGCCTTTTAACAGGCCTCTGCGTCCCACGGCGTTCATTCACGGTTTGTCCAATCCAAAACCCAAAGCATACATGCATCACCAGACTATGATCATACGCGTTCTCCATTGACTGGCGCTGTCCATGTGTTGCGTGTGGAAAAATTGCCGCCTTACAGCGTCAAGCCGAAGCTCACGCTGGAGGGCAAGGTCACAGCGAAGGCGCCTCTGCAGCCCTCGGGCATCATTGCTGGTCTGTCCTTCGATGTCTAAAAGCTGGGACTCGGATCTGGTCGTGGCTGGGTTGGGCCACCTTCGGCGGCGTAGGCGGTGGAGGCCAGATTGCACAGGCACACCCATTATAATCCTGCACGGGGACGTGTTTGGGTAATGGCCCTCTGAAACCTGCACCGCTGCCAGGATATGTTGTGGCACAGTAGAGCAGCTCGCATCAGTCAATCGGTGTTCGCGGGCTATAACTTCACTTGGTTCTCGGAGTTAAGTAGACGGCCAGGAGTCAGGACACGTCCGTATTAGCCGCAGGGTTGTTAATTGCATTAGCTGCCGCGAGCCACAACAAAGCATGAGGCGCGGACCTCAATTTATTCCACATCACACGTGAAACCTTCACTCGATTACTTTTCATTTTCATCGGAATTGTTGCACGGGGCACGACGCTTAGTAGTTTCGAACCTTTTCGTTCTGGCAGCGGAACCGAACCGCTTTTTGTTGTGGTAGATGCGGCGTCCGGAGTCTCAGCGCGACATTGCGTGTTTCGTAAAGCGTATCCAGGTGGAAGGTAACATGAGCACGCATTATGGCAGGTGTCTCCGTTTCGGTTGGCTGTCACTTTCCTATTGCTGCTTACATACTGCAGCTCACCTGCTAGCGATATGCTTGCGAATGTTTTGTGACCTCACGCTGGATTGAAGTCAGTCCGATAGGCCCCGCGAGGAGGGTAGAGCTGGGCGCGAAAGGGGTCATGCATGTGTGGCCGATGCCTGTCAGTGTGCATGGTATTTCAATGTTTAGGGGCTGCTTTTTTTGAAGACGAAAGAAGATGTAACGATGTGGGCTGCAACTTCTCTTTACTTTGCGTCTTGGCCGTAAACCCCGATCCATGTTGCGGGGAAGGTTAGGACATGCTTCCAAGGGGAAGCGCTTGGGACATATTCACAATGGTATTCGGCTTGCAAGCTGTCTGTTACAAGAATATTCGACCACTGTGACAGCATTTCGGAGATTGTTCGAAAAACCAAGGAATGTACACGACGTATGCCACTCATATCTCAAATGTTCGTGGCGTTAAGCACTCGGGCCCCTAAGCGATAAGCGCTTATCAGCGCAATCCAGGTAGAAGGGTGTGTTCTCCAGTTTGGATGATAAACAACAACACCTCTACCCACTCACCGAGAGGAAAGCAATGTACCACCAAGATCTTACTGCGTACTGGATAACGAACATAGAATGTCCTATTTTTACAGGATATCTTGAACAGAAGATGCATCCTGGGGTAAAAAGGCTGCATCGGCAATCTGCAAACCAAGGGATAATCGTACAGGAAACGCCCACGGGACGGTCGCCTGTCGCACCAAAAGGGACTGTGTCTGGGACTATGTCGAGCATGATCGTCCATTTTTCACTTGCCGAGGTCCTTGTTAATATTCAGTTTTTCTGATATGGCCCTTACAGGGCGCCCTCCGCACGCACCGCAGGTGGCCAAGTGTTTTTTAAGACGATGTGATTTTTTAATGCATACATCCAATTCATATTCTATTCGCGTACATTTCTTTCAGGTGGAGCGTCGGCAGCAGGTGTTGCCTGAAGCTACGCATCGCAGGATAGAACCTTCGCGCCTGTGAGCAAAAGGCTTGCCGGAACCCTCATCCAACCCATAATAATCAAATGAACTATAAACGCCTTGCAGGCTACGGTGTGGTTCAGCAACACGACCGACCAGGTCACATACCTCCAACCGGGCTCCTTTCCGGCCTATCGCAGCCCTCAATTTCCTCCGCGGTGTTTCAAAGGGTGACGATGCCGCGGACCGAAACTCCCAGCACCCCTATGGGCAGCATCAGGCGGCTAAGTTTGACCTGCCTCTGGCGGTGGTGCTGGCGGGAGCTTCCTTTGAGGCGTACCTGCAGCCCCAGGAAACCGGCATGGCCTTCCAGCAGCGGAACATAAAGGGCCCCACGGTTACCTTCACTGACAAGTAAGCAAGGCCACGGGCTCTCCACTTCGAGTAATTGGAGCCTGGGAAGCAGCTTAACGAATGGGCCACAGTGTTCCCCCAAACCACACACCCACAGCATGCAGGGCCTCCCGTCCATATTTCCCCGCCACACTACGTAGCCCCGAGGTAGCCGGGTTCTTATCTGGAGCACCAGTTACCCACCAGCGTCTGGGGCATGACCGAAAATAAACGCAGGCGGCACGAAGCGGGTCGTGCGGTGACTGGCTACCTGCAGCTGCGGCTTTCCTACTTGTCCTTCCAGCCACACCCAACGGCAGCACGTAATCGGCGGCGTACGTCCTCAATGGAAGCGCACAGCTACTTTCACTGACCACACCCGTCTGCCGTTTCCGCCCTCCCTGCCTCCCTCCCTCCCTGCCTGCCTGCCTGCCTTCAGCCCTCCGCACACACCCCAAATGTTGCTTGTTGTCCTTGCGGGCAGTTCGCAGTCCTGGCGCTTCACCCTAGCCGTTGTTGCTTCCGAAGGTGGCAGCTGACCCTCTAGGTCAGCGTCTTGCGCCACCCTATGATGATGGTGATGATGGTGATGATGATAATGATGATGATAATGATGATGATAATGATGATGATAATGATGGTGATGATGATGATGATAATGATGATGATAATGATGATGATAATGATGATGATGATAATGATGATGATAATGATGATGATGATAATGATCCCCTCGCACATCGCGGTGTAGGGCCTTCCTCACCGAAACCTACACGGGCGTGCTGATTGTCCAACTGATGAGCGCAACCAACCTCCGAGCTGCTGACGTCACCGGCTCATCCGACCCGTACGCCGTACTGTCCCTGGGGGAGAGCTCCTTCCGCTCCTCCACTATCTCCACCTCGCTCAACCCGCAGTGGGACGAGCAGTACTGCATGTACATCAAGTAAGTACGGCACGGATGGCGCCCCTCCGTTGGGGCCCGTTTGGCCGCTGACGGGTAGTACAGGACCGGTCGTCGTACAATTCAGGTAATCTGTTCGAGTCAGCTGGTATGAGGGGGCCCGTGCCTGTCGCTTGAAAGGTTCGCCTGCTGGGGCTGTTGAGACGTGTGCGGGTCGGGTTTGGCTCCCAGGGGTTGCACGTAGATATTTTCGGACCCAGGCTACGGATTTCTGCCACCATCGTCACCGTCCCTTGGTGGTGAGCTGCACCCCTCGGACCAGGTAATACCGGTACCTGTCCTCGCACCCTCGCAGCCGCACCTGTTGCTGTGTGTCCATGTACGACGTTCCTCCGCTGCTGCTGCCACCAGGGATCCGGCCTCGGAAGTATTGCGTGTACGACTGTACGATGAGGACATCGGCAAGAGCGATGACGATCTGGGCGTGGCCATGGTGGGTCTTGCGGAGTTGGTGGACAGCAAAGGCGTGTCGAAGACCTTCACCTTGCCATTACGAGGTACGGCGGATACCAAGTTTTGTACTGTACGATAGGACGGCTGGTAGGTAACACGAGAATGTACGAACGTGTTTTTTTACCTTCCCCAGGCCCTTTCGGAGCCCACCGTAAGATGCGTGGGACTCCACGGAAGGCCCTAAACCTATGAAACCCATCGCTGCATGTGCTGCTATTGCTGTACTATTGCCACCTCTTGATGGGATCGTTGTCCCCTGGGGGGGCGTTGTGGGGCAACTGAGGGTGAGGATGTGACACACACACACACACACACACACACACACACACACACACCTGGCTGTGTGTGGTACCGCAGGCACGGGCGCCGGCTCGGGCGCCTCTGTGACACTGCGCTGCCAACTGCTGTCCTTCGCCGACGCCGACCCGGACCAAGTGACGGCGCTCACCTCCACCGTCACCACAGCTCCCTCCCCTTCGGCTATGGCGGGACTTCAGGTCGCCGTGGGGTTTTGGTGTTCGGGTCGGGTTGTGAGGTTTAGGGTCTGGCTTGGGTCATGTAGCTGGGTTTGACTCCGCAAATCCTTAGTCCTGTTAGAGGGATGGAAGAACGGGTTCCCTGGAGCTGAAGCCCCCTGGACTGTACGACAGAGTGCAGCTCAGAGGGGGGGGGCCAGGAGAAGGCAGGTCGGGGCACCCGGGGGCGGGAGGGCGGGGAGGCGGCTCCATCAACTGAGAGCAGTCTCACTGGCCACACGGGAGGTCCAGTCCATTCCCCCCTGCACACCTGCTTATGGGCACCAGCGGCACCCAGCTTCCGCAAGCGGGGGCTCCGAGCGGAGCTCCATGCGGTCCATGTCATCCTGCCCCACCCAGGAAGCCGTTTGGCCGACCCCTCTCTCCTCATCATCTTAGCGTGTTGCGGGAGAGAGGTGCGGATTGCCGCGAAGGGCTACGGGGGGAGCCCCAAGGAAGGGGCGTCTACTACATGTGCAGCAGCGCATGTCACGACTGGACACGTTTTGCATCAACCCCGTCGCACGTAATGTTATTAGTACCCCTGCGCGCCCGGAACCGGTACAAGTTGCAACCCCGCCGTGCCCTGCCCTGCCCTCAACCCGGTCTGGTACTGACCCACACGGAACTTCGGCTCATTTCTGGAATCCCGTAAACCCCCCGGGCCCCCTTTACACGCACACTGTTGTCGACCAGGCTGCTTCAGCGGCCATCTCCTCCTTGTCCGGGCAGCTCGTGACGGCGGTCAAGGAGGTGGTGGCGCCCGCGGCACCGGCAGAGGAAGGCGAGGGTGAGGGAGTGAGGGTGACGGGGGGGGCGGGGGGGGGGCTTCAGACCGGTAGAGGTTACACGGGGGTAACATGGTCAGCGGGAGGGGAGGGTAACCGCATCTGGGTTTCCGCAGCTGCGACACGGTCACGAGGGGGCTGGGGCGGCGGCATCAGGCGGCGCGGAGGAGGCCTCTGTTGGGTCAGGCCAACATTAGCATGGTGGGGTTGGCCTGCTTTGGAAAAGCAGTTGCTGCTGTTTAAATGGTTTATCGGTTGTAGCTGGTGGTAATCATGATAGTGGCTTGGATTGAGACGCAGGGCTTTCTCACCCCTGCAGAGAGGTCCCCAGCCCTAGGGGCTCTATGTCCCCAGAGTTTCCACAAGGTCTTTCGAACATGGTGGCTATCCCACCCGACCCCGTCCCTTTTTGCACAGATGCCGCCAACCCGACAGATGAGGTGGACGACAGGGACGGCGGCAACACCGCCGCTGACGACAGCAGTAGCAGCAGCAGCGCTAGCGGCGGCGACAGCGCACCCATCGTCACGCTGCCTAGCGGCGAGGAGGTCCCCAACCCCTGGCGGGTTCTTGCAGCCATGGTGGGCCGGGCCATGGGCGCCGAGTCCCTCAACCCGGTAGCCTTTGTGGAGAACGAGGAGACCGACACGCAGGCAGGTCCATTCTGGTGCGGTGGGGTGGCGGGATAGGGGAAGGACCTGAGGAGAGGCTCTCGCTGGTGGTTTGTGGTTAACGGTTGGCCGTTGACATTGCGGTTGCACGTATGTAGCAGCTCATGCCGCAATGCCGCCACAGGAGGTGTGAGTTGCCTGTTTCCATACAGACGGGGCAAGCAAACGGAACGTGTATGTATGTATGTATGTATGTATGTATGTATGTATGTATGTATGTATGTATGTATGTATGTATGTATGTATGTATGTATGTATGTATGTTGTTACAGGGTGGTTAACTTCGCCAGCGGCCCCCTTTCCCGGGGCAGTCCCTGCTCTCCCCTGCTAGAGGGGCACCCTAATCCGTCACCCCATCCGACTTCAGAATGTATTCGTTGGGTTCGGCAACTCACCACCAGCATCCAACCAAATCTAGCGGATCAACGGCGCATCAACTTAGTTCCTGGTCAGCTCGCAAGTTGATATTATCACGTCCTACACCGTCCATAAGATGGGGGGCCACCTCCCATTTCAACCACTCCTCAAACACCCGAGGAGCCGGCAGGCGGATTTGAACCCGGGTCGGCCGGGAGCAGAAGTCAGGCCTTAACCTCGTATGTATGTATGTATGTATGTATGTATGTATGTATGTATGTCTTGTGTGCTCGCAGGCGTGTAAGCATGGTGTGTGTGTTGCTTGTGCTGCCGTAGTGCAGGTGTGGTTGTACCGCAATGTGGAGGCTCGGGAGGCGGTCGTAGCGTTCAGGGGTACGGAGCAGGTACGGGGGAGGGGGTACAGGAAATGCGGACATGAGGGTCGGAAAGGGGGTCGGAAAGGCAGGAAGAGCAGTAGTAGATGCGGCGCGGATGATGTGTGGCTGTTAGGGGTGGCAGGGACTGTTAGGGCCCGTCCAGGTGCAACAAAAGCACACTCTCTTACACCCCCCCCCACACACCCCCCCACACACCCCACTCCTAGCCGACCCGGTACTCCCCTGTCCGCAGCCACCCTGGAGCTGTTCGCCATCGCCATGAATCCCCATGATGTCGTACTTAGGGTTTGCCCCTGTCCATTTCGGGACGGATCGTCTGGAAGCCATCCACATCCCGATCAGCCCCCAATCCGATTTCTCCCACCCAACACCCAACACCCCCAACCCCCACAGGTCAAGTGGAAGGACATCGCTACGGATCTCAACCTCACACCTTGCTCCCTAAATCCGGAGCGGCTGGATGACAACGAGGGACTGCCCTTCACTGCGCGAATAATTAAGGCGGTTTCCGGAGTTTATCAACAACAGGTTTCGGGGCGGGGTGGTGGGGTGGGGGTCGTGCGGGTGCGGCTGTGCGGGTGTGCTTTTGAAAAAAAGACTGAGCGGCAGGGCCGTACTGTTAACTCACCCGCGTTTGACTGACCCAGAGCTGCAAGATTACTGGGCTCTTCTCATGTACGTACGTATATATGTATGTGTGTGTGCCAACGCAACACGAATGGTGTATTGCGCCGCTCCACAACCCGCTGACAGTTCATGGTGCACAAGGGCTTTTTAAGTGCGTACGACAGTGTACGGCGGACGGTGTTTACCCTGTTGGACGAGATTACGGGCGCCGGCGACAAGGGCGATAATTGGCGGGTGCTGGTGACGGGACACTCGTTGGGCGGGGCGCTGGCCACACTGGCGGCGTACGAACTGGCCGAGCGGAGGTAAGTCCTGCCAGAAAGTTTGTACGGCAGAACACCGGACGCGGCTTCCGCACTTCCCTGCGCTGTGTTACCCATCCATTCGCTACATCGTCCTGGAGGTGTACGGGGCTCCGCAGGGGCTGTGCCGCGGTACTGTTCCACGTCGTCCTCCCCTTTCCCCCCCTCCCCTCCTGTGTGGTTCGTCTTTCCCTCCCCTCCCCTCCCTTGGGGTGGTCTCTTCTTTAACGTCTCTCCTGTGTTGCCGCGCCACCTCCCCAGGCCGCTACCCCCCCCTAGGCCCCCCATCACCCTGTGCGCCACACCCACTCCCCTTCCCATCCCCATCCCACACTGCCCTGCATGCGCATCCTGGCGGTTCGCCTTCGCATGCGCCTTCGCCTTCGGGTTGCCCTAGGCGGTTGGAACTGGTCATGTCTCTCTTTCCCTTCCTCTACACCCCTGCCTGCCTGCCAACCCTAATCGCCTGTATGTATGTGTGTATGCCGGCAGGACGCCAGCTCGCTCGGTCCAGAACATCACCCTGTACACATTCGGTGCTCCCCGTGTTGGCAACAAGGCCTTTGCGGAGGAGTTCGACCGGCTGGTTCCTGACGCGTGGAGGGTCACCAACAGCAATGACATCATCCCCAGGTAACTGCCTGTCTGGCTGGTCGCACAGCTAGGAGGGGCGAGCAGGGGCTGACTGGGGGCCAGGGTGGCTGAGCGGGGACGTGTGTTTTGGGGGTGTGGTTGATGTTGTCCAGTCATTCTCAAGGTTTCTAAGCCCCGGCTTGCGTCCCCCTCCCCGCAACCCCCACGCGGGTCCCCCCCCCGCGGCCCCTGCGCTGCAGCGTACCCCGGCTGATGGGTTACTGTCATGTGGGACATGCCGTACGACTGGATTCGGAGGGGCAGCTGCGAATTGGCCGCAGTAGTGCAGAGAGCACTGATGTGTTTGGGGAGGGCAAGGCGGGTATGGAGGTGATCCAGGAGATTGTCAGCAAAGTCAGTGAGCAGGTACGGCATGTGGGCAGGCGGCCGTGTTCCTGTATGTATGTATGTATGAGGGACCTGATGTGTGAAAACGGGAGCTGTGGGAAAGCTAGGGGTCCGTCCTTGCGGCGTCTGTCCTTGCCCGAGCACCAAGCACCGAGCACCGAGACGGCAGCTTTGCGAAGAGGGGAATGGGGACTTGGGAGGAGAGAAGATCATTGGTGGGGGGTAATGAACTTGTGGAACAGTGTACATAACAGAGTGCAGCATGGGCATGCGGACCGAATTTGCCCCTGGGTACCAATGTTGGCCAGGAGTTGGTGTGTGGTCGCGAACCTAACAACATCAACAACAGCAACAACAGCAACAACAGCAATCACAGAAGGGGCGTGGGTGAAATTGTGGGCTGCGGGGGCCATACATTCTTCCGCCGCCGTGCGGCTGCCTCAGCGCCCATCAGCATCACCGCCGGGGGGTGACTGACATCGGAGGAGGAAAGGTGGCCAGGAAAGGGTCTTTTTGTTTGTGGTGGGATTCGATCAGGCAACGTCTCATTCGCCATGACGCCAACTCTAACCCTCTGCCTGGTGGCCCTCCTTTACTCCCCTTATGCATGCACACACACGTGCACACGCACACGCACACGCGCACCCATACATACATACATACGCGCACACGCACACACGGGAGCAGTCCCGGCCCTGGGACGAGGTGTACTCGGAGATCGCGGACCGGGAGCTGAAGCTTCTAGATGCGCTGGTGGGAGGTCGGGGCCTGGAGGAGCACATGGAGACGTTCTACCTGGCGTCGCTTCAGCAGGCGGTTGCGGCGCACGGGCGGTTGGAGGAGGGGCAGCAGCTGCCCGGTGCGGAGGGTCCCTGAGGGGCTGCAGGGGGGTCTAACAGGATGCGGCTGGAAGCTGCCGAGGACTGACCATGAGATCACCAGTGTTGTGTCTGTGAGCATGTGGCACCGGCGGGCCTTACGAGGCTAGAGGTAGGGGAACTCCTGCTGTTCCAGGTGGGTCGAAGCGGGGTTTTGGGGGCCCCATGGGGCCGTGTACGGCATTTGTAACGTGTACGGCAGATAATCTGGTGCCCCGATTGTGACTTCACGCAGGAGGTCCATTCCTTAGGTGGAAGGGTTCCATAGGAGGACCGGGGAAAACGGAGGAAACCTTTAACCCGCTCTAAAACCCCCAATCTGTGAACGACGTTGAAGGTTGGCAGTGGCGACGGCGAAATGGCGACGCTGAATGGCAGGCGTTATATCATTCCTGTCATTGATGTGTTAGTGGATTGCAGCAATGTGAGGACCGTCAGATCTAGTCGGTCAGCAGGCAAGGAATGATTGGTGGCTTGTGCCTTAGCCTTGAGGCGTAATGATGGCTGCGACGCGGGTTTCCTCTGAAGGGCGGATGGGGAGCGAGGATGAGTAAGACGCGCTACTCTGCGTTATCGAGTAAACTAGGTATATGGCAGTTGAAAAGTGTTTGCATCTTTAGCCCGTTCAGGTTACCACTGGCTACCCTACCAATCAGTTACCAGAGGAAAACTCGGTTGACCGTGATGGGAAGTGCCTAACCATGCATAAGAGGTGCCTTGTCTACACCTGTTCAGTGAAGCGACCAGACCTGCCTCTAGGCCCTGCTCTTGATAGAAAGTGGATGGTTCAGAGGGCAGGTGGTGGTGGTCGTATGGATGTATGGTTACTTGCGACTGTAATCTGGAGTACGGCATGTGCGGAGGCGGGAGATGGGGAATGCTTTGGGCAGAGCCCCAGCGAAGTGCATCAGTGGCCCCCCGCCATGTGGCCGTGTGACCGATTAGCTTCCCGGCTGCTCTTGTAAACGACGGCTGAAGGACTGGGCTTGCAAAGTGGGTCGGCTTCCCCGACCGCTCTCTGCACAGCGAGACAGCCCAGCAGTTTGTGCACATGTTGTTGGAAAGTACTCTAAGGTACACTCAGGCTTGACACTTCGGTAGTTTGGTTAGTTGCTTTTATCCCAATACGACATCGAATCAGGATTGGCTGCGGTATGTTTATATACTGCTTGCGTCTTCATTACTTCTCTCTCTCCTTGTGTAACGATATGAGCGAGTGATGTGTTCACTGAAGGACTCTTATTTTCAACATGTTATGAGCCCCGCGCTTTAGCGTGCGGTCATCCATTTGCCCGGTGGTACTCTATTCTGCTGTGTGCGGACTTAGCGTTAGGCAAGGATGAAAGTAGATAAGGAAGATTTTTATTTCTCGACAAGTACCTTTCACGTCTTGAAGGAGCATGTCATCGGCGTTCTTCAACGTAAGGGACTAGCAAACGCGATCAGCCCTGTGCAGGCTACGCGTGGCGAGGTAACCGACGAGCAGGATCAACGGGCTTTGGGCGTTGTTAAGGAGTTCATCCGCGTCCTGGAGAAGCCTTTGTACGCGCGTCACGCGAAGGCGTGCTTGCCTTGGCGACTAAGTATGGCCAGCAGACGAGAGCTGCGAAGAGCCTGTTAGTGCAACGGTTAACTCACTTCAAAATGGAAGGGAACGAGACCGTTAGCGACTACATCGCCAGGTTTCAGTCGCTTCGACTGGAGTTTGCGGCTATCGACCATACCCTGGCGGACGACGAGGCGGTGGACCACGTCCTGAGAGGTCTGCCTGAAGCGTATGCGATGATCCGCACGGTGATAGAAAATGCGAGCGACGTCGACGACATAGGAAAGCTGGAAATGCGACTACTCGTCGAGGAACAGAAGATCGAGACGGAGACCAAGAAGTCGTTCGAAAAAGGAGCTTACAACGTCGCGCGGCAGGCGCCACATAAGAAGAAGGACAACCGGAAGTGTTTCTACTGCCAGGAACAGGGCCATTTGGTCGCAAAGTGCCCGAAGCTTAAGCAGGCCCACCCACCACCGCCGCCGCCGCCGCATCCTCCTCCTCCACCACCTCCCCAGCCTGACATGCGTCAACCTCAACAACGACAACAACAACCGCAAGCGCAGCCGCAGGCCCAGGGCATGCGGCGGCGACTAGTTGGAGTCATAAACACGTTTGGGAGAGCGAAACTGGCACCCGGTAAATGGCTCCTTGACACTGGAGCTGAGGATCACCTGACCTTCACACCTGAGGACGTGGAGGATCTGACGCCGGTGCGTGAGGGCGAGGGTGTTGTTTTTGAGATGGCGGATGGGTGGACGGTTAGCTCGATTGGCGAGGGCAGGGTGTTCTTCACCTCTATTCTAGGATGGACGGAATTGTCGGTATCTGTCCACGTAGTTCCGGACCTGCAACACCGCCTGTTTTCGGTCAAAGCCTTAAAGAGGGCCTTCCCTGATAAGGTGGTGTAGGTTATCCTGTACGCCGATCACTCATATATAGCAATAGACGGAATCCCCGCCGTTGATGTGTTCGAGGAGAACGGGATGTACATCGTGCTTGAGCAGGCAGTGATCGAGAGGCATAAGGCTTTATCAACGCGGCGCTTGCTCAAGGAGAGGTTAGACACCTAGCATCGTCGCATGGGGCACCCTAGTCTCACCGGTCTTGATAGGCAGCTGTTTGACGACCTGGCCCGTTCGGAGTCCATATGCCATAAGAGAAGCCTTCGTCTTGGGAGCAAGATCTGTGAGCCGTGCGTCATGGGAAAAATGACCCGCAGCCCCCATCATTTGTCGACACACAAGGGTGAGCATCTACTAGATCTCGTCCATATGGATGTTTGCGGCCCGATGCTGGTCACGTCGCTGGGTGGAGCCGACTACTTCGCTACCTTCTACGACGATTTTAGCAAGTACTCCGAGGTTCGTTGTGTTCGTGCAAAGAGCGAAGTCCCCGATGCCGTTCGTGAGATCTTGACTAAGTGGGAACGGCAGACTGGTCTAGAGGTTCGTTGTGTCCGAACTGATTGCGGCACGGAGTACGTCAACGACCGCCTTGCCTCCTTGTTAGAAATAAGAGTCCTTCAGTGAACACATCACTCGCTCATATCGTTACACAAGGAGAGAGAGAAACAATGAAGACGCAAGCAGTATAAAAGCATACCGTAGCCAATCCTGATTCGATGTCGTATTGGGATAAAGGCAACTAATCAAACTACCGAAGTGTCAAGCCTGAGTGTACCTTAGGGCACTTTCCAACACTCCCACGCGCTCAGGACTTGCACACGTTCATAGCTACAAGATGCTTCACAAATTTATTAGACGGCAAAGGCTTCGTTAGACAGTCGGCTACCATATCTTCCGACCTGCAATCTACCATCACGAGCGTACCGAGTGCTACCTGCTCCCGTACAAAATGATAACGCACAGAGATGTGCTTCGATTGCTTCGAAACAACCGGATTGCTCGCCAACCGAATTGTGCTCTGACTATCGCAATTGATCTGCGTTGGCTGGAGGTCGTAATCGAGGTCGCAAGTAGTTGCCGCAACCACAAAGCCTCCTTAGCAGCTTCCGAAACAGCCATGTACTCAGCCTCCATAGTGGACGCAGCCACGCTCCGCAGAAGTTTGCTGGCCCAGCTAACTGTACCACCATGAAGAGTAAAAACGTAACCAGACGTTGACCGCCGCGAGTAAGCACAACCTAGTAGGGCAAAGCGTTCAAATGCCGGAGTTCCACCCAAGCGTTTCGCTTTCCGTGTAGAGATGGAGGAAGAGTCGGACGATGATGTTGATATTCCGGATTCCTACGAGGAAGCAATGGCATCTCCCTATGCTGAATTTTGGCGTGTTGCGATGCTTGAAGAGCTAGAGTCTTTGCGTGTGAAGAGTACTTGGTCCTTAGTGCCGAAGCCTAAGGACAACAGGTATCTTGACGTCAAGTGGGTATTCTCGCTGAAGCGTGACAAGCATGGGGCTATTGAGCGCTTCAAGGCACGCCTAGTAGTGAAAGGTTTTATGCAGAGCGAGGGTGTGGATTTTCAGGAGGTCTTTGCGCCGGTGAGTCGCCACACCACCTTGCGTACCTTTTTGTCTATGGTGGCTGGTGCCGATATGGAATTACACCAGTTAGATGTCAAAACGGCGTTCTTGAATGGCGATTTGGAGGAAGAAATTTATGTTAATCAACCGCCCGGTTTTGAAGAGGGAGGCCCGGGGATGGTTTGTCTTCTCCAAAAGGCCTTGTATGGCCTTCGCCAAGCGTCGCGCGCGTGGTATGACACGTTGTGTGAAGAATTAGTGTCTATGGACTTTGTCGCGTCAAGTGCGGACCCTAGCCTTTATGTGCGCCGTAAACAAGGCGAGATCGTATACCTTTTGGTCTATGTAGACGACGTTTTGATTGCGGCTTGGAGCGAGAGGGCTGTTTCAGAAGTGAAGGCGGCCATTATGCGGCGGTTTGAGTGCCGCGATTTGGGGGAAGCAAGTTTATTTTTGGGTCTTTCCCTTAAGCGTGATCGAGCGAATAGGGTGATTACCGTTTCCCAGGGGCGTATGGTCAAGGACATTGTAGTTTTTTATGGCATGGCTAATGCACGGCCGAAGTCTGTACCTATGAGTCCTGGAACCGTTTTACCTAATGCTGCAGTGGAAGATCGGCTGGATCGAGAGCGTTTCCCGTATAGCCAGTTAATTGGCAGCTTGTTGTACGTGTCTGGATGTACTCGTCCTGACATCGCACAAGCCGTGGGAGTTTTAGCGCGGCACATGTCGAATCCTAGCAGGTCGGACTGGAAAGCAGCGAAGGAGGTAGTACGCTATTTGGCAGGAATGTCTGATTACGGATTAGTCCTAGGTGGTGAACGAGCAGACGACGAGAGGTTAGTTGAGTATAGCGATGCCGACTATGCGGGTTGTGCTTACTCGCGGCGGTCAACGTCTGGTTACGTTTTTACTCTTCATGGTGGTACAGTTAGCTGGGCCAGCAAACTTCTGCGGAGCGTGGCTGCGTCCACTATGGAGGCTGAGTACATGGCTGTTTCGGAAGCTGCTAAGGAGGCTTTGTGGTTGCGGCAACTACTTGCGACCTCGATTAGGACCTCCAGCCAACGCAGATCAATTGTGATAGTCAGAGCGCAATTCGGTTGGCGAGCAATCCGGTTGTTTCGAAGCAATCGAAGCACATCTCTGGTGCGTTATCATTTTGTGCGGGAGCAGGTAGCACTTGGTACGCTTGTGATGGTAGATTGCAGGTCGGAAGATATGGTGGCCGACTGTCTAACGAAGCCTTTGCCGTCTGAGAAGTTTGTGAAGCATCGTTTAGCTATGAACGTGTGCAAGTCCTGAGCGCGTGGGAGTGTTGGAAAGGTACACTCAGGCTTGACACTTCGGTAGTTTGGTTAGTTGCTTTTATCCCAATACGACATCGAATCAGGATTGGCTGCGGTATGTTTATATACTGCTTGCGTCTTCATTATTTCTCTCTCTCCTTGTGTAACGATATGAGCGAGTGATGTGTTCACTGAAGGACTCTTATTTCTAACACATGTGGCAAAGAAATGGGCCTGTACGGGTTAAAGGGGCCCTCGCCTTTAAGCCGACACCACCTTGTCGACGTAACGAAGCACACCAATGTCTGAAAACACAGAAAATGACACCACGCGCTTCGTACACAGGACGGCGGCACCACGAGGAAGGCCTTCGGCTAGGAAACCGTGTTCCCGACGACACAGAATTGAAGCGGTGTGTTGCTGCGGCATTCCGGCGGCAAGCCTTTGGTTCAAGCTGCGGGTAGCGAGCCCAGTTCCAATGCACAAGAACTGCGACAACATTAATAGCCATAAGGTCGCTTCACACCCTTTTACTAATGTTCGGCTTCCATGTTTCCGTCGTCTGGTGTACCCCAGCCAAAGCCATTAGGACTCAGGACCATCGTGCTTTCCTTTAAAAATGCCACCAAAACTTTTTTCTACAAGTAGAAGAACAGCCAAAGCACCCAATGTTTCAGTCAAAACCCTGCGGATTCCAGCTTTGACTTTTACCTCTTTTCCTGTACAAGTTCGATATTACCATGCAGAAATTGTGAGTTGTACGGTGTGGAACAGGTTCCAAGCTCTTTTCCCCGTACGCCATCAGCAGCGTACTTGCGGGCCTGCAGGCCCCGGTCAGTTCCTTCTAGCTTATACCCACATAAATTATTAGTTATAAATGCAAGCTTGTATTGTTTGTATGATGATGGTGTAGGCTGGGAGCTGTCAAAACCTTTCACAACGGGCCTTCCATCAGTAGCTTGTTTTGCCTTGACTGTTTCGGCATGTTTCGCTCTTGAGTCTGACCTAGCTACGCTTCGTCATACTACAGCGCAATTGGAGCGACACTGCGGTGCCTGGGACGTCAGCTGGTGACGTTCCCGTTTCTAACTAGCCGTGAAGTCTTAGCAACACGCTTCTGGTCAGGAGTTGATCCATGAGGCATCTGACCTGCAAGGTGGGTCAGCCTCGACTGGAGCCCAGCCAGAAGGCTTACTTAGGCTTGGAACAGCACCTTTGCTGTTGATGCCTTGGAGGTCGCGAGTAGGCTGCAATGACAAGCTAAAATTTACCATTCCTCGTATGCAAGGTTACGCTGCCACCGACCTGTTTTTCGTGTTGTGCAAGGACGGCAAATGTCCACTTCTTATGGTCAAGGGCGGCGGCTACGCACGGGTTCCAGGGTAAACAGGAGCAAGCAATTACCAGAAGGTAGGATGAGCCTCTTGGTCAGGTCCGTGATATAACGCCTTCGACGGTTAAGCTTTGCTCGAAGTTGATTGTCTCTTATATTGAACACCATCTACGAAATAGGAGTAAAATAGTGGTTTCGTTACCTGAATGACATAAGTTCGGCAACAAGCTGTAGTGCAGAAGGAGACTGTATGGATCATGGCTGTTCTTAAGTTTGGGCTAATGTGTTGTATTTGTTTGTCTGCTTACAGGAAGAGGCTGGAAGGTCAGCATGCCGAGGGCGATCTGGACAACCGCCCTCCTGTCTGCTCCTGATGCGCATCAAGCTTGTGTGGCCGCGCGGCGGCGATGTGACAACCCCACGGGAGCAATGAAGCGATACACGATTTGGGATACCCTGTAGCGTGAGTCAGGAATTCCGGTCGTTCATGATACCTCTTGCCCTGCAGCTGGTCGTACTGCTTAGGGTTTGCTTTCGTGCGTATTGTTAGGATTGTGCAATCATGTTTGGCTGGCGGTCTGCAGCAACAGCAACAGCAGTAGCAGCACAAGTCAGCGAAACTCTACAGGAAAGACCGAAGCCGCAGCAAAGCCTAGGATCAGCGCTGCCGACCGTTAGCAAGGTATGCATCTTCCAGATGATACTTACGGTGGGTGTACGGCACGTCTCATTGCGCCCTATTGTCCAGTGTGTTTTCCTTTGCCGTGTCTCACGGAATTATGCAATCGTGCTTGGCTGGCGGCAGGATCAGCATCGGCAGTAGCAGCACCAGCCCAGCGCAGCAAACGTCTTTAGGAAAGGTGTCCGGCCCTAAACCGAAGTCAGGATCAGCGCTGCTGGCCGCCTGCCAAACGATTGCTGTGTGTTGTGGTGTGTGTTGGTTTGTCGATCCTGTTCTGAGTACCTTTTCCCTAGTCCCTGCCGTACCTAACTGCCCTTCCACCTGCTCCTGCATACCATGGCCACTTCAACTACTGGACGGGGTGGCTTCACGTGACTTCACAGTGGCGCGTCTGACTTCTCCATTCATGTCCGGATGCTCGTACGTACGGCGGATTTCTTTTTGTTCAGTGCTGGCGGCGAGGGCGGTAAGCTCGTTCTTTCTAGCTTATGGACATCCTCTCAAGCGCCTTTCTTTCACTTCTCTGTTTCCCACCTCGTTTTGCAGGTCGTCGGGAAGAGCAGGTGCCGGTGGTCGAAGGGTAGGTATGTTGTTTTTCAAGCAGCTGGACCGTGTCTGACAAGATTAGTAATGGAAATCAGGACAGCACCTGGTGCAGGGCGCAGGAAGAGTCTGACGTGCAGAATGGAAAGCGGAGGAATAGCCCCGGGTGCAGGGCGCTTGGACAGGCGTCTAGTTATTGTTAACGGGACATGTGACGGGACATCGTTTATCCGTTCTCTAATGCTTTTCTCTCGTGTCTATATGGCCCATTATGATTATTATTGGGTTCGCCTCTGCCGATGCACGGATTTTAAAAGCTGTTATCTTCTGGCAAGGACGTGGAGTTAGTTGTGACAGGTTGTGCTGTTGTATTCCGGTTTGTCTCTGCCGGCAGCGCCACACATGCTCAGTCACCGAGAAGCCAAATACTATTTTTACCTATGATGGAATTCATGTCATATGGTGCTTTGCTTGCATCTTGCGGGCCACGACTCCGGTTCGGAAACAAGGCTGCGGAGTGCCGTCTGGTGCCAACCCAAGCATATTCATCCTCCTTCCCTCTTCCCCTCATACTGTTGTGCGCAAATGAAGCGTCGCAGAGTTAGGCCGTTTGAAAACCCATTTGAGGTAAAAGTGTGAACCGCAGTCCGATAGTTGCCCAGGTGGGTTGGACAGGTGAACTGCAAACCGCAACAGGCGGACGGCTGCTCACATACGCTTCCGGACAGAAAGAGGAAGATCTGTTAAAGCAAAATGATGAATATAAAAGCAATTCAATTAAGGCATCGCCTTACATGTTGATTGCTCACAAGAATCCTTATCATAGCGCGGCTGTCCTGTTGCCTATTCTGGGACCTGAAGAATTTCAAGGACAAAAGCAGCCCGTTCGCTATACAAAAGATAATGCTTGTATATCTAACTTCCTTTTGGCACATGTGCTTGTTCCACATCGTTGCGCATATGGGAACGAGCTAGTCACCTTGAAGGCAAGAAATAGTAAACTATCGCCCGTTGCTACCAATCAACAACCTTGTGTACCCACATTAGCCAATAAGGAGTTATAAACCTCATCAAAGTGCTTGATGCTATGGATGCGGCGTTAGGAACCACATCGTCAGTACCTCACCAGGACATAATCTCAACGCAAGTATTAACCAGCTTGCCGGATGGCGTTCTGGCCCGCATCATTCAGGCGGCTGACTCCGATTCGCGGCGCCAGCTGCGCATGGCCAGCCGGGCCCTGCGACCGCTCGTTGACGCCTGCGCCGCCTCCCTCATCCTTTCCTCCTACAGCCTCCCTTGCCTCGCGGCCCGCGGTCGCCTCCCTGACTTTACCCCCGGCCTCCGCAGCGTTCTGTTGGCGCTGCAGGACACCACCGCTCCCGCCGGCTTCCTCGCCAAACTCCCTCGCCTGGGCCTCCAGCAGTTGCCTGACCTCTCCTCCCTAACCCTCGCGCTCGTGAACGACCACCAGCTGCCCTCCTCCTCCCTCGCCGACCTTGCCGCCGCCGTACCGCCATCCGTTACACGTCTGGTGCTGACCCATATGCTCGGCGGGGGAGGCGGCCGCGCCACAACCGACGGGGCCCCACCACTCGCCGGCACCTCTACTGCGGCGGTAGCGTTCCGTCAGCAGTTGGATTACGGTGCGCTGCGGCACCTGCTACTGCTGTGTCCCCAAGTGCGGGAGGTGCGGCTGGAAGGAGGATGCTGGGTGCGCAGCGGCGCCGACCTGCAGGCGCTTGCTGCCCTCACTTCTCCTAGACCAGCGGATGGTGTAGCGGCGGCAGCAGCAGCAGCAGCAGCCGTAGCAGCAGTACCGGTACCGGGAAGAGTGATGACGGCAGAGGCGCGAGATGTTGCCGCCGGTGATGTACGAACCGCGTTGCCACGGGGGTTGGGTGAAGGTGGAAGTAGCGGTGCGGGGTGTGGCGGTGTCAGCGGCGGCGGGGGCGGCGTCGTAATCTCGTCCATTCGCGGGATGTATCTGGATACCGCCGACGGTTGCCTGAAACTGCCGATGGTACTGGGTTCTCTTTGGGGCCTGGTGGGGTTGGATGTGCAGCTGGTAGCGACGGCGGTACGGCAGGCGCCGGTGGCGGCTGCCGATGCCGATGCCGACGCTGGCGGCGTCGGCGGCCTGCTGGCGGACGCGGCGGCAGCACTAAACCTGGCTCATTTGGGCCTGGCTTCGGAGCAGCTGCTGCGGGGCTTGGCGATGCCGGCGCTGGCGGGCCTTACAAGGCTGGTGGTACGGGAATTCCAGGTGGGTTAAACGGGGGTTTCTGGGGCCCCATGACGCCGTGTACGGCATTTGTAACCTGTACGGCAGATAATCTGGTGCCCCGATTGTGACTTCACGCAGGAGGTCCATTCCTTAGGTGGAAGGGTTCCATAGGAGGACCGGGGAAAACGGAGGAAACCTTTAACCCGCTCCAAAACCCCAAATCCGTAAATCTAAACCCTGAATAGACGGCATTAAAAAGGTCACCCGATTCGATGTAAGAGGCAAGAGGTAAATGTAGCGTAGTGTATTTTTGTGAGGTATCCCGCCAAGGGGTCCCCAACTCCCCTTCCCCAACGACCCTCATCGAGTCTTCCTTTCCTCACCCCTTCCGTACTCTCCTCATTTTCAGCCTCCCTCATGTCCGTGCAGGGTAGTGCGACAGCACTCCTGGGCGCACTGGCGGGTCTGCCACTGCTGGCCCATCTGGGGCTGTCCGGAATGGACGACGCGCCGTACATCATTGACGTACACTTGGAAGTGAGTGCGCACACACAAGGGGCCGGGATTGGGGGAACGTTCACCGGATTGTGGTGGACAGGGGCCACACATGGTAAGTGAAGATGCCGTCGCCACACATGCCTACTACGCCGAAAGGATGCACCGAAAGCTCTGGATGTCCCATCCACAGGTTCATTTATCCATTCCTTAATCCATTCTACATTCATTCATTCATTCGTGCATGCATTTGTTTGTTCAGGTTAGGGGGGTCAGGAGAACTCAATGCGGGAGTCATGCCCCGAGGGGCCCTCTCCCCTCCCCGAGGGGGATCTACTACTGACTACTCGTGATGACGTAGCTGCTGTGATGATGTCCTGTGTTGTAGTGCCGTACAGGAGCTTCCCCTGGGCCCCCTGAACCCCCTCATAACAAGGCACCCTCGGCACCCAACCCCTTGTGACTATAACTGCTGTTCCGCCCACTCGCCCAGCGGGTTTCCACCCCCCACTATTACTAACACCCCACAACTACTAACACCCACTTCCTCGCAGCTGCTAGCGTGCCTGCCGAGTTTAAGACACTTGTCAGTGGACCGACTCGACATCGCCCAGCAGCGGGGCCCACGGCACGCGCTACAACCGCCACCGCAATTACAGCAGCAGCAGCAGCACCACCACCACCACCAGCTATCAGGGCCCTACGGGGCCATCCGAGGCAGCGAGGCCTACCCCGCGTGGGGACCTGCAGGCGGAGCCGGCGCCGGGGGGGGTAGCAGCAGCAGCAGCGGCGCCAGTAGCGCCATTCTTCCGGGTCTTACAGGGCTGGACGTGGCCCTCGTCGTACATTCCGTAACGAGGCTTCCACACGCGTTCCCATCGGGTGGGGGATAAACCGTTGTACAGTTTCCCGGGATAGGGTGTCCTTGTGGGGTCAGGGGGTTTCCGTACGTCCTACCACATTCCGGGTGCACACACGGGAACTGTACTGCCAGGGTCATTAGAAGGAGCGGGACGTAGGAGAACGGCACAGTGACGGCCTCCCGAGGCGTACGGCAGGAGGCCTTGCCGCCCCGTGGGGTTAAGTTAACCTAACCAGGCATTGCCGCGTTTTCCTCCCTGCCCGGTCCCCTGCTTAACCCCATCCGTAATCTCTTCCCTCATCTTGCTCTCCACTTCAGTCCCACACAGCGGGCCCCATCCGTGTCGCCCTCCGCACCACACTCCTCGCGCGCCTCTTTCCCCTCTTTCCCCTCCTGCCCGTTGCGCGCTGCGGCGGAAACCCCGATAACGGCCGCACCTCAACTCCCCCCCTCGCCGACCCGCTTCGGTCGCAGTTAAGGACCTAACACTCCGGTGGCTGTGGGAACAGACGATGAGGAAGCTGGCGGGCTGGACCAGCCTCACCCGCCTCAGCTTGGCCAACCTGGATTGTTGCCTGGACTGGGGCCTTATGCGCACACTCACCGGGCTCACGGAGCTGCAGGTGAGGGAGAGCCTGTGGGTGAGGTGGGCGGGTAATGATACGCAGAAAGCGAGGAGGGAGGAGCCCGCTGCCGACTTTGACGTCCAAAGTGCCGAAATTGGTCTAGGTGTCCAAAGTGATCACCGGCCATCGGAACGTGGCGAGTCGGGGGAGGGGAGCTTGACACGGGGGTTTCCGAGGTTTGAGGGCCCCAGGGCCGCCGAGATCCCATCCACCCCTGCCGCAACCCACAGGGCCCCCACTCACCCTCCGCACGACCTCCCGCCTCCGAACGTACTTGCAGTTGTGTCGCGGCTCCTCCTACGAGCAGCTGGCGGAGCTGCTCTACCTCCTGAGGGCCATACCCGGGTTGCAGGTCCTGAGGCTCAGCAACTGGCACTCCATGAATTTCTCGGGGCCGGACAGGATGGCGGTCGGTCTAACCAGGGGTCGGGGGGCTGTGGCTGCTGGCGGCGCGGCTGCAGGCGCGGACGGGAGAGGGGAAGGCACATCGGGGGGTCCGTTGACGGGCCCCTCTTGCTCATCGTCTGGGGAGGTGGGTGCCGGGGGTGGTGCGGATGCCGGAGGAGCTATGGAGGGGTGGTGTGGCGGGGGGGAGGGCTCCAGGGCTGCAGCAGAGCCGCACAGGGGTTATGGGCAGGGCGAGGCCAACACGGCGCTAGCGATTGCGACGGCTTCGGCGCTGGAGGGCGACCAGCAGCAGCAGCAGCAGCAGGCGTCCACGTCCACATCCTCCGTGCCTTTCTCTCATTGCACGTCTCGCAGCCCACCCGTCACTTCCACCACCACCGTCGCTGCCGCTGCAGCCGGCAGCGGCAGTGGTGGAGGTTTAGGCGGCGGAGGCAGTGTTTCCGCTGCCGTCGCCGCCGCCTTCGCGGCCATGGACCCCGACCTCTACCGCGCCTGGGGCCGCATCCGAGCCGCCGCGGACGCCACGGCCGCCGCCAGCGCCGCCATGGCTCTGCTTCGCGCGTTGCCGCGGCTGCGCATTCTGGAGCTCTCAGACTGTGGCTACCCGCTACTGCGGTGCTTCTCCTCAAGAGCCCTCCTGGAGGACGGCGGACCGCTGACGGGGCTTCGGGAGCTGCAATTGAGTCAGTTGATGGACGTGGTTGGGTCCGATGTTGAGGAGGCAGTGGCGGCGTTGCCGGGGCTCAGGCGTCTGGCGGTTCGGGGCTGCTGGCCTGTGGATGGGGAGGCGCTGCTGCAGTTGGAGACGTTGCGGAGTGCGGGTGTGGATGTGACGTGGCGGAGGTGAAATCTGAAGGAAAAGGGTTTGAAGCACCGTTGCTGTTGTGTAAGGGCTGCGGGCTGCTAGGGTTTAGGACGTGTATAGCAAGCTGTGGCGACGTGTAAACTGACGTGGAAGACGTTTGCTAATTTCCCGAGAGGGGATTGCTTGTTCTTGCTGTGGCCGAGGTCATTGACTGCTTCTGGTTCTTGGCATCAACGGCCTGCATTTTGCATGTTAAACAGGGTTAACCAGCCCCCACTCCGCCTACACTTCACGTATTTCTTAGCTTCTGCTGTACCTGATTTGAGCATCATAACTATTGGCAATTGCACTTATGCGGTCACTAGAAGCTTTGCAGTGATCAAACGAGATTATGTACATGCACGTAAGCGCCAAGTTATGTTACCGTTGGGCGCCTGCAGCGAAATGAAATGAATGCTGTGCTCCGCACCAGGCCAAACCCCCATCATCAGGGTTCGGCCCCACCGTGAGCCCCAAATGGTCGCCTGCGCCCGCATCCGTAACCCTGGCGCAGACAAGCCATCAGATGTGCTGATTGCGCATAACTGAGGTCAGGCTGCCGTCACGCCTCAACTAATGCTATGGCACGCATCTACCCCCTTCAATGTGAAAAAGCCGTCTACCTGCAACCTGCTTGCATTGTTGACGCACTATTAACAATAGCAGTTCCCTCAGATACCGTTGGCTTGTTTGCACTCCGTGCGCGGCCTAGCTACCCGCACCACGAACACAACCACCCTGCCACCGGCTCTCCATTTCATGCCCTCCGCGCTGACGCGCGTTACGCCCGCTTGCTACACCTGTGCACCGTCCTGAACGACAGTCACTGCCACAACACCACTGCAGCCGAGAAATACATGCAGCTCGTTTCGTCTCAATCCTGAATTTGCTGCGCTAGGTTTTGCAATGATACTGAACCCACAGCCCCCAGGCTATGCAACCACACACGACCCTTTCCAGCGGGACAAAGGAAAAGCACGCAAAACACGCGCACTCAGGAGCACTCGTGCGGTTAGCTGGTGCGGCATGCATGCAAAGCGCATCTCGCAACCCTATACCAGATGCCCAACCGTCCGCTTGCCCAGCCACGGGCCAGGCCGGGGGAACCCCTCTTTACAACTCTAGGGCGGTGGTAGTGCAGGACATGGCGTTGTAGATGAGCGTCCCAGCGATAGGCACAAACTGGCGGGTGACGAGCTTGATGGCCTCCTGCGCTGCCACGCCGCCCATGAAAGCAGCCACTACATGAAGCTCGGCTGGCGACAGCGGGATGAGGCAGGGCAAACCGGTTGAGCAGGGTAAGGACGGTGGACGAAGCTGGGATTTCGTGTGCGGAGATGGGTCTCTGGAACGAGGTCAGACAGAAAACTGAACATGCGTGGGCGTAGCGGGACAGCCTCCGAACTCCTTGCGGGTTTCCTAGGATGGCCATCTCATGCCGGAGGAATTTGCCTTCAGGGCAGTGGTGCGTACATTCCGGCGACCGGCACCGCGACGCAGTCCCCAGCGCACCCTCAGGTCCGCAACGGATGCGCCCGCGCGCACTCAGCAACTGCCAGCACAGCTATGATGCCTCCCAAAGCCTAAGCCCCCTCTATTATAGAGCCTCCGTCCCTCATGAACCCTTCCCCCCTTTCTCCAACCTATCCTGAAAAAAACAACTCCCCACAGTACCGCCGCCACCATCCCCCCGGCCTCCCGCGCTTCAGCCCGGGAAACACGACCATGACCATGTGGTTACGTCACGCGTTCTTTCTACATGGCTATGCGCCCTCCCTTCCCCACGGAAACAGCTCTAGGGTTCCTCGCGCTCCAATTCCCCACGTGCTATGCACCCACAGTTTTTGGTTATCTACTGGCCTACCCGTACCCGTCCCCCCTCTCCTGTGAGGCCTGTGAGGACATCAGTGCTCACCCGCTCCCGCGCGGCAGGTTTCCGCCAGTAGGTCCTCGCTGATGATCGCTGCGCCGCTGCCCGAGCTGCTGTCCGGGGACTTGGAACCTCCACCCAGGCCGACCTCAGCCAGCACCTGCGAGGGAGGGAACCAGGTCCACTCCGCTCCGTTTCGGAAACAAAAACACGTAGACACGCCGTGGTGCCTGGCTTGACACGTTTCGCTCGTGGCGCGCTTGGGAAGGAAACGCAAGGGCAGGGAGCGGAGGCCGCCTGGCGCTACTTGGCGGGTTCACAGCCAGGAGGTGGGTCCCGCAATAGCGGCTCGTGGAGACCCGGGTGAAGGTCTGAGACCCCATTTTGCATCTATGTCCTCTTCCACCTACGCCCTCCTCTCCTCCGTACCCAGACCCGACAGCTCCCGCAGCTGCGCCACGTGCAATACACACATGCAACACCAGTAAGTGTGTGCTGGCAGCAAAGTCACGGACGTGCAGGAAGCGTGAAAACCCTGGCTGGCTGCAGCGCTTCCGGGCCATTCTTTGCCACTCTACGAAGAAACAAGGCTAGCAAAGCTAAAAGGAAACGCAGCCTCGCCTGTTCTCCGCTCTCCTATGCTCCCTCATTACTAGCGGCGGACTGTGCCGTCTCCACCATGGCCGGTGTTCGCACCTGCATGGCCGCTTGTCGCAGCAGCGGCAGGTCATCCTGAGGGTCCGCGGTGGGTGCCCCTGGGTAGCGACCCGTCTGCGCGTGGAACCGGTCAGCCGCCCGCAGCAGCACGTACAGCGCCGCGTCTGAAGAGCCCGGAGGAAGGTCGCCGCAGAATCCGAGGCCGCCGCCGCCACCGGCGCTCAGCGCAGCAGCCAGCACACTGCCTCGTGCGGTTTCCGGGCCCGTCTCCTCAGCCAATGTGCGATACCTGCCGGACGATGGTCAGATGAGGTCCACCAAGCCATGATGCATGTTAGCGCGAACAGCATGAGGAAGCTGGCCGGTGGGAGTGACATGAGCGCTCGGTAAGGGCGACTGCGTGAGCCTACAGTGCAAAACGTTTTGTCATGGCCATAGCCAGAGGCCAGGTGGGGGGCCAGCGCTCTGCGTTGTAAGCGATAACGTTGTGATGCTCCGGGGTGTCGATCTTCCTTTGCCACCTTTTATCCACGACGGGACGGGGAGCCACGAGGGTATCCAATACACCAGCCACACACTGGGGGCGCCTCAGAAACCCTGAGCCGCTACCACTTTTCCATTTCCCCTTTCAGTCTAACCAACCTGACACAACGCAGGTGCCGTGCATGGCGGCAGTACAACCGGACGGTGTCGTGCGAAATGGAGTCCGCGGGTTGCCCAAGTCGGGCCAGCAGCTGCCGTACGTGAGCTTCCACTGCCGCCACGTCCCGCTCTGCCTTCTCCCTATACAGGTGCTGCACCCGAAGGTACATGCTACGAGGTTGGACGGCATTGCATTGCAGACATGGTAGGCAGCGTGGTGGTGAGAGAAACAGCAACGTGCAGGACTCGGCAATGCAGGGCGGCACTAGGGAAGGGCATGGAAGAGTTCGCTCCAATGGAGGAGAGAAAGGAGAGAGAAAGGGATGAAGCACATGGACACATTCGGCGCATGGGCTATGACGGAAAGGTCCGGCGCTCTAGATATCAAACGGATAATGCAACGACAGTATGCCCATGCATCTCTCTCTTTGATAATATTAAAACACCGACATAAAATGAGTCGCCTGCAAGGCGCAGCAAAAGGGCTACCTCTCCCCGCGGCACCCACAGCAACTTACCGCTTCCCACTGCTCTCCCCTCATCTCCCCTCACCACACCTCACCCCGCCACGCAAAGAGCCCTCAGGGCACTCACTCCGTTGTGGCGTGCATATCTGGAATGGAGCCCTCCAGGGGCAGAGTACCGGCACCCTCATCCTCCTGAGGGCACACGGGCCGACGCACCGACAACATGTCGACAGTGTTCAGCAAAATGGTCATGTAGGGGCGGTGTCGGCATCGGCGAGAGGTCTCCTTTCTTACAAGTCAAAGTTGCGCGGGTGGGTGGGAAGGGAGGGGCTATGGACAGCTTTCGAGTAGGCCTGCACCTGGTAATCGGGCATTGTCAGGGAGTTGGATGTGGTGGTGGTGATGGTGGTTGAGCTACTGCATGCTTTTCCATGGAGCGCAGCTGCTCATTCCCTTACCCAGAGGGATCCCTGAACGACAGAATCGGGCCAACATCTGGACTGCTACTCTCGCTACTCACCCACCCACCCCAAGGACCCACACACCAACAAAAGCTGCCGGTTCCAGCACCCCAAGGACCCACCCACCACGAACTCCTTGAGCGCCGCGACCATGACCCAGAACTCATCACTCCCGGGCCCAAGCCCTGCCCCGGCGGCCTCGTCGTCAAGGAGAGCCCGGACCTCTGAGGCTGCACAGCCGTGTAAGGAAGCGTTCCCAGGAGAAGGCGGATCAGCCTTTGATGTAACTAAATCACTTCCTACTATTCTCGCGAATCTAACGCAGGGTGTGAAGTGAAGGGGCATGGAAGGACGAAACCGTGGTATGAAGAAGACGGTAACGTGCGGAGGATGGGGAGCCCAAGGTCAAGTCTACAGCAACGGGACTCCGTTTGTTGCCGCGACAGCAGCACACAATAAATCGCTAAGTGGACACCGCGCTGTTCACAAGATGAAGAGGATGCGGACCGCGTGGACAAACTTATGGCGGCCACCGAGAAATGTTTACGTTCCCGACCCAATTATCCAGTGTTTGCAACTCTTTTATCTATCCAACAATATCGCGATACTGCATACGACTTACGAATTCGGTACGGGGTCGAGACATGGAAGGCCGCCTTCAACGCCTCGTCAAAGTTCTCTTCCTGCGCAGCAGGCCACCGTGCTATTTACCAGGCGCAGGATATATACCAGGCGCAGGATATATACCAGGCGCAGGATATATACCAGGCACAGACAGGTCGCAACTGCACGCATCCTGCGATGATGAAAACCGCACCACCATTGCTGCACCATGCATGTGCATACACCCCTACGCACCCTTCTTTCCGGCATCCCAACAACTCAACAAACAGTTAAAAACAAAAGTCCCCATCTTCACGCCTCCAGCTCTGCCCCCGGCCCACCTGCCGCCATATCTGCCCCAAACCCCTGGCCCTCCTGTTCCCCCTGAGTCCACTGTCCTCCTCGTGCACACACACTGTCCTGTTGTACCTGGGCCTCGCGAACTCGTGGGAGCTTACGCGACACCATCGTCGTCAAAACTCCCATGTCCAGCCAGACCCCTGCCGCACCTGCACGGGAACTCCATCTACGGTGCGCCGCATGGATGCCACCTGCGCCTTGAACGCAGACTTGTCGGCTGAGGACGTCCCCGGGAGCAGGCCCCCGTGCGCTGCCCGCCACCGCTCAGCCGCCTGTAGCAGTATAACAACTAGCAACAGCGCAAAGGAACAAAGCAGCAGCGCACGCGCGCACACCGAGGGAAAGATATAGTGGCGGCAGCGGTTGGCCAAGGAGCCTTCGGGCACAAGCCACCATGGCCAATGAGTCGACGCGCAGTGGCCAGCTAGCAAGCTACGGTCGTGCTAGAGAATCAGCCTCGATCACTGGATGACCGGTTGGACGGCGGCAGCGATCAGTTTACCATGCTTTTATGCCTGGGTAGCATGGACGCGCAATTCTGCCCCGTTAACCAGCCGCCCGGAAACGGGACCTCGTCGATATTTTGGCAGACAGAAACTCTTGCCTAAGTAAAACGCATGTGGACCGTTATTGCAGTGTGTGAGAAGTATGGGGCTTAGGTCTTGCGTGCCTGCGCGCATGCGCACGGGGGTATCCGCCGGAGAAGGGGCTTCGGGTACGGCCTTACCGTACGGCATGTGTGAATGGGCAATGTCATCGAGGGACGACAGGTCAAAGGAGCTGGCGAACTGCAACAGCTCCGGCCACGGCTGGTGCAACCTGAAGATAAGGGCGAGGGAATGTGTACGGAAGGTGACAAGCAAGACGGACCTCCATTCCATGGCCCCCCATGTGCTGCGAATTATGATCGTCATCATGTGTGCACATCCTTCGACCTCACACCGACACCACATCCAGGAATTGAACCGTGCATAGCTACTTAAGCCTAGATATTTACTTGTTTAGAGGAAAACAAAATCGTCCTCGAGGAAACCTTCCTTATCGCTTAGGAGATTAGGGTGCCTCCCCTTGCTTCTTCAAGTGCGTTCGCCAGGCCGTGTAAGACAGCTCTTTTCATTTCCATCAAGGGGAAACCCCTCGCGCCGCTAATCACCCTCCTCCAGCTTTCAGCAGCTCACCGTAGATCGTCGAGTTGTGAATCGGGTTTGGACTCCACTATGTGGTGCTCGGGGAGACTCGCCTGGGGATGAGCAGCACGCACGAGTAACGTCGAGTCTACGGGGCAAGCCGCTAACTGACAGAAACGAATCCAGTCCGTACACTGTACGGCCCAACGCCAACGGGTCGGATAAAGCCCGTTTCCATGCCGCCAAAGCTCTGTCACTTAGGTGCAGCTGGCAAGCTTTGCCCCATCCGAACTGCCTTGCGCCATTGCTGACATTGCTGACAGAGGCGCTTCCCCAAGCGTATGAACCGTGAACATGAACAATCAGCTGCCCAGGGTCTCTTGGCCCCATCGAATGATGCGGAAACCTGGCAACCGTGACAGCTCACCCGCAGGTACCCCACGAGGCCGTACGATCGTATGATCAGCAGCTTGGCGCGCCCTGTGGACCTGCAGATCTCGTCCAGCTTAACCATATCCTGCTCGCGCATCTGTGTCGGTGTGCAGCCAGCAGCGACGCAGGTCATCGCACAAACATCAGGGCTCTGATGGCACGAGCGTATGTAGGCACGTGGCATTTTAGTGGGACCCATAGGCAGCCAAACGTTGCGGGCGGACTGCTAGGAGCTACCCTGCACATTGGGGTCTATGCCAGACCACCTTGCGTGCTGACTCCCAATATCCAACCTCCGGTGTATAACTGTTTTTTATTACTACAACATAGCCAGCCACCTCGCTGGGGACGTATCAGACAGGCTGTCGGGTAAAAGGCATCGTCCTCTGTCCTTAGGACTCGACGGGAGGGGGGGGATCAGTGTCAAGCCGTATCGCATGGGCCTCGGCATGACGTTTTAAGGTGGCTTCTTTCATGGTAAGGGAAACCATTTGCTGCGCAGATGCTCTACCCTTGGCTACCTGTGTCGCGATGACAAGGTCGAAGCTGTGGAAGAACTGTGGGTTGTCAGTGATAAGCACTTCCGGCACCTCCTCCACATAGCTCCCCGATACGCTCTCATTTAGCTCTTGCAAAAGTTCGGTCACCACTTTTGCGCGTGGCTCGCCCTGGCTAGATGCGCTAACCAGGAAATTGTTGCCCAAGTCGCGCGCCTCAACCTTCTCCCCGTCAACAATTGTGAATGAAGCAATACCTCCAAGAACAAGATTTTTTAATGTCTCCGAGCCTGTGGGGCCGCATTTGAGCAAGCAGATGGAACAGCTTTCCAAACGCTGCTGCCCATGCGTGCCCCATATGCGCAACTGGCGATCATAACGTTTTGCTTTCGGATCAGGAACTGGTGCCATGGTCCTGTGGCGCAAGGTGCGCAGCTATGCAAATTATATTTTAACGGTTCTGCGGAGAACTCAGGATGCCCATGGCCAATGTCACGGCAGATGGCCCAAAGTCCTGTACCGTTTGTGCGCAGTAAAATCATCTTTCTTGCTGGCTTCGAGTTCCAGCTTCATAGGTCTGTACGACACTCCCAAAACCGGACGCGCCCATGCTCCCATGTATCGGTTCGCATGTATCGGCACCTGTGTGTTTGCAGAGTGGCGCAGTGTCCACTTTCCGCACTGACTGCATGGTACAAGTTTGTATGGCACTCATCACTGTTTGTAGGCGGCCTTTCCTGTTTCCCCCCTATCGTTACGTATGGGCTCCGACGACAGAAGGACAACCAGTCCATAGTCGGATGGATAGTTCGATGCGTATCAGACAGCTTCATGCTTTCATGCCGCCCAATGCTGTCAGACGCGTTGTCGCTTGCGTCAGGTGTAGATGCACACAAGATGCCAACACATGGTGCACGTGTGTCCCCTTAGGCACATCCCCATTCCGCCGGATGAGGTACCTAGAGCGAAAACCCTACTATGGCATCAACCTGACGCATGTGCTAAGCTCCGCGACCTGTAAACCCGTTCCAGCGTACAGCATGGACAGCTGAGTGCTATTAGGCTTGGGAGAGGTGTATTAGCTCAGCTGTCGCAACGACATATGCTTCGGGAAGTTGCAGGCCTGGCTTCCGGGATGCACGTGCAGCTTTGCTACCGAAAGGCAGCACCAATCCTTTACAAGCCCCGATACACATGCGATCATGATCGATGTCATGCCTTCGCTACTTGTAACGAAGCATTATATAAGGTAAGTTCCTTCAAGGAACTTTGATCACCGGTTACGAAACGGGGTTCTGTTTTTCTAGTTAAGGCCTGAAGAATACGTCTACAGCCGGCGCATGCATTCGGTTCAAGTGCGCGAGCAATGACAATAACAGATAAAATGCCAATGCGTAAAATATTGCAACCGGATGAGTGCATTCGCGGGGAATACCTTTGATCAACACGTTAACGCATTATTCCTCATAGTTTTTGCACTGCATGACTGAAGCACTGTTAGAGCCTAGCAATGGAATACGCCAAAGGTCAATGGAATGAGAACCCAAAAAAGCTCAAACAACTGCAGGGGGGGCTGCTGTACGGTTGTCGTCCGGGCTCCGTCTGTACTTTGGAATGATAGCGCGCCAACGAGCCTTCGTGTTGTGTGAAGAGTCGTATTCGCCAGGTTTAGCAACCAGAGACTGAGTGTATTCCCGGTGTATTGAATAACACCCGTCGAAAATGCCGAACCCCATCGTTTACTTCGACATGACTGCCGGAGGAAGATCGGTTGGCCGTATTGAGATGGAGGTATGTGTCGTTTGCATATCGCGCACACTCAACGGTGTCATATGTTGATGAGTTTGGCGGCGTTGTGATCCGGGCCATCCTGACTTGGCTTGACTCAGGAGTTTCTTTGCAGCCCCCACGTCGCTACTTTCATAAAATTCTTTGATTGCAATAAAGGAATATGGGGGAATGTGTCGTTGCATTTATCGCGGCCCTTCCGGCATGTGCAGCACTTAAAGCTTAGCGCCATTCTTTCGTCTCGTGTGCAGCGCTTATCCCTCGCAGTTCATTATACGTTATGTTCAATCTTTTCTAGACTTGTGCGCTTGACGGGACTCGCGTCTTGGCGCTGCCAGTCATTTCCTACGCATTCCTGTGTTCCTTCCCTTGCGTTAACCGCAGCTTTACAAGGACAAAGTGCCGAAGACCGCAGAGAACTTCCGCCAATTGTGTACCGGTACGTATGTCTGACCTAGCAGTGGACGGGTATATTCTTGCACCGTTAAGCTGTAGGAAGGAAATTATACAACTTTCATGTATCATCATGTACTGTCATGTACTTAAACCTATGTGAAACCCATGCGTCCAGGTGAGGCTGGTGTCGGCAAGTGCGGCAAGCCCCTCCACTACAAGGGCTCGACCTTCCATCGCGTCATCCCCGACGTGAGTGAGACATAGGACCAAAACACCGCAGGGCCTTGTCCCATTATAATCAAATACTGGAGAAGGCTTCCAGACAGCAGTATTTACCACCCGGCCTTGCTGTCTGGGCACTTGACTGTGTCGTTTTACACTTTACCCCATGAACTACGCAGTTCATGTGCCAAGGTGGCGACTTCACCAATGGTAACGGCACTGGCGGCGAGTCCATCTACGGCACCAAGTTCGCGGACGAGAACTTTAGTGAGAAGCACACCGGTCCAGGCATATTGTCTATGGCTAACGTAGGTTCCGTGGGCGCTTGCTGCGTTGCATTCAAACCGCGTTGCTTTCAAACGTATTAGCCGTACATCGTTGTGGCAGTTGGGCCCATTGCGCCCGTTCGGCAAGCGATGATAGCTCGGAATGCCTATCCCTTGTATGTACGTACATTTCATCGTAATTCTGTTTTCCTGTCTTGTCAATTATCTCGTGGTGTTCTTGCGGCGTGGCCGTACGTCTAGGTTAACAAGTAGGTGTTCTTACATCGCCTGACGATGATGCATCGCGCCACCTTTGGGGGTTTCCCTGTGGATATGTATCTCTTGTATGCAGGCTGGCCCCAACACCAACGGGTCACAGTTTTTCATTTGCACGGTGTCGACTCCTTGGCTGGACGGCAAGCACGTTGTGTAAGTTGGCCGTGCGAGCTGAGAATTGGTTTGTAAGTGGCGGATTGCGCTCCACCTACACCACGTTTTTCTTAGGTGTATTGAGGCGCTGGCATCGAGATAGATTGGAGCATGGTGTTGGCACGTTTGGGGCAAAGGCACTGCGTTCCTGGCTTCATCTGCCTTCCTTCTTTGCAACCTGTTTATCATTAAGGTTGGGCCCAATGACTTCCGAGGTGACGGTATGTCCGCCAAGTGCCTAAAGCGCGCGGACCGCAGGGCGGCATCGAATGTGTGCGTTGCACCCGTCTTGTTGTCCTTGGCCCAAATGAAGCCATGCTGCAGCCTGAACCGGCTGCCTAAAATTGCACACCCGTGGTCATCTCTGCGCGTAGCTTCTCGCGCAGACACTGTTGTGCTAGTGAAAACGTCCCCCGATCTTGCATTAAAGTATGTTGCCAATTTCTTGTGTCCCTTCCCCTCCTTCCCAGTTTCGGCCGCGTCATCCGGGGCATGGACGTGGTGAAGCAGCTGGAGGGTCAGGGCTCCTCCAGTGGCAAGACCCGGGTTCCTATTGTCATCGCCGATTGCGGCCAGTTGGCGTAAAAGACTAATGACATGGACGAGAGTCGTACGATTATGCTGCTACGCTTTCCCTCAATCGTGCATTCTGTTCAGTGAATGACGGGTCGGTGTGCATCGTTCTTCCCGCACGATGAAAATATTTGTTATGCGCCCCGTTTCGGGTGTGAAGCATGTGCTCGCCCGTATTCGTTGGGGTTGGTCGTACTCGATACTGCCGAGCCGAATTTGTGGCGATTGTCGGAGGCTTCTTCCTTCCATTGACAAGATGTGGGGCAGCCATAGCTGAACTCCATATTGTTGTGGCCAGATGCGAAATGATGTAATAACTAAGAACGGAACTACCCCTTTCCAAAGAAATTTATACCTTTAAATTGTTTCAGTTCATCCCATGCACAATTGACGACCACACACAACCATCAGCAATAATGAAATAAACGCCGCTCAACTTTGCAGGGCCCCGCCACAATCGGTCCATCCAGCAAGTCAGCTCAACTCCTAACAGGACTGCCCATTTAGGCAAGGTTAAACATCCGCAGAACGGAGTTGAATTCCAAATCTTGGACCAAATTCAAGACCAAATTAGGATCCAATGCTCGTCATTGCACCAATTTTATTGTTGCAATTTGCTGTGTGTGCAAAAACGCCGAAGAACCTCGTTCACCATGTTCGCGCGGAAAATTAAGGTTGGTCTTTATAGAACCGGCCAATATGTATGCAGCTGCAAAGCCTGACCAGAAGCTGCTGAACGATGGGTGGGAGGCAGTTGCTCCTCTGCATTTGTCGCCAAGTGCCGTTATCGAGATCATTTCAATTATCCTTGCTTGTCACAAGCCGGTAACTCTACCAAACCTGTCTGTCGGTAATTTGTCCCTTCGGTACCTGGGCGGTACGGTAACCGACATGACGAGCTAACGACCCAGTAACTGGGAGTTCACCGGACCATAAGGTTACCGGTCGGTAAGGTGACCGACCGGTAAGGCCAGTGGTCGATTACCGCGTCGTTATTTCAAAATGTCGGTTAACCTACCGAAGCGACCGGTTGGTTTGTAGCTAACTGATCAAGGGTGTGCAATCTGATAAGACCCTTTTATGCCATAGGGGTTGCGGTGCTCTTTCCTTGGACTTCCTTGGAATAGCTGTTTATGGCTCAGCTCCGCCACAATCCGCAACTCCAGAAGCCCATCCATGCCAACTGCTCCAGCACTTCCCTCCTTGCCTCCTGATCCGTCTCACGCACATCTTATATCTCCAGTTCGACTGGCGATGGGGAACTGGGTTCGTGCACTACCAGGAGGCTAGACGCTCAGCCATTCCAATTGAGATGGAGGCGGCGCGCAATGCACCGTCCATGGATTTTTGCATTGGCACCGTAGCAACAAGTCTATAACCCAGGTTCATACATCACTCCAACACCGGCTGCCGCCACACCCGGCCCTCACAGCTATCCATCCATAATAATGAGCGTACAGTCCAAACACGACACCGTTACTCCGCTTGCAGCCCAATGGCGTACAGACTCTCGCGCGGAATACCGCGGGGCAACTGGCTGGACCAGGGCCGTGAGCCCCTTTGGCTTCGAAGAAGCAGAGACTACCCTAGTTCGCACGATGCCACTACGGAAAAAGATGGGTACAAAATCGGGAAAAATAGCCTACATATTTTCATACTGCTTCCAAAATCCCATCAAAATTTGTCCACGCAGACAACCCAGCAGCAGTGCGAGACAGATTTTGTCCCGCACCGACACAGCGCCGAATAGCTCACACGCGCACCGACGGCAATATCTCCAACCTCACCATTGAAACCCGGCACACAGCCTCTTCTGCCCATTCGAGCAACAATCAACCCCTCATAAGCTCAAAAGCGCCAGCGCCCCTCCGCGCTGTATTCACATTGTATTCACAGGTGTCTCCGTGATCCCAACAGCGATGCACAATGCACGCTCTCAACCATACACCACCACAGCAATACTTCCCGCGACATCAAAAACAGCAGCTGCAGCTTGAGGCGTCACGCTGCATAGCCGCGAGCACTACACCACCAGAAGCAGCAACTCGCACAAAATGGCTATTGGCCATCGGGGCCCTGCACCCGACTTTTCAGGACTTGCGCCCAAATGATAATTTTCATTTTCAGCTTTGCTCTCGACACACGTTATACACGCCTACCTGGCTGTCCGCATGTACAGCTTGCTGCTGTCGACGCAGTAAAACGAGCTGCTGTAAGGACCGCAGAACAGCGCCTACAGCCAGCCAGCAGGCAGGCAGCTACTCTGCCACCAAACCACGTTCCCCTCGCAGCTCAAGCCCGTGTGAGCAGGGACGCCTTCTCCTTCTTCCGGCGCTGGAACGCCATGCCGCGGATGCCGTCAGGGTCACGCACATAGCCAAGTTTCTCGTACAGCCCAACGACCTGCGGGGGCAACGATTCGCTCACGATCACAGCTTCCATTCGCACAGGGGTTGACCTTGAACAGATTTCTATAGGTGTGCTGGGACGCCAGGGAGGCTGCGCCGTTGTTTACCGGCGAAATTTCCTGGGAGGGATCTACGGTAAAAGGTGTGACAGGAACTCATGAGTTGGAAGCTCCTCCTCCTCATCTAGTACTACGCATCCGCGCTGGCGGTAGCGCAGAGCCGCAACCAAGGCTAGGCACGCGGCCAGAGCTTGCCTTTTTGCCAAAAATTGCCACAATGATACGGCATCGCTAGCCGTGCTAGCACCCTTCGTTAAAATCCCAACACGGGGCTACACAACAAGCTTTTCGTAACATCATGCATAATCATACATAATGCACATAACCTGTTCGCAATGTGTCCGGCATGCTTTGGGGTTGGTTGACTGAGGGGTATAGCTGCTCCCGAAACCGGCAGGGTGCTATACACAGCAACCTTGCAAATGACCAAGTGGCCATTTACCGCCGACACCCACGGTTGGGTCTCCCTAGTACCTAACCCTGCAACACGACGCACCTGTGGCTCCGCGTACAGTGTAATGGTAGGGATGCCATCCTCCACCTGCACATCAGCCCGGGGAAAGTGTCACACTGCGCATCAATGACCTATCCCCTCAGCCCTCTCGCCCAGTCGCCCCGCTTCTCACCAGCTTCTTCGTGAGCCGCTCCATGAGGGCCCTACCCAGCCCGGAGCGCTGCCAGCCAGGGTTGACCGCCACATCCCATACAGTGGCTGAAAGCACCCCGTCGCTGGTTGCCCGCGCAAAGCCAATTATCTGGCCCTGCGCGACCCATGCAGGGTTAAAGGTTCGTCCCAAATCGACGCAACGTAAGAATCACTTTAAATTACTCCAGTTTAAATCCCACCAGAACTGGACGCAGTTGCGTGTTGCATCAGCTCCCATCGGCTGCCACCTGGCCCACTACACCGCAAGCACAATGCACATGGCGTGTGGAATCGCACAAGTGCGACGGTTGCCCACGCCAAATTAAGGGTACCCAGGTTCAAATCCTGCCTATGGGAATCGCAATGCTCTTTTCTAAGAAATCCCGCCTGACATGAATCCTTGCGTTATGAACAGCATCCACAATTCAGAGTGCGCAGCCCGAACCCCGTCCCACAATGCACAGCGCGCATTCGCTCTGAAGGCCTTCCGTTGAGAGGGGAAACAACCTCAGTCAGGCAGCCACGCGCTGCCAGTTCTGCACAACCGCCCTCCCCCTCGTTCCGGCGGCCACCCACCCACCTGCCTCGCTAGGCGGCTCTGTCGAGCCGCACGCACCCAGATGATGTGATACGTGTTCTCCAGCGCCACCCGGAGGCGGTCTGGGTCACGTCGAGGAAAGCCCACCTAGCGGCCGACGGACAAAAGCAGCGGGAACGAGAGACATTACACCCGCCGAACAACCAAGGCTGCCAGGAAGGTGGACAGGCAGGTGAAGTCCATGGAAGGCATTCGAGCATTCGGATAAAGGGTTCCGGACATTGTCCGGATTCGAACGCGGGTGGCAGATTCGCAGGATGGGGCATTGAAGGTATACGAAGAACGCAACTGACAGAACCAGTGTACACACATCAACTCCGAAGCCAGACCCGTGACAAGCCTTATCCCCACCTTTTCGAACAGCTCATTGAGCTCCGTAATGAGGATGCCCTCGCGACCCTCCACAAACTGGACTCCGAGTTGTGCCTCAAAGTCCGAGTCGGGTCGGGAGATGGGCGGTGGTCGGAGCACCCCGCCGGTGGCCTCCTGAGGTCAGTGTATCGAACACCGGACATCGGCCATCGGACATCGCGCAGCAAAATTATCGGATGTGTAGCAGCAATGGTGCCCCAGCGCAACCCAGCTAACATCGCTGTTGAACAGCCTGGCGCATCTCAACGCATCCTCTTGTCACGCAACCCAATATCGAACCGCAGCGCATTAACTAATATGGCAGCGCAGCATGGTAGCGACGGGTGCGATGTGTGCATATACGGTTTGGTTGTCATGCATAGGAAAAGGTCGTGTTCGTTGTAGGAGCGGAGCAGGCGGAAGGCAAAAGACCAGACGCGGTGAGGTAGTTACGGTGTATTGACCTAGGGGTAGGCTTTGCGGGGCTCCCCAGGAGCGTAGGTTGAGTGCCATACGAACTGAGCGTGCCGTCCCTTGCCTGGCGCACTCCAAAGGCCGCACAGACACCACACGCGCCTTATTTTCCTCACTCACGATTTTGGCCGAGACCTGCCGTGGTCCGATATTCCAACTCACCTCTAACCGACTGCCGTACGTCGTCTTGTCAGGGCTGATGCCGTCACCGCCACCTACAGTTGCATTAGCGAAGGCTCAAAGAGGTGACCTGTTGAAAGCCATACTCAGGAATGCGACGAAGGCAAGCCTTTAGAAATCAGGTGCGCGGGGCACATACAGAAGTGTTGTGCTGATGGTGGTTAGGAGGAACCGTTCTTCGTTCATACCCACCTGCAACTGCTTGTCCAACGTAGCTTAGGCGAGGTTTTGAAGCAAGACCGCTGGGAACAGCCTGAGGCACATGGTAAGCCGACTGGCGCTCTCGCAATGTCGTTGCAAGCAGCGCCGTTGGTCGTCGACCGACGCCCCGCGTACTCCATGATGCCGATGCCACGCATTTTGAGCCTCGGAGACCCTGGGTCTTCATATTTGATTGAAAAGGCTCGCAAAAAGGGCGACAAACTGTAGACTTCATATCCACACTTTGCTTTGTAAAGGTACCGCTCAGCGGCTCTCGCCGCGAGCGCCTTTGTGTGAAGTCAAACAAGCCCGTTATTCTTCTGTATTCCAGTACCTGTATGGATGGGGAAGTCCGAACACCTAAACTGCCTAGACCATGTGGACCAAGAATGGTCTCTGAAGATAGTTATTAATGTCAATCTGATCACTATCTGAAACCCCTAGTGTATCATCGACTGTGGTGAAAGCATTGTGTTAAAATGACTTCTGGCCAACCATCGTCATCTCTACAGGACGATGCAGTCCAGACATGATGCGGCCATGAATTTACCTGCATTGTGGTAACATTAAACACTATTGGGAATGAAACGGCATTGTGAGCAATTTTCATACATGGTGACCCAAGGGCCATTATCATACGTTGTGTTCCTCATGTCCCAGCTGCTTCTCGACTGTCTGGGCGAAGCACTTGCAGAACATAAGAAAGCAATGCTTGACTGATTGTCCCTGTGACACTGGCAGCTTTACCGTGGCTGGCTCTGGCAACCTGATAACCAATCGACTACCAACCCAACCATGAAAATCGCAATCGCCCAGCGGTCAGCCCTCCCACGCCTGTCCAAAGATGCTTGGGCCTGTGGTGCTGAAACACACACCTATGGAGAAACCCCTGGCGCCCCAGGGTATGGCCGCTACATATAGGCGCTTGGGACTATAGAGCATCGACACCCGGGATTGTAGATCTGCAGGCGACATGGTCAGGGCGGGGATGGGTTAGGTGGCATTCCTGCCTCAGGAAGAGGACGTCCGGGGAGAACCGGTAGCGGACGTTCGGTTACTAAGCGGCCGATATCCGCCGAGTCTTACGGGATAAGCCGGAGTGTTCGTGTCGGAGTGATAATTCTGGACTCACTTGTCCTGACTGCCTCGCCCTTGTGTGTTGGGTTGGAAGGATTGAGAGTATTGAGCTGCAAGGGTCGCGGGATGAGCTGCTGCGGCGAGGACATTCCTGACACGTGGCTGGATGCAGCGCGGAAGGTTAATCCCCTGTCACCATTCAATCCGCGAATTTAGCTATACCCTCGCGAGGGGAACGAAATGATGGCTCTCATGAATGCCCCAGCTGCGAGTGGCAGCAAAAGGCGAGCGAAGTTGCAGGCTGTGCCTAAGGTCTCCCGCTCTCCCCTCAGAATGGCTGGGCGGGGAAGCGACTCAAGGGGCTGTTTCCGGGCCGTAGTAGGCGGTACATCTTCGGCCGTTTCCTAGCGTAAACAGCGCTTGGGTGCGGGCAACGCTACAGATAATTGGGTCGGACCAATCGACAACTAATATGTGTCATTACCTCATGTTTTGTAAGCACGCTTTGCTGCACCACCATCCCAAATGCACTCCCATGTCTCCAATTGCTCTGGGGGTCAGGGCTGTGGAGCCATCAGGAAGTCCTGACGAACCCGCACTTGAACATTCCGGAAAAAAAACAGGAATCGTCAAGCGCTGGTTCTACCTGGGCTACTGGGCAATAGCGAATATAATGCCGTACGTATGCCTGGTTGACGCCTGGTTGCTTCAATAAAACATACTTGAGGTCGCCACCCAGGTGGGCCGGTCCCTAAACCCACAAAACCTGTTTAAATTTGTAGAACGCCTGGAATTTCTGAGTATTCATCACCACCTACATATGACGCGGGGCAGCAGTACGCACGGCTAGAGGAACCTCCCTGAAGCTCCCGGCATACGTCCTCCTCCACCAACCCACACCCACGCACCGGCCAAGCACAATAGCCAGCTGCTGCAACAGCAGCTGCTGCTGCAACAGCAAAGGAGACAACACTGCTGCAGCACCGTAACCTCGTCGGGCACATGAGCGCGCACAACATTACAGCAGGAAACCCACAGCAGCCGTTCCTGTCCCCTCCGATGCGCCTTGCCGTAGAAGTGCTCCGAATAACGAGGACGCTACGTGCCTGCCCGCAGAATCGTCCTCCACATCTTCCTCGAGGTCCTCCTCCTCCTCCCGAACATCCCCTGGGGTTCCGTTGCCCCCAAGGCCGCGGTCACCAAACAAGTCCGTAACAGCTTGTGGCGGTCGCGGCGAACCATCCGGCTCCTGCGCCTCCATGTAGTACTCCAGCTCATCATTGCCGTCCGCCGCGGCGCTGGTTGTGGCAGCGCGAGCGTCGGGATTCCCCGGGGTCGCACCCACCGCATTAACGGTCCCAGCGGTTGCCTCCACTCCAGCTGGATCTGCTGTTGTGGCTGCATTCGGCTCAAGGGCTAGCTGCGGCTGCGGCTGCGGCTGCGACGGTACGTGTTTTGCGGTGACCAACAGGCCGATAAGCGGTGGCAGCCTGCCATTGGGGTTCAGCGGGCAAGGCAAGCAACCAATGGCGCATTTGGACCATTCCGAGCAACGTTGCCAACGCCGGGCCCGAGGCTGCTCCTGCTGTAACTCGGTTTTCTGCCCGGGCTCCTCCAGCAGCGGCTTCTCCGGCTGCATCTGCCGCGGCGTGTGCCGAGATTCCTGTCGCGGACATTTTCGTCCGTCATCCGAAGGGACGCCGCCCCCGCTGCCGGTGGTGTCCGCGTCGGCCCCGCTCGGGAGCTCCCCCTTGGCTGGCGCTGAAGATCTCTGCCGCTTTGCGCCGCTGTTTCTGGATGCTTCCGCTTGCGCGCTGGCACGCTGAATGACCGCAACGACATTCTGCACAATTCGCGACTGTACGGCAGCACCGTCTTGCCGAGTTGAGGCCGAGTCCGGCTGCTCTACGGTGGCACCGGACGCCGCCGTAGAAGCCTTTGCAATCGATAGCAGCACTTGAAGCTGCTGGGGGGGTAATGGACCGTTCAGCAACGCATCGCTGTTGCTGTTGCCGCCACCATCTTCACCAACCATGGACAAGGTGCGGTTCGGGGCGATTGTCGCCGCGGCTGCTGATGCCGCTTTCTTTGATGCTTTGCTTGCTGTGCTGGCACTGCCTGCACCTCCGCGAGAGGCGCGCCCTTGCTTACGGGTGGGGCTTCCAAACTTTCCACTCTGTGGGGACGTGGGGATTCAATTATTGGCATGGTTCAAACCACGTGCAGCATGCACGCCATAACATCACCACCGCGCAAGCTACAATTATGTATTCGGCAGCACCAAGGCAACAACGCCCCGGCCAGATGCACCGCGAAAAGACACCGCTACTGGCCAGCCGTCACGCCAGCCGCATTTCTCTCTCCCGCGTCCATGTGCCCTTGCTTCATCAGACCTCGCCAGGGAGTTATGCCCCTATGAACCTCGTATCGGGATAACCACATTCGCGAAGACTCCTACGTTTCGAGCACTTAAGGAAAAACCAGGCAGTTGGCCCTAAACAAGTTGGCCCTAAACAATCCCGGTGCGGCGGAATGTATCCCACCTGACCAGATGCAGATGCGTGCGATGCCGCTACGGCCCCAGCGGGTAGCAGTCGGAGCAGCCAGCGCACGTAAGCACGCGCCCGCCTATCGGCATCTGAAACCTCGCCGCTTTCCGAGGAACCAGCCGCACCAATAGGAAGCGAAGCAGCAGATGAAAGTGCAGGCGACGGCCTCGTCTCAGCAACTAAACGCTGAAGCGCTGCCTGTGATGATGGTCAGGATTTGACCCAGGGTATCTTTTTCTACACAAATGCACCACAATGCGCGAATGGAATTCTCTGGCCAGGCTTGGTAAACAGTGTGAACAGAGCGGGTCCGAACGCGGCGTACTGGGTGAACGGTTTACGGACCCTGTCGGTGCTCGCAACCGTGTATGGCACGAAGTGTGACATTTCGGCGTCTACCCTAAGGCATTGCAAAGGGCCATCTGCGTGCACATCCAAGCGCCAAAAGGCTCCTTCCAGACCCACCTTCAGGAGAAGCTGCCTCAGGCGAGGGTACCACTTGAGCAGGTGCTTCATGGCTGCGCGTCGGAGCAAGGAAATGGGAACGCGGTACACGTCGGGAATCAAGGGGAAGCGCATCGTCGCGCTCCGCTGTGTGCAGCTACAGACACTGTCCAGTGTGCCGAGTTGGAGACGACATAGCGGTGACGTGAGCATGCAGACGACCGCGTCTGCCGAATACCGCGCACCGAATCGAATGGATGAGTAACGTGGAAAAAAGTCCCCTTACGCTGCCCGAGGGACGAGTACCTCAGTGGACCGGTACGGCAGGGTTTGTCACTCGACACGTGAAGACTATCGCCGATCGTGCACGCGGCAGCCAGGAGGTTCCCCCACCACACCGCATTCCGCTGGCCCACAACAACACGCGACCTCACAACAGTCCGCTAGCCCCTCAATGACGGCAAGTTTCACCAACACCCATCACTCACTGGAGCGCCATGCCCTGATGTCCACCAACTCCTGCTGTTGATGCGGTTGCTGCTGTTGCGGACCAGCAGCGAAGTCCGGCGGCAGTAGCACAGGGCAATCCAGGATGGGCTGTAGCAGCATGTGCGTGAACGCGGGCGGGACGAGCGAACGCAGCTCCGACATGGCTTGGCGGCGGAACAGCTGCCCCTCCGAGCCACTGTAACCGCCTACAGCGCGGAATGCGGCATGTTGTGCAATATCCTAAATGCCCGGCAACAGTAATGCAGTCAGCACTTCCGCAGCAGGACCAGGTCCAGCTTGGTGGTACGGTGCCGTACAACATATGACCACATGACAAGCCCCAGCAGCAGGTGCAAAAGATTAAGGTGCGCCGCGTCACACGAGCAGATGCACGACTTGAGGGCAGGAACTACATTGTGCCACAAATCCAGGGCAAGTCCTTTTAACTATCCGGCTTGGGCCTTCATCGCAACAGCTTAAGTCCAGGGGATAGCCACTGGGGCTGGCGGTGACAGCAACAGCGTAACAGAACCGCCCGACGAGTTACCTGCTGCTTCGCCATCCATGTCCACCGCCTCATCCTCGTCCTCATCCGCCGTGGCTAGCGCACCGGCACCGACTGTAAGGCCCGCCGCAGTGGCAGCACGCCAGCTGTTGGCCAGGCCAGTGAGCAGGGAGCCGATGCGCTCTGCGGCCGCCGCCAATGCCCTGCTCTGGCCGTCCCTGCAAGAACCGTCCAGACAGACAAACAGGCGAATTGTGGTGGCGTGGGCAAACCTTTCATTGCGTCCCGTCCATGAGCCGAATTGGCCAAAGCAACCCTTCTTCACTTGAACAGCGCAACAACAAGTTCAATCAATTTCCCTCGCACATTAGTAAGTGAGAAGGATATGCCTGGCAACCGCCCAATAATAAAGTAGCTCTCTCGCCCACCAGTAGTTGTCCCAGAGCCAGGACAACGCGCTGTCCGCTGCGGCGCGTAGCAGAGGAAGAGACGGCAGCTCGTTGTGGGTCGCTTCGTGGCGTACATCCACAAGTGCGCGAGGGAGGCCTGAGAAGTGGCGGATTTGGGAGTCCAAGGACATGGGTGTATGATGTGTGTGATGTGTGGAACAGGGGGGCATGTCTTCACCCGTAGCAGCTACCCTGCGAAACCCTGCCTTCCCCGGTGTTTCGGGGCACCCTCATCCAGTCACCCTAGTGATCCCAGTGGATCGCTCAGGTTCAGCACCCACCACCAGCATCCATCCAGCCGTTATGCTCATTGTACCGTACCCACCAGCAGCGTCCGATAGTACCGCCACACTTGAAGCCACTCTGCCGCGCTGTTGACTATCACTGATGCCGTTGACCAGCCGGATTAGGGGCAGGCTGTAGCGCAGCCGCAAAGGAAGCTCCCCCGCTGCTGCAGCCGCGTCCGCCCCAGGGCCGCCCTGAAGCTGTGATGACAGGGTAGCGTTTGCTGCACACACCACCGATCGCTGCCACTCCGCGTCCGCACGCCGCACGTCCATGAGGTGCGCTGTTGCGTCTATGCCCAGCGGTAGTTTGCCCCGAAGGCGCCATGCGCAGACCTGTCATGATTTCGAACCCCGACGTAATGGCCGTCAAGCACACTGCTGTAAGTTACACGTGGGTTACAAGGCGTTTCGATGGCTTGATAATGTGCGAGGAAATGAGGTTGCGTAGTTGACTGCGTCGCTGCGGGATAGGCCCTCTTCAAGTTTCGGGAATCCTACATCTCAGCTTGTCAACGAATATATGAATAAAATTCATACACTGAAAAGGAACCATTTGTGCTCTGCTCCATGTGCATCACAGCTTTCCGTGAAAAGGTTTACGCAAGCCGCCGCCGGCTCTCGGACCGGCGTGATAACGCATCGTCACATTCAGGACAGGATTACCTGCTGCAGTCCTGCTTCCTGGCGTCGTGGATCGTTACTCCATAGGTCATCCTTCAAAGCCTGCCACTCGTCCCAGCTTGCCCAAGGCACAGGCCGTCCTGACATTTTAACCAGGGAATACTTTGTTCACCTATTAATTCATAATGCTTAACGGCTGACTGTATGGCTAGCGGTATGTTTTAATAGAGTTAGGAAGGACTGTTGCAATGCGTTACACAAGGGGAAGCTTCTTCAAAAATACAGCTATCAAAAGCGTGCACTGTGAAGGATTCGTGCAAGAGCTAGAGAATGCAATCTCGCCGTTTCTTTCCAGTACAATTGCTGGCTTACTAAGGAAATGCAAGCTGAACCTGAGAGTGGAGCTACTGAGCCACTCCTCAGCGCTAGTGTTCTTCCATGAAACCTTAATGGAATATTTTTGCAGCTTAACCGCTCCGTGATCTATTGTTCATGCCTATTCAGTTCTGGGAAAACTTTCCCAGCATTCGATGTGTAGGGCACGGTAGGGCAAGGCTCACTGATGATGGCGATCCCAGATGCATCTTAGGACGAGCCATAAGGTATCGCTGCCTTTGGCAAGGACTCCTAACTAGCTACACTCCCTTCGTTGATGCAGCCGCCTGACCTTTGCTGATATCAGATAAAGATATCAGGGGTGTAAAACTACTGACACACCGAAATTTTGTAGATCGCTACGCCCTCGCCTTTCCATCGCCCATCAGGGACCGTTGGAGGGAATCACTATGACATTCCCTGTTTTGAAGATCAAAACCCATGTTACAAATTACTTCCCATGTAGCCTGCTGCTGCCTTCATCGTCGCTCCTGCGTCAGGCTGAGGAGGCTACAGCAACAAAACGCGCAACAGCCGCGCTTAGATACACTCCTTCCCTCACAGGCCGTCATTGCACAACAGATAATGTGCCAACAAAAACAACACTATATTAACCATGATGCGATGGAGATGGATGCAAGTATGCAGTCTTCGGCATCTTCAGATTGACCCCCTATTGGCGGTGTCCTGGAGGATCTGCGTGCAAAAAGGTTGGTGACTTAAGCACGTGCACCTGGAAATGTATACGGCAGTACACGTGTGCGAAGGAGCTTGGTAACTGAGAGGCACCTGGCCCGGCCTGGTACCTGGCCTGCCGTGCCAGTGTCCGTGACTCCTAATTTGCACACTAAAGCGCCGTGACGCGTGCTTGTGTGTGGCGCCACCAACAAAGCCACGCAGCTTGCCACCAGTCCATCTCGCCCATCTGGCGCTTCCGCCGTGCTTAACTTATACCTCGCTTAACACAGCGGCACTATACTTAATATATGCCTTGCCGAAAACAGCAGCACTCGGCAGCAGCAGCATTCATCACTCAGTAAAATTCCTTACTTAGCCATAGACAAAGGAAGATAGTAACACAGCGTTGGAAACATCATCCTGTGATAAAAGGTCAAAGTAAACTCCAAAAAGCTTTAACAGTAATAATTTCTTTTGCGTCATGTTATGTTACGCGTCCCCCAAGGTAGACGCATAACAACAGTGTTTGCATGAAGCGGGTGGCTTTGAATGCCAGGTTTGCCATTACCATTGACAGAGTGAGCACTTGACAGTCGATTAAGACGGCTCCAATTGATACAGCGCGAGAGCTCTCAATAGAGGATAACTTCATATGAAGTCCAACCAATCTAAACGGACCTCCTTCCGTAGCTCCACCATGGCAGGATACGCCTATGCGTGCGTACGTACGTACGCACATACATGCATACATATGTACGAACGCACGTGTGTGAGCGGATTGCCATACGCACCGACCGAACACTACTCCCGACTGGAAAACATAAGTGATACATAAATCGTATCTTGCCGATGATTTCTATGCTCTATCATTGACAACGCTTAAGTGCTCAAGATAGTTCGTCACCAGGAGGAAGGTAACCAGCTGCCGCAGTTCCGGGAAAACGTAAATTCCTCGACCTGTCTGCGTGCCTACCCGGGGGCCCCCACGCAACCATGAAATCGGCAGGCCGCACAGCCACAGCGCGTGCTCATAACCCCGCATTTGCACAGCTGCAGTAAGGAACACAATTTAAGAAGTTGAATGGCCAACACACCGCGGCGTCGGCCGCAATCATGAATCGTCATATTTCTCTTCTCTCCACTCATCTTTTTCAGCCGCCGACGTACATATTTCCACAGCGTAATAGGACCAAAAGTGAACATATTAAGTGAAGCTAGGTAGGGGTTGAGTGGAACAAGCAACAACAAAAACAAGTGCGCACGTCAAGTCGTAAGGAAAGCACCCCAATGGCGCTAAATTCGCACACACGCCGTTGCCCTGTCTTCTTCCTAAACGCATGGCGTAGCGCGCGCGTGAGGGTGGACGCTTCACCTTTCCAACCGATACCTTTGCGCTATCGACATTAGCAGCTTCAATCATATCACCCCGAAGCTTCTGGCTCTCAGCGGAGAACTGACAAAGGCCTCTCGCTCCCATTCGGCCAGCTACGTGAGAACAACCGACAGATGGGAAACAAGAGCAGCTAAGCGCGTAGCGGGTGCACCTGAAGGCACCCTTGAAGGAAGGTGGCACGTTGGTGTGCGGTTGTACGCAGTTTCTATAGAATTGATAATACATATGGCTTTCCGCCAGAGTTCCTGTGGCGATTTATAAAGGATTGCTGTTTCACACGTGCATGTATTTCGGCTTGCTTGCCCGCATAGCGGCGCACATATATGCTGTGCGCATATGTCGCGTGATACTTGATGATAAATACTTGATAATAAATCATTGATGAGAAACACTTGATGCATGATATTTAATGCATTATATTGACGCATGATATTGATGCATGATAAACCGAAAGGGTTCTCGCCGCCGCCGGCCATCTGCATGCTTTGCTTTGAGGCACACGGAATCCACACAGGTAATTGATCTCTCTACCGAAATTTAACGCTCTCAGATTCGCAAACTGGCGGGCACATACAGACCAACATCATTCTGCTGGGCGAGGCGTCCTGCAACCAGCACCAAATGAGGCTCGCCACGTCTCGGCTAGCTAGGCCACAGGCCGGGCTAAAAATGCACCAGCGTTCCAACCTGCGACCATCTAGCCTCTCACCCAGGATAATAGTGCCGCGCGCCACCCCCCTCGCAGCAAATGAAGTGGCCGATAACACGATTCAAATCTAGGGACAGGCTCGCATCCTGCCTAGAACCTTGCTTGTGCCTCCCTTGGCAAAGGCCAAGGAACGGGAGGTCAGAACTAACCCTAAACATAACATGACGCTAAGATCGCACCTGCACTGCTTACGATTTTATGAACCATTGCCATTGCTTAAAAAAGGGTCGCGGCGGCTTGACGACATAGCCTTCATAAACGCACATTACCTATGTACCTGGATACTACGGGTCATAACGCGCAGGTGAAGGATAAGGTGACTCGCGTGCATTGCGGCAGCAGCAGCGCATATTTCACGCCCATACCCGGAATTATTCCGTGAAGAGAAGTGAAGGTACGTATGTCGCGGCTCCCACGGTTTCTTGCGATGAACCGGAACGATGCTGGTTTAAGTCCGTTCCAGTAGCGGGACAATAATATTATTAGCGGGACGAAGGCGTCCCATTCACCATGATGAATGACCGAGGCGGACTGGTACAAAATCGGAGAGCCTCTTTAATTCTGTCTCCCTTGCTTTCCCTCTCTCTCTCTCTCCCTCCCTGTTGATTGGGGGTTCATGGGTGCTGTTGAAAAGGTGAAGCCAGGCAGCAGCCAATTCATCCACGCAGCCATGGTAGCCACGTAGCAACTAATGTGGTTTAGCTTTGCTTAACCTCCGTAGGTGGGCAAGTAGGCATGCGGGATGCGGCAGCTGGTCGAAACACGTACATATCCATCATCCATCTATCCTTGCGAGATTCTCCTCATTCGTCCGTCCGCGCTTGTGCCCTTGCCGGTTAGGGAAACTGAAGCCCTGTTGTTCAAAGGGATGAAGGATTATGGAAAATGCATGGTTGGTATATGCCCCATCCAGCGACGACGACAGACAGGACGGATAGATAAGCTATCCGCATGGAATACACACATCGGGCTGACTGCTCGGCGGCTGTTTGCTGCAGCAGGTGGACATGCTACAGTGAACCGCGTTGCAGAAAGGAAGTGCAGATGATTGCGTTCCTTTTTCTAAAAAGATGATGGGGAGCGTGCGAGACGGAGCCATGAGCCAAGTTCATTGCATGCATCCGGTACTTGGAAATGAGCATTAAACGTACGGAAGCGGACACTAAATGGGCGGAGTACACGTTTTCGTATGGCGTCGGGGGAACACGCGGTAGCATGTTGGTTACCTTATGATCGCCTTCCATTTGCTCGTCCCGTCTCCCTCACGCTCGTTGCCACTTGTGTTACCGGCTGCGGCGCCTACAATACATGAATTGTGGGCAAGGCCGAATGATGAACATCATTATCCCCACAACGGCGGGTTAATAAAGCCTCGTTTAAACCCTAAACTTATGGCCCAATTTGGATATATTAACAGTACGCGCAAACACGGCACCCAATGGCTTGCTGTCTGCTCCGAGCGGCGCCATACGTACCAATGCTGTTTGTCGTACGATCACCTTCGCCGCCGCCACCACCAGCACCGTGTTGTTGACCAGAGGTCTGAGTGCCCAGCGCCCTAGCCACCAGCCTCTCCACATCAAGCTCCAGGGGCAGCTGACTCATCAACTCCGCGATGCGGCGACGCTGTACATCCGCGTTACCGGAGCAAGTAAGTGCATTTCAAATGATACATGCAATGCGCGGCAAAAACCAGCGAAGTGAACATAAGGCCGGGCCAGCAGGGCGCACGTTACGGAGAAAGGAAGGCAGTCGCTCAGAGACGGATTATCCTGGACAGGATTATGCCAGGACACGTGCTAGACAGGTACAATGACGCAACGAGCGGGTCACCAACGCTGGAGCTACTGCTGGCGGGCTGGCGGGCTGGCGGGCTGGCGGGCTGGCGGGCTGGCGGGCTGCCGCTGCCGCTGCTAGGGGTGCTGCGGCTCAGCAGTGAAGTAGGGAGCAACGGAGGCATCCTCGCGCGCTAGGCAGGATCCCGTACATGCCCTGGCGCAGGTGGGAGCACGAACGTTCCTAGCACGCAGGCGCATCGTCTGCGGTTTTCAGGGACTGCTCCGCCTTCATGCCATCAATCCGGGCCCCCCGCCATGGGGGCCCAGCATCGCATGCGATACACGCACGCACCTCGTGAGCGATGCGTGTAAGCAATGGGTTGAGCATGAACATCAGGAAGCCGCCAAAGATGACCCAGAAAAGCAAGAAGAGGATGATATGCAGCAGCAAGATATCTGTACACGCCAGCCAGCCAGGAAAGGCAGTGAAGTGGGGTAAGAATGCATCGAAACAGTGAAGCGATCGAGTGCAGTGTGTAGTAGCTGGCTGGCCGCTAAAGAATGCCTCTCAGGATGCTGACAGAGCGCTATAATAAACACATACACATTGAAGACGTATACGGTACACCGTGTGACGGCCATCACATAGCGACGCGTGCAAAGGTATGCATTTCAATAGGGCTGTAGGGAGCGGGGCAGCGGTAGGTAACATACAGAGGATAAAGGGATGGAGCGAGCAGAAAAAAGAGGCGCTTCAAGGCCCGGGACTTCCGTGGTTGGATTTCGTGCATAGCTGGCTGGGACTCCAAGCCGGGCAGTACGTCGGGACGATAGGGACGATCCCTACCTACTACACGAGGGTGTCGCCTATAGGTGATCGAAAAGCTTACTAACGTAAAACCGGTGCCAGCCTGCAGAAATACCCAACGACTTCCAACCTCTCTACACTGGAATGAACAATGCTTGCTTTTTAAATGATGAATTTATTCGTGCCCGTTCGCCATAGATCCCTGCCAAACCCGCTTTATCTGTTACCAGGTCCAGGTCTATCACAATAAAGGTCACAGGTCAAAGGGATTACGGCAAGCAAGTTTTGCCGCACTCACGGCTAAACAGCTGCAGGATTGTAGCGTAATGGGCATCTGCGATTCCTGTCGTGCCATCCAGGAGATCCTGTAGCATAGGGAATCGGCAAAAAGTAGGGTCACTAACCTCCAGGGTCATTAACCTCGGCGTGTATTATGGGGAGCAGCGATGGAAGGGTTGGAAGTCGCTATTTATCCCAAGCTGCACTCCCAAAGCCATTTGTGTCCCCACCCGGATTTTTAAAGCTTGCAATAAGAAAATCTCATCTTAAGGATTGGCTTTTCTGGCGATAGAAATAAGTGGCCATATAATTGGGAACGCATGGAGACTTGCACACTGACGGGTTCTCTTGCTCGGTGCGATACGTGTCATTGCGCACAAGAAGTGCCACAGGCACCATGCAACAGTACATGGAACTGAAAATGGACACATGGACACAGCGCAGCACATCTAGCGGGTAATTTTTCGGGAGTGAGTGCCAAGGAGGAAGTGCCACCCCCTGTGTGTCCACCAGCCAGTCGTCGGTTTGCGCGGTGCACCTTATCATGCTATGTGCAATGTCATGAGCACGATATCGAATGCGCCAATGTTACTCGTTCCAGCAGGCCTAACACGTCAAGAATCGTACAAACACGTACCTTGAAACCAACATTGTACACATAGTCGAAGTGCTCTGCGGTGATGAGGGCAAATGGCAAAGAGTGGGCAAAGCGAATTTAGTTTCGCCGGATGGCCTGATCTGGTGGCTGACGGGCTCGGGGGAATATATGGATAAATGAATGTGCCAGCTGGTGTCGGTGTAACGAATGGATGCTTCGCTTGAAAAACTGTAGTAGCTGGCGACAGAAAAGGATGGATCACCGTAGCACATCTCTACAGACGAAGTGTGTGTCGTACTATCTGCAGCTACTACAAAACCATGCAAGCAGTCAGCCGTGCGTTGTCCATGGGTTCGCACACGCACGCACCGTCCTCCAGCCCCTCAGGCACCAAGCTGCTGTTGGTGGCCATAGACGACAAGCTGATCATGAGTTGCTGCATCATGCTATCCAGACCCGTGTGGGTGACTTGGTAGAAACGGTCACTGGGGCCCACGCATGGCCCGGTTTCCTACATACAGACCGCATACATACATGGCCAGCATCCGGAAATACAGATATGGGTTAGAGAACCTGAAGCGACCGGGTAAAAGTGTGGCGACATCCTTTTCTTAAAGCATGCGGAATGAAGAAATGGCTGGGTTGTGGATGTCTTTAGTAGCTGGCCGCTGAAAACGCCTCTTAAGCCAGTCAACTTTCGAGTCCCTAAGTCAGTCAACCTTTTCATCAGTTAATTGACTACATGCATACCGCAATCAGTATCGAGTAGTTAACGAGTACGCAGGCCCCAGGTGTGGACGGTGGCTGACAGCCCATCCCATCCCATTCCCAGATTATTTGCGGTGCATGCTGGAGGTAGCACGTCAGCAAGGACTTCAGCCAAACGAGTAAACATAGATATCCGGATACCTGGGTTCGGTGGCAGATGCCGCTGTTGTAGAAGAGCCGCTCAAGCTCCTTCGAAGCGTGTGATAGCCCATTTCTGACCAGTGGAAACCTTTCCACGTCGTTACCTGCGTGCGCGCGTATGTGTGCATGCGCGCGTATGTGCGCATGTGCGTATGTGCGTACGAGCGATGCGTGTTTATAAGTCTACACATACATGTGCGCAGACGGCGTACGAACCCAGGACTTGCCTCAACGTGGCCATGCAGCGTACACATATCACCCGGCCCTGTAGCTGGTGACGGTTCACGGTGACTGGTTCACGGACTACCTAGCTATCTAGCTACCACACCCAAAGGATACCTGTGCCTCGGCATGTGGACTGACGATGACCTTAATACACTACGCCGTTTCGGGCCCCATGACCACCCCATCACTTCAACCAGACCATCATTTGAACTATGGAAACGAACTATCCATGTATGCATGCAATCGTACACGCATCGAACGAGAACTGCACGCACTCACCCAAGGCGGTGTAAGCTTGGTCTCCGAGCTGTAACGTATACCAGGCGTCCTTCACCAACTTGACGACCTTCAGCAGCGCCGCCCGCTTGGACATCAGCTGATTCGGGTCGTCCGTGTTAGCAAGCTCCTGAGTAGACGCAGATAGGTGCAGAAATAAGTCACGTAGACATCACACCGCACCACTGCACATACTGAGGTCCCATTTTGCCAACCCCCGAGATACGGAACACATGAAAGCAACCAATTATGTTGCTTGGGCCAATGCGAGTGAATGCTGCTAGTGGATTGCTAGTGAATTGTGACTGCACGCATAGATTTATCCATCCTTGCGGAGATGACACGGCGGAGGTACATATGGCCACCGATGCCGCGAAGACAGCTCATTCGCAATGGCGTCCCGTAAAAAATTTTATGGTGTATTTTTATAGGTGTATCCACGCACAGCGGGGCCGCCCAGCAAACCGACCAAGTGACCAGCGGCGTGCAGGGGGCACTGAACGCTCTATCTGAGTAGGCTTAGGACTCCATTTACGTAGATAGCGTACCTGACAGAAGAAGACCTGCGGGTCGGCACGGTGGATTATCGGTACAGTACGCAGGGAAAGGGAGCAACGGCTCAGTTCAGCACTGAGGATGTTCAGCTGTACATCAAAATGTTCAATGCAAACATCGATGCAGAGCATGAGCAGCAGATTTTCATACACAACGTGCAAGGTCTGTTGTGGATGAGTACATAGAGTAGCAGAGGTGAGCTACAAGGAATGTAGATGCATGGGTTGTAGGATTGGCAATTAACGAGTAAAGGACGAATGGGGCTGGGCCGGAGCAGGCAGCTCCGAGCTAAGTCACAGAGCTGTCACAGAGCTGTCACAGTGTCTGTGCAACTTAGCGCGGGCCCAAGGGTCATATCTCCACGCATCCATTCGCTTCCGTGGTGGCAAACACGTGCATTTCTATATCAGAGAACGCTATCTGCGTGTATGCGTCTCATGACACGCACCGTGCGGGACGTCCTAGCAGCCATGAAGTTGACAACAGAGTGCACTGCAACAACGTCGTCCACTCCCTGCGGAGGGGTTTTTGGCGTTAGCGTGAGATAAGAGATGTTAATTTAGTCCTGGGTATATTTGCAGAGTCTTCAACTACCGGCGGCTAACTGTCGCGGTGGACTGCTCTCGAATACAGCAATGAGCAAACCCCAAGCAGGTGTGGTACGTAGGCGCATGTGCGTGCACGCCCTTCAATCCATGTTCACAACCAATGTCGACATACACAAGCATACAATACATGTGACCATACATACACAAGCCTCATATTCACACAATTCGTGCGGAGAGTAGGCGCTTCGTTCTTCAGTCCATGGAGTTGGCAGCCAGCTCACTACGTAGGATGTATGCCCGAAAGCTAGCTTGCAGGAGTAGACAGCAAGCATTTGTTTGCCAAGGCTGCCATAGCGGAGTGGGGAGCTATCTAGCATACTGTTGTACGTGGGGCCATATCGTATTTTGGATGAGATGCTAGTGGCCAACGTATTAGTTAGGTGGTGGGGAATTAGCAGGCCTTCGCAGCGGCAGCGGGAACACGAGCAACATCTCCCACCTGCATCCGGATGACGGCCACTGCATAGATGGTGATGACCTACATGCGCGTGCATAAAGAAACAAAGTAAGGCTCCATACCCAGGACCATAAACTCCGAACGTGCATTAAGGCGGGCCAGCAATTAAAGGGTTGGAGCCACTAATAATGGTCACCAGTATTTTTTTCGCGCAGGTATGAGTATGCGGCCCCTATCCGTGTTGCTAGCCTCCTGAAACCGTTCACAAGCATGTAGTTGGGTGTTCAACCACACAGCCCACCTGCCCTCAGCCACCCTGTCAGGTGCCATCAGGTCAGTTGCACACCTCGGGCTGTGCATTGAACTCTGGTAGTGTAGGGCTACTAACCGTGGCCAGCCGGGGGCGCGGACACAGACCCTAATTGTAGAGGTAGGCTATACGAGTTGCAGTCCCTGAAGCCATGATTGCCCAGACCCAGGTTCAAACCTGCAATCTTGCAAAGACACCTACCATGATCGACCACACTACAAAAGGCAGCAACATGCTGACAGTTTCGTGCGAGTCCATCCTGAGGCTGCGCTTTGCGCCGCTTCCGTGTTGCCCATTGTTGCCATTCCTGATGGAGCTGGACATTTGTAGTGGCAAGATCGAGCTCCTCCTGCAACGGACAAGGTAGACCGGTAAGACAATCACGCTTGGCATGCATATTGCACGAGCGGACGTGATCCCATACACGCCATACAGCAGCGGCGGGAGGTTGACCCATGGCCCTTAGGGTGACGCGTGTTTGAACACCTTGTCCCTACCCCAGCCAAGTGGGGAGTTCCCTTGCGCTCTTGGCCACGCATCCTTTTTTATCATGCATACCTCACAAGCAGGTTTCGGAGCCGCGATCTCCAATTCATCCAGCCACAGCAACCCATGCTTGCGTCCACTGACAAGCCCGACTCAGTGGTCAGGGTCCGTATCTTGTCGTACTTGTCGTACCGGTCCGAGTACGGTGGCTTACGACCCGAGGGATCATCATTATCAGAGCCCCGCCGTGCCTTGCCGCCAGCATGGCCCCCGGAGCGGCCGCCTGGTGACACCCCGGAGGAATCCCCGGGGTCCGCTGACTCCTCCACCTTCAACGTGGCGCGTCGCCTCAGCTTCGGTGCCGCGTTCTCAGCCTCCTGTATGACAGCAGCTTGAGCCCGCTCCTCCTCCTCATCTCCATCTTCATCTTCGTCCTCCTGCGCCAGGGGACCCGCACGCACGCACTTCACCGCAATGTGTGTAGGTAAAGGGGTTTGGTATGTTCGGCTTGTCTGAGCATTCGCAGTCCCAGCCAGCCAGCAGCTGTCCGGAATGAACAGAAAAACGTCGAGGGGAGTCCACAACATATGTCTAGGAGACACTTCGCAGACGAGGCGCGGCCGTCTGAAGGAAACTTTATGAATTCGGTGCTTCGATGTGAAGCTCCTGTCTTGCCTGAGCCCTAAATCCCTGCGGATTCTAACTCTGTCAAGAGAAATTTAGAGCTCTGCCCACCCGTCCCGCCTTTCCAAACTACTAGGCCCACATCTCCCGCACAACGAACCGGTTGCGCCAATTCACACAAACGAATGTCGAACTTACGTCGACCAGGAGGTTCGTGTTTTGAGACGCCAGAGCCCGGGTCAAACCCTGCGATGTTCGGAGCGTGACGACACACGGCTTGACAAACTTGTTTCAGGAGAGGAACACTCTCCAGTAACGGAAGCCCCAGCTGCTAACCATGCATAATACGTATGTGTGCGCGCCGCGCGTGACCTGATGATATCGGACAAAGGCTGCCCCGTCTATGCATGCACGCATTGCGTGCGTACAGGCCACTTCGCAACCAGCGAAAGACACAAGCAATACATGCTGACCTCAACATGCAGCTAACGAGAAGGTGCGCTGATGAAGGACTAAACCGGGGGACGCTCACCACAGGGATGACCAGGAACGTGCCGTATAGTTTGAACCGTTGGGCTGCGACGGCCCGGAGGAGGTACATGATGTAGCTGTGGGAGGACACGGGGGACAGATGGATTGGCCAAACCCAGGTAGCACAGCACGCATGCAAGTGTGGCTTAGCTTGCTTCTTGCCGGCCAACATTTACTTGGGGAGGAAATGCGTGAGGATAGCGCTAACATGTGCAGCTGAGGGTATCTCGTGGAGTTCACCAGTTTGCACATCAGTCAACAAGGCAAGAGTGCGTGCGGCTATCTAGCAGATGTGCGACATGTGCGACAATCGTGCTCGTGTGCGGTACGGCGTTGCTGGTTTATAGGTGGTTGTAGGGCAGGCACAGATGACAGGGGCATCCTTGTTGCAGCATGCGTGATGAGGCACGCAAGAAGGACTCACCAAGCTGCAACAAAGCTGACTCCAGCCCCCTCGACGAGCAAAAACACAATCTGGAGGACGTCGACCTGTCTCACATATGCAGCACAAGCAGGGGGCCCTTGTTTCGTCCATCAATTGCTGTCGCCAGGCTTCCATTCAACGTCACGCTTGGACTCTCGGCCGATCACTGGAAGCGACTGCCAAAATACAAGCCTGGCTGAGCTTGGGCGTTTCACTCTAGCACTACTACCGCGCAAGTTCTTTCCCTATCTCGAAGCCCGCACAACTGACAGTGCACGGGGACTAATTTCCATGGCGCTAAGACGAGGAGCTATGGTTTTTATGTTTGGTTGTGAGTCTACATGGGCAGCAGGCAGCGACCACAGGAAGCCCACACACGCGGTAGCCGGGCATGCATGCAACATATGTACGAATTATGCGAAGTATGAAGCGAACCAACGAGCATTCATGGGCGGAGCGTCTGCCGATCTCTGAGCCAGTGTGTGTACGTGCCAGCGGAATCACCTACATGTCGGGCGTTGTTGACGGCGTTGTACAGCAGGGCGTCCAGAATCTGGGTAATCACGCCGACCACAGGGGAAACAGACAGGCAGAGGTTACACCTGGCATACATACTTAAACAACAGGAAACAGCTTGACGCCGGTTGCGGTGGCGCCTGATAAGCATCCGATAAACATAATTCAAGCAACCACGTAATGGCACGTAGGCACAAACGGCCATAAAGCAGCGGGAAAACAGAACTCCATGCAAGCGTGCAGCCGGTTGCTGTAGGGCCGCAACTCAGAACAAAGCATGAAGCCCCTGGGGGCGGAAAGGATTCTGCGCACTCAGACAGCAGACTGACCCTGCGGGAATCGCTGAAGAGGTCGGGCCCACTCTTGAGCAGGAACTGCCCAGGGTACGTGTCCGCAATGAAGGCCTTTTCTGCCACCCAGGTGCTGTGCAGCTGCTCGACTTGTTTTGCCATGCTATAGAAGCGAGTGGCGAAATCCTGTTGCAGCCAAGCAAGGCAAGAGCAGGGTATCAGACGCCCCATGGACGCCGCCGCATGGACAGCGACGCATGTGTATTATGCGTAGATGTCTGGGTGGATGACTAGACAGACGTGTGTATGCCGCTAGGTGTTTGTGAACGGGCGGGATCAAATTTGCTTCGATGGCCCTCTCGCAGGGAAACATCCGCTCCGATGGAATGCTTGGTTCACAGCCAGTCAAAGTGGATGAACTCCGATACATTCTTTCGCGCGTCCTCCATTCACACTGGTGCGATTGGATGATTGGAAGTCCACTATATAGGCAGGATGGAAACCCTGCGTAGGCGAGCTGAAGGGAGTGTACGTGTAATACCTTGCCGCTGAAAAGGCCTCCGTAGATGCTGGTGGAGCGCCATAGCGCGTATTTCTGGACGATATGTGTACCGCACAACTACAGTAAGCCAGGCGTTTAATACACATGTTGGCCAGGAATTTATTAATATCCTTTACGCCAGGTGCATAAACATTCCGTAATGAGAAGGCATTTCAAATCCGGATCTGGGTCAAGGCACAGATGACTTTCCGTTCACTACACAGCCACCCATGCATTCTAAGGCTCCTCTGACACCTGATGCATATAAATTCGTCCACAATCACGCGTAAGTCTTACCCAAATGGTTAGGTTGGTGTACAGGTCCGAGCCGTCCGCATCGTTTGTGTCCCAAACCTGCATCAGCATGTAGTGAATTAACACCTTTCAGGCAGTCGCTATCTCTTTGCATGTGCAGCTCGCATTTCAAGCACAGAGGCAGTAAATAACGTAGGGGCTTGTCCGAATGTATACATGTACACGTAAGCAGCCCAGCTTGGCAGGCATGCGGGACGTGGTTTCGCCAAGTATTGGGTTTGCTGTCGGAGGATTCGCCCATTCTTTGCAACGTAAATAATGAAACCCGGTAGTAGCCGACTACATGCATATCAATGCTGCAGCAGAGCGTTCAAGCAAGAGTTAGTTAGCAGCGGGTGGGAAATTACACCGGAGCGAACCATGCATCGCAGGTATAATGAAGCTGGAGGGTGTCATCAACCGATACACATGTGCACGTGCACACATGGACGCATGATGATTACTCACCCTACGCTTCGTTTTGTAGAGCAGATTCATAAGCTCCTGGGAGTTGGAATACGCACTCAGGATCTCGTTGAACCGGACCTTTGAGCGGCAGCCAGGCACGATCGCACACACGCATGCAGGAGGGAGGTCATCAGGTAACTTCGATGCGTGCATATATGTATGCTGCATGTGGCGAATGGACGGCGTCGATTGCTGGAGGAGTCAGGGACAACCACAAAGCATCATGGATGAGCTACATACCTAGGCTGGATGCCCTGATGGATGCCCTGTAATGCAGTAGTGCAGTGCCTCTCCGCCAATGCTGCATTGCAGGTTATTCAGGTTATGAGGCTACGAACCCTGCAACGGTCCTGCCTTGCAACGGCGTTATTGCAAAGGCAGTCAATTCACGGCGCGGGGCATTACGCCGCATGCATACGGACGCGGGGGCAATTACTGAGCGAAGGTTTGTTTGTCTATGCATGCATGCGTCTAACAAGCAGATAGATGCCCTGTGGCGCGCCGCCCAAGCAAGGTTATACCCAAGCAAACTTTCCCAATATCCTGCCAGATTGTGACAGTACGGCGAGGTGATGACTGCCTCGCTGGCGAATGTCACCCATATCAGCACCTCTTGGGTACACGTTTGGGTATCTTCTGGGCCCGCCCCAGCCCTTTCGCCACCGTACACGCCGCGCTGCATTAAGCTGGGTGATGTACTACCAGACACGAGTTTGGTACATCTGCATAATTCTTTGCAGGGCTGCTACGGGTTGCTTGCATAATTACAAAGGCCGCTCAGTCCACGCAATGCGTGAGCACAATCTAAGCCTCATCTAACCGTCTAGTTGTCGTTTGAAATCAGCATGCGATGGTGAATAACGCGCGACTCATCAGGTCTGAAGACCACACTTGTCCACAATCAAGCACACGTATGCACGCTTACCTTGAGTTCCTCTGCGTCGCTTGAAATGCGCGCGATGAAGTGCTGCACGCAGTTAAAGGTCAGCAGGTCAGCAGGAGGAACGAGTTTTTTTATGGGAGAGTAAAGCCTGCTGAATAGGTGCCGTTGATAGATTCATTGCTTATAGATCGCACCCAGAAGGGAAAATGACAGCTGGTGAAGCTGTGCCCCTCTGTTATCACGCGCGCGGAATAAGGTCATGAACTCGTGCATGTATGAAGCAAGACAGGAGGCTATCTACATCGGAATGCTGAGCTTCGCTGTCCTGGACACCCCATCTGGGGGCCCTTCCGCCTCTGCTGTCCCCGCACGTTTCCCGTGCACTAGTATCACACGCACGAGTATCGTTCATACGCATTGCTAATGCGCACATGTGTGTCATTGACGGTGAAGAGGTTGTCGAGCGCTTTATTGTGGGAAATGATGTCCAGGGAGCGCACATCTATTAGGACCTGCAGTACACACAAGGCAACCAGCGGGTGGCAGTCAGCGTCGTACATGTCTACAGAGTGGATGCCTATAGAGTGAATGTCTGCCAATGTCCGCAGACATCCAAGCGACCGCGTGGGTCTCTGAAGCGAGCTTGTTTACGCAACGTGATACATGTCCACAGCATGACACATGTATACACGGTGCATGTCACCGCGAATGCCCTGGACTACAGCGTGAATCTTGCCGCAGGATAATCGGGGGGTCGTTCAAGCTAATAAATTAAGGGTTTACCAGGGGGCTAGCCAGCCACCGTACATGGTTTGGCGCTCATATCAAGTACAGCTGCCATCAACAAGGGGCAGTACTTTTGCGGCGGACGCATAAAGGGAGAAATGTTCCTATACATCTGTGCGCCAACTAACTTTGCCATCCGCACACTAGACGTACCCGAACGTAATAATTAATCAATTCATTAGTTAATTGGCTGCAAACGCACACATACCCACCCGGTGCAGGAACAGCTGCGCCTGGCCACTGCGACCAAGCTGTGCCATGCTGGCCTGCTGCGTCTTGATTGCAGTAATTGTGAGCACGAAGCAAATGATGTGCAGTAACGCCAGCATCCCCACGACGATCAGCGCGTGGATCCGCAGGCGCTTCTGAATCTGCACGCGTATGTATGTACGCATGTGTGCGCAGGAGCAGCGGCAGCGGCAGCAGCGAGCAGTTCACTCGTGTGAAAATAATACTGTCAGCGTATCCGTTCACTAGCCAGTACGCATGCATTCGGAAAAGACGCACAGGCATTCCATCAAAAACAGAAGGTAGTGATGGATTGCACTATGTACACACAGCCCGCTGAGGATAGTTACGGCATCCAAGTAACGATTAATCGACGACCTCATGCCTTACACCTACCGTTGGGGGGACGTAGGAAGCGAAGCGAACCCAAACGTGCAACGAGAAAAACACGGCCTTGATAGATATTCCTATTAGCACAAAATACTCTCCCTTACTGCTCGTCGCACGCGCACGCGCATGCAAGCAAACGCAAGGGGTGCTGTTGCTACAGTTGCACCAGCCATGCATTGGCTCCGGCACTATTATATCTTATGCTTATCGGCATGCCTGGAAAAACTATGGTGTCCACTTTCGTTTGTCCTCCCACTGGTTTTAGCATTGACGATTGCGCAGCAGGCTACCTCAGTTTGTATACTAACTGTTCTCACGCACTCCTAATGCAGCATCTGTGCAAGATGAGGCCCCTAATTTTTATTGCAGCGTTCGCCTGCCCAGCTGCCTAGTTAAGTCCCAACAGAACGCACCATCTGAGTCTGGCTCGAGTCCATCAGCTTGGCCAGCTTGCGGAATCGTTTTCCGCGGGTGTACTCGCTGCCCGTTGCTGCAATACGCAGGCAAGCGGAAGAGCAAGCGACGAGCAAAGGGAAAGGCTACTAATGCAAGCTTGGCTTGGGCTGCCGGTTCTGCTCTTTGATGGAAACATCATTCGTGCGACACAAGTAGCTGGTTCGTGCCTGTGCGCAGAAATGTCAACCTACGGATTCTGCAATCGACATTCGTCTTTTTTATGGCTCGCACTCATGTACAGTGGCCTTCAACAAGAGCATGTTTACATCCATGGCTGGGGACAGGCGCAACAGACCCTCGCCGCGTACCTACCCCCACATACGCACGTGTAATGCAAGTGCAAGACTTACACACGACCTTACTAACCCCGCACGGATCCACAGAGCGCATGGATGTATGCACCAGTGCACCTGATGCCGCTATCAGAGGAGAGAGAGGTTATACGGCGAGGGATGAACAGCATACCCACCTGACTGGGCTCCCGATACAGCGCTCTGGCCGCCATCACTCCCTGCCTCGTCGTCCTCCGGCCCGCCGGCGGGAGGGGGCAACGCGTCCAAGCTGGCGCCCCCGCCGATCCGGAACTCCGCGGCAGGCCTTGAGTCGCTCATCGGGCTGGAGATGGGCTGCTCGGCAGCCAGCCCACCAGGAGGACTACTGCTGCCGCCTCCCATGCTGCTGCTGCGCGTGTAGTTGCGGCGTAGGCCGTCACGGCTGCCGGGGCTGAAACGTTCGCCACTCTGTTTTTTCAGGCCACAGTACAGGCCGCATCCACAAGTACGCAAGTCAGGAACAAGTAGGTGTTAGGTAGGAGGAAAAACTGCAGACATTAGCGTGCCGGTAAATGTGTTTGCATGTCTTAGCTCGCTGCGAGGGTGCAAGAGTGAACCGTGTCGTTCAGTAGCTTGACCTATTCATAGCATGCTTCATCCAAAAGCAGGGTGATTATGTGTGGCAGCAGTGGCCGGCTATTCCCGCACCCATGTATGGAGTGCTCCCTTGATTAACGACGTTTATTATACAAGGGCAGGAACTCGCAGCAGCTCGCAGCTATCAGTCTGTAGTGCTTGTCCCACGCGTCACCTATATAGCAGGCCAACGTACCATGGAGCCGTCGATAGGCGAGTTCTGGTAATAGGCACCTGAATGCGCGAGGGACAGCGGGAAGGCCACCAAGTAAAAAAAGACAAGTGTGCGTCCAATCGTTAGAAATGCGAAGGGTTGCTAGCTTTGTGGTTGCTAGCTACAAATGCACCTAAATCGGCACGACACCAACGCAAGGCGAACAACGGACGGGGTACCATTTGTACCAAAACATAACATCCAAGGACCAAGGGAAAGTCAATAGGATGTTATTGATACCTAAAGAGAATGTCTCATCAAGTAACGAAGGTGCATGTTAGGATAGCCGAAGAACCTTGGTTCAAGTGCCTACCCTTACTAGCGACCCATTCCTTCACGCGTTCCGCCGTTTCAGAGCGGGCCTGTGGGTCCACCGGGGCCAGGGTCGGAAGGCAAGGTAGGGGCAATACGTAAGCAGCCATGTGAGGCAGGTAGGGACAACCGCAAGCGATTGAGGCGCTGGACTACGTGACGAGTTATGCAATTTGTACCCAGAAATGTTTTGCTGGAACTAAAATCCCTGGCTGTATGCGTAAGGATTCCGAAGAAAGCAAGAGACCTGAATGGCTGCAGGCATGCTGATCTACTTGCTGCAAGCCACCAGCAGCCAGCAACACTTATCCAAAAGGTAGGAACAAAGCAGGTGCATTATGCACTCGGCATACATACGCAGACCTGTACCTTCGCCGTTGCTTTACTTGCCTCGGCCTCCTATTCCTTTTTAAAAATTGGCTTTCATCAAAACACGCATATATGAGGGCGTACACCAATAGGCAAACACAGGACCTACGCACATACATACCTTCGAATGCACGGATCCATTATGGCCGTCATCGCTGTTCGAAGCTGCACCCTCCGAACCACCACCGCCGGCGTTCTCCGCCGACCCTCCTTCGGCATCGTCCTCTTCCTCTTCTTCTTCTGTAGCGAAACCAGGAGGGATGGCAATAGGCACGGTCGCACATTCGGAAGCCTTCGAGAGATGCAGACGTTGGAAGCGTTACTACCGCAAGCAAGCCTCCCCAATAATCGCCTTGCAAAAGGCACCAGTGCCACACCTCGCGTGCCCCAGCTATGCACAGAAACGTAAGAGATTTTGCCTTAAAGCTCCTTATGAGTTCCGCTGCAGCGTCTACATGCTAAGCTATCGCACCTATCGGCAAATATCCTGCAAATATCCCCCGGCAAATATCCTGTCATGCGGCTTCCAGCAGCACGCAAACAAAGGCGCCATGTATCTCCCCGGCCCTTCCTGCCTACTAAGCAAAAAATATGAGGGCGGACCCGTCGACCCTGATCCTGATTAAACCGTCATTAGGCTCAAAAGTACACACCTTGCTGCAAGGATCCAGGGACCTTAAAGCCGCCCTGGCCTTTTCCAAAGACCGGTGATAGCAGCCGCGCGGCGCTGAAGGATGTCTTGATGGGCCCCTCCGCCTTAGCATTCGCCCCCGCACCGCGCGTCGCCTGCATTAGTCGGCCACTGCCCAGGCCCGAACCCGCCACGCGGTCTCCCTCCACGGACTTGACTAAGTCCGCCAGTTTGCTGCGCCCCACGGCCATCTGCGGCCCGTGGCGGGCCCCGCGCGCACGGCCCGCCGCATCCGTCTCGGGCGGGCCGCCAGCGGCAACCCCGGGGTCCATGTCCTGCTGGGCCTCCCTAGGCGTTGACGCAGCCATTGCGTTGAAGGACCCCTCCGGTGGCATGCTGCTGGATAACTTCGCTGCTGGCGGGGTCGATAAGGCACGGATGGCCGGCGGAGAATGGGGCGGTCCTGGCAAGCTGGCGCCCCTCTGGGGCCGCCAAGGGCTGGAGACGCGTGGCTTGGGATCGTCTTCCAGTGATGCCGTCGTCGGCCGGCCCACCGCCGCGACCATTACTGCATCCGTTTTTCCAGCTTCACCGTCTGCGGTGTCATCAGCGTTGCCATCCTCAAACATTGCGAGGACGCTATCGTCCACTTTGCTGGTTGGCAGCTTCGCCGAAGCTGGAGCTGTCGCAGCGACTGTGGGCACCCTGTCGTTCTCACGGATGGCCACGCCAGCGAACCCCGTGCCCGCCCGTATAGAAAGCACCCGCTGCGGCTGCGGCTGTGGCTGTGTCGAAAGGGACTTGGATGGCTGCTGCGGCCCCGGCGGCTGCGGTGGCGGTGCGACCAGCACTACCGGCACCATGGGGGCCTGGTGCACTCTCAGGATGACGGTACAGGGCTCGTTGGACCCCGGCTTACCAATCACTTGCAAATTAAGGCTCAGCGGCCGGCCGTCCAGGTGCGAACCGCGTAGCACGTGATTCGGGCCGACCTGCAGTATTCACACGTGCGTCAGGAAGCTTAGCCTTGCCCCACCAACACCCATTCATGGGGGTAATTGGGTTTGTGTGATAACTGTACAGAGTTTAAGGTCCGGCTAGACGGGCCGTCCCAACTCGAGGTGCAACATAGTACTGCTTGTTGATGCAAATGATTGCAGCTTTTCACCAGTCAGCTGTAAACCGGCAGCATGCCGGAGCGACGACCCGGGCGGACTTGCAATTTCATATCAGGATTGCCCTTGTTCCCATGTATGCACCTATCTACCTTCACACTGGCCTCCTTGGCTTGTGACTTGAGGCTGCTCTTCTTGTGGCCGTGCAGGAACAGCAGTTCTCCAGGTTTGGTGCGTCCCGGAGGCATCGACACCAGCTCGTTCAGTTGGCAGCCCACCAGTGACTGGGTTGGAACACCGAACAGCAGACCCGCGGGTCGCGTGCGTTCCTCCAGCACCGCACGCACGCGACCATACTGGTCCATCTCCAGCACGCCCACGACGAAGGGGACAGGCCACAGGTCCACTTGCAAGCTCGGGGTGTCGGTTTCGTTGGTATCCACAGGTAATACCACTTTCATCTGGTGGCAAGAAGATGGGCATGCAGAGGAGCACCATGAGCCAACGATGGTCTATGGAACAGCAAAATGCAAAATAGCGTCCGTGCCTGTACGGTATACGGGAGGACACAGCCACCAGGCCAGCTGCCAAAGCGCAGAGATGCAAGCGAGTAACCCACAGTGCAGGGCAAGGTGAGCTGCTAAAGTTACAAGTTACAAGTGCCGCACGAGTGGGGGGGTTCCGTCAAAGCCGGGAGGCCATGGACTATACATATTGAAAGTTGATTACACCGTACGGCGATTTGGGTCTTGCCAACTAGACCCCTCCTCATCCAGTCGCCCGACATCCGTAGAGACAGATCAGCCATCACCACCAACTCATCATGCGAAACTAGTCCATCAACTAGACTTCATCTCCACGGCTCAGCAGTGTTAGTAAATCTAAACCTCCCGAATAATGTCGGGATAAATAGGCCCCCGACGACTTCCCCTTCCCGCATACATAGCGATGCAGAGCAAGCCGGCGCAAGGCCATGCGTTCTTTGGCTGTTTCCGGCCATCAGGCTGCCTTTGAATGAGTGGGAGATATTTAAAGACGCGTGAGCTAGGCAGGCAACCATCCCATGTGTGAGGACGGTTGCCAAAAAGTGGAGCGCTCCAAATGGACGTGTGGAAATAGGGTGAAGGTGCTTGTACGCCATCCCCGCCAGTTCCTAGTCGCAGCTCAGATTTTTGAACATACGAACATACATACATACCTGCATGATGGCCGGCTTGGCGGACTGAGTGAAGCTCAGGCGGTTAGACCCGCCAACCGGACGGGACGGCGGCGGCACTACTTGGACTCGCCAGCTGTGTCCCGGGTACTTGACGGCTCTGTGGGTGTGGGTGGATACAGGCAAAAGACAAAGCATCCAAAAGGTCAGTTTCAAGCAAGATTGATGAGGCTTGCAATCTGGCTTGCTAAGTTCCCACGTCAGAATCTAAGTAATCTAAGCACCCAAGTAAGGGGAAGAAGCCAAAGGGTTGTCATTATTGTCATCATTAAAATAAAGATAATGATGAACAAGTAGGGACTTTTGTTCCCCTTTAGGGGACGACCAAAGGGTTGTCTGTCCCCTTTAGGGGTGACGTTACGTTGCTAAGGCATAGTACTCGAACATGCGCGAGGCAGCTATCAAATAAATTACTTTTTCATCAGGCTTGCAACATCCCGAATGTTGATGGTGGTGTTGGAGCCCCTGTTGGAGCCTCGTCCCGTCGCCGTCACCACTGGCGCCTGCGGCTTATCCGATTGCTCCTCTAGTATCTCCCACAGTCCGCGGCCCACAAACTGATGGGACACACGGGAAATCCGGGACATGCAGGAAGTTTGGGACGGATAGCGGTTAGAATACTGGCTTTCCCACCGCCAGACTCGACGAAACGTGCAGCGACGTGGACCGAGCTGTATCAGAAACTGGTGATGGCGGGATGTGACAGGTCCGGCTGGTGGCGACTGTCCGGTCCGGGTAGCTGGCCGGGTGGGTGTGCAGAGAAAGCGCTCATTTCCAAGAATGCGAACATGTTTCTATTCCAAACCTCCAGACATGCAGCTTATAGGCTGGCACAGCAGCTGCAAGCCTTCTGGGATAAGGTTGGCTTCCTGCAGGTCTACGGGCTGGGCTGTGCCGCAGCTTTAAGCCTAACCTGGTGCTTATTTGGCTGCGTGTGTGCACGCGGCGACCATCAGGCTTTCGCTTACCTTGCCGGGCTCCAGGCCAAACAGCTGTGATGAGTTGCCTGATTCCACCGCCGCGATGAGACCGTCCGGGTTGATACTCAGGCGCAGCCTCCTCTCCGCCAGAGCAGACTCCAGGGATGACCTGACGAGGTTAGATGCACAGGCAGGATCCATTTGTGTCATGCCACTCGCACCGCCTGCGTTTCGACGTTCTAGGTAGATACGTTCCCTCCATACACATGTTCCCTCCTAAGATACGTCGGAACGGACGAGTACGCATACATGCGTCGTACATTCCCTTACACTATGCACGCACATGCGCATACATACATGCGTAGGCGTGCGAGATAAAGAACAATCGCAAAAAATGATTATGGCCTTTTGAAGACATTAAAGCTATAATCGTACAAATACAATCCGTCGCCCCAGTACAACATGCCGTACCATCAGCTGACGAGTCTTTCCTATACAGGCAGAATGCGTTGGTTTGTGTTATATCGGTGGGATTAAGGCACGATAGACTCCGGCATCCGGACTGAGTGCTAGAAGTCTACCATTTGCACAAATCCGTCATCCCAGCTGGTTCTTTCCCTCCGGGAGGCCGAGCCGCCTCCTTGAAGGTCCGGGCTAATGCAGGGATGCGCGTATGTGAGGGTACATGTGTACATGCAAGCGTGGTATGGGGCAGGTATGAAAAAGTCTAACCCATTCATGCACGTAGCTAGGGCTGAAGATGACATGTTATGTTAGGCCATCCAGGTGCTCCGCTATGAGTTAATCACTCCAGGAGTGAAATGTTTATCCCGTGTGTTTATCCCGATCCGGGATATAGCCACACACATGTACACACATATAGCTATTTAGGAAGATAACCACCGTTGTTGCCGGTAAATAGCTGAGGCGAAGGAGTAGGTGCAGTTATAAGCAAGCAATGCTTCACTCGTTGGTTCACCTTGCCATGTGCACAATGTGGACTAACTCGCCCTGGAACTCAGTCGTAGCCACACCCACGCGCATGTAGATCTCGCGCCCACTCGCAGTGCGCAGCTCCAGGGTGGGGCCAGTGAAGGGTTCCTTACGGCAGGTTAGTTCCGCAACCGGCAGTGGGCTGACGGTAGTGATTTCCTGTATGGTTGCACAGTAAACGACGAATGACTTAGCTTCGTTCAAGTTTGAGTTTGGACGTCAGCTCGTTGTACGAGTGCGTTCATGCATGGCATGGCGGGTGGCTTTGATAGGGGTCGCACACTTGCGCCGTTTCCATCTATCCGCAGGGCTGGCATCGCTGGCTACACCGCAGGGGGCCGTTACGAGAGACTACCTCATGGGTCGCCTGCGTCACATAACCACCTGATCCGTTCTTGCCAGCGGCCCTGTGTTGCCAAGCTAAGGTTGGCTTAAGCGATGTACCTGAGTACATACAGCCCGCCTGCGACGTGCACGTTTGTAGATGACAACAGGTTGTAGTATATGTGCCGTAGTGAATGACAGATGCTACACAGACTGACAGCAAACATATTCAACTATCCGCGAGGTTGTGCTCGCCTTGAGTAGCTTGAAGTGCATTTCTTTCCACGCGGGAGATAAGAAGTCGAACAGCGTGAAGCCGTTCAAAGCGGCCGACGAGGACGCGCCTACTTCGCCCGCAACCCCCTCGCCATGCGCCAGGTGACCACCGCTTTCATGTGCGTGGTGGTGGTGATGCTGGCCGCCCGGGCCATGGTCAGCCAGCGCGCCCATTCGGGCTGTGGAAGAGTCCTTCAGGCGGGCGGCCAACTCGGCGGAGGCGTGCAAGATGACGCCTTTGCGGTTGACCGCAAGCAACTGTACGGGCTCCGTGTCGACCTTAATCCGAATCTCATGGACGACAGGCGAGTCCCTCGCGGCTGCACACAAAAAGCGGTAGAACTGTCAAGTCGAAGCAACGCGATTGCGGTTGGCCACCGGACGCCATAATTAATTACATAATGTCTATTGACTGTACATCAAGTCAACGAGCAGAGCCGTAGCGCATGTTCCTCGTGTCATCCAAACTGCGAAAAAACATGATGTGTGCGCCCTGATGTTCATCACCGCATACGAAAAGGTCTGCCACCTTCGGTAAGGAAAGCGAGGGCAACACACCTACGAGTCACTCTCGCAAAAAATAAATAAATAAATAAATATTTATATATTATATATTTATATATTATATTATATTTACACATATATATAATATATAAATATATAATAATAATAATAATAATAATAATAATAATATAAATATAATACATATATATATATATCAAGTGTAAGCCTTACCACTTGCAACAATTGTTATGGAGCACGCTACTGGCCTCCGCAGGTATTTGTGAGGCACTAGGACGGGCACCCCCTTGGCCTCCTGTCGACCAAGGATCCCAGAGCCTTCCCGGCCGTTCTCCACCTCGTCATCCTCCTTTTTCACCTCTGCCTGCCCCAGCAGCCTGTGGACAGGCATATCGCAAACCACATCCACAACATGAACGACGTTACAGAGAGGATTTCACCCAATCATGCCGCTCAATTAATGCCGCCCAATTAATGCCGCTCGCACCCAAACGCTCAGTGCACACGCAACGGCAGGTGCCCCCGGAGGTGCCAAGACGAACCCCGTGCTAAGCCCCGGAGAGTCAGCGGGATGAAGAGTCCGTATGGATGCATCACGTGAATGAATTGAAAAGAGATCAACACGGCCCATCACTCACTTCTTTATGATCTCACTGGCACTCTCACTGACGCGCTGGGATAGTACAGATGTGCGCCGCTCCACCTGCCCGGCAGAACGGCGCTTGGTAGCGTCCATCGTGTCGTCTAGCTGTGGCACCGGGAAAGTGATAAGTCCTTTGATGCTTGTCCCATTGACCTCGGAGGCCTTCCACCTGCGAACATACAGGTGATCATCACATATACATCCAATGCATGTGCAGAGCGCTACTCGTCCCTCGTTCGTTCGTGCACATTCACCCCGAACCCCATACCCGAAATTGGAGACGAAGGATGGGTCACATGATGTGATAATGCCGTTGTGCGTCACCCAGAGACTGGAGACACCTGGTGTCGTCGGCACGGGCTCAATGAGCGCGATGATGGTGGAATCCTCACCGACGCCTGCGATGTAAGTGTTGCGTTGCATTAGTAAAGCGCACTCAACACTGTATGGGCCACTCGCACATACAACGAATGGGCTATCACTTGCGCCAAAACCAGGGCGAGTGGTAGTACGTACATATCCCACATTTCATCATTTTGGGACGTGTGCATCAACTCTTGCCGAGCGGCAGGCAGGCACGTGTGCAAGGCCACAAAAAAGGCTTGCATCGCACAACTTATTGAAGGCCAACGTGACTGAACATGAGCAGGGCAACAAAGTGCGTGACCCATACGCATGGAAGAGACGCTCGCGCGCACAATATGACCGGACCCTCGGCCATGCCTCCAGCTGCCCTACGTATCAGCGCCCCTTTCCTATATCATCATTTCGGTTGTCGATTATCGGGGTCTCGGCGGCTTGGTGGAGACCGGCCACGCCGACCCACCTGAGGCCTTGCGGAGGGCGAGTTTGGCTGGGAATGCCAGCCGATCGGAGTGCAGGCCCACAACTGTCTCGTCCGCCATCTCGGCGCACTCCTCGGGGTCCGCCACAGCGAGAAGATCGTGCGATGTGGCGATGGACGCTAGTCGATCCGCCAGCCGTCTGGCGTAATGCGGAGCAAGCAGCGTCGCCAGGGGCTTACCCTCCAGCATGCCTGCGTTTGTGTACGCCGCGGCCCGGAAAGATAGTGTATTAGGCGCGGATTCATTCATTCCAATGCTCTCGCAAGTCTGTATGATGTCAAAGTTTTAGAACCCCGGTGGAAATCCTGCAGCTGGACTTCAACATTGCATGTGTGTGTGGGGGGGGAAGGGGAGCAGTTACGGCACGTAGAATTCTATGTGTTTCTTTGTTGTTCCAACACCGATATGTAAGTAAGTGCAAGCTTGTGAAGTACATCCTCCTGTGCAGCTTCTCTCTGCTACGGCTCCGTCTTTAAAGCATGAGAAAGCAAGGCACTGTGCTTTGCTCTCCCTTCATGCAGGTGCATCCCATGACATGCAGTGTTGTACGCACCTCGCTTATAGCCGAATAAGAACTGCGTGTGCCGATTGGCCTGCGTGCGCGTTTTCAAGTCATTAGCAGCAAAGCCGGGCGAATCGTATCAGTCATGTAGCACGGATTGCGACCTACTGTAACAAACGCTCAATTGAAATCGCCAGGCACGGTCGAATTCTTACTTTCAGTGGGCATTGGGGACATAGACGCAGAAGGAAGTGTCAAAGAGGTGTGTGCGCAAGGGCATAACCCAATTGCGACGGGCTTTCCAGCCGCCCAACTTTGGCGTTGCTCCGCAGCAATTCCCACATGGTTAAGAGCACAGTATGTGTCTGTGTGTGTTGTGAAACACGGATGTCCAGCAGGCACAATGGGATCATCCGCCCTTGCCGGCCTATACCCTGCTGCTCTATCCTTTGCGTGGACTGGACGTTTGATTAGCTGATAGGTTCTGACACGTTGTACATCACTATTCACTTCCCCAGCTTACCATCTGCACCTCGCCAGCAGCATTCAGCACCAGCACAGCAGTATCAATCTCGTCCATGCGGGAGAGAGGTGTGCCTGCAAGAGCCGCCGCCGCCGCCGCAGCGCAACGGGATCAGCATGACCGAACCACTTGCGCTAAAACGTCTAACATTTTGATGTTTGTATAGCATGGAGAAGCCTTAAGGATAAGGAAGTGCCTTTCTTTTTCAACAAAGCATCATGAATACACCGTCGGCTGTTTTTGTCACTCCTACGAGCAAGCGGCAGGAGTTTGCCCTTGCACCCACCATCGGGCATCAGCGGGCCTCCCGCATTGCCGTCCTGCATCTCCTCGAGCCGTTCAGCCTCAGCGAAATACTCCGCCTGCACAAGCAGGCGGCTCATAAGTGAGCGAACGCGTAGGTTAACACAAACATGTTGGATACAGATGCGAAATGCTTCATTCCCAGCTGCCGTCCGCTAAAAATGCGAAACGAGCTGCGCGCCCAATTACTCAGTGGATGTGTGCGGGCAAGGTAACCACTCGCTTTTATACATAGGTAAACACCGGTGAGGCGAACACATATACATATTAATGGGATGCACACGCGCCTTTTCTCACCCGGCCCTCCTTCACCTTCCCTACCCTCTACCCTATTGAAGCCCCGCGGCTTCACACGTCATAGAGGTAATCATTGGCGCACTCAGCATTGCCATAAGGTTATGCGGTGCTGCTACAAGGAGCGACACCGCATTGCACTCTCCATCCCAGTACACGGGGGCCCCACTTCCGCAGCTCATCGTTAAGATATTACTTCAACATACCGCGTGCCAGGGGTCATTCTTGATGGTTTGGAGGAACCTGCCATATAGATGCACCAGCTTGGGGTTATTGCCGTAGCTCTCTAGCACGACCCGGTATGCCCTCTGAGCCTGTGACAGGACAGTGCATGTACCATGACAAGCTGCAGTATTAATGGGCATGCGCAGAAGATACCAATGCCACATGAGCAGGTTAACTAGCACGAAGACACCAGAGACCGTTTCGTCTGGTGGCTTGGGACCATTGGAGCTTGGCATGGGGCCCCTTAACAAGGCAGGCGGCTGGCAGGAGTTAAGGCCTGGCTTCTGCTCCCGTCGCGTCCCGGCGCGTCCGGGTTCAAATCCGCCTGCCGACCTCTCGGGGTGTTTGAGAGGTGATGAAATGGGAGGTGGCCCCCCATCTTGTGGACGGTGTAGGACGTGATAAAATCAACTCGCGAGCTGACCAGGAACTAAGTTGACGCGCCGTTGATCCGCTAGATTTGGTTGGATGCTGGTGGTGAGTTGCCAAACTCAAAGAGTACACTCTGAAGTCGGATGGGGTGAATGGCTTAGGGTGCCCCTCTAGCAGGGGAGAGCAGGGAATTGCCTCGGGAAGGAGGCCACTGGTGAAGCTTAACCACCCTGTAACAACATCAACATCAACATACGCTGGAGCTTTACCGCCTGTGAGCCGACTCGATAGTGTGCTATTATGCAGGATTGCGGCGCCCGTCTCTTTTTAAAAAACCACCCGGGAAAGGATATGTACGATGCACGCGATGCCACCCGACATATTACTGCCAACCTGTGGCAAACCCTAGCAGTAGTTGTATTATAGTTCATTCGCCAACGCTTATGGTTCATGTAACGCTCTTGCCGTACAACGGCGTTGTACGATGGCCTTCCGTCAAGAGTGCGTTGTGTCGGGCCCGCATGTTAGACCCTGTGCCGGGATATTCGCCATCCTTGTGAATCCAATGGCGACTTTGCCGTACAGTGGCGTTGTAACACACTGTGCGTGCATGCTGGACACGCAGCGCCCATGCGTTTAGAGGGGATGGGAGGGACAAGTGACCTGCCTGAGAGACGGACGTTTCGATCTTGGCCAGGGACTTGCTGAGATGCGTGAAAGACACGGAAGAAGCATCCAAGGCTTTCCTGTGGGCCAGGCACCATCAAGGAAGGAGGAAGCTGGCCGGCCTCTCTTTGCGCTATCTACGCGGCAGGGCGAGATGCCAAGTGCTGTGAGCGTTCTATCCCTCGCCATGTAACTCCCCCCCGGCGGGTGCACAAACCGGTTGTGTCACAGCATTAACCAGACACGCGGACAACCAAAGCGGCCCTTAGCTAATAAGAAGGTATATCTCAAAAGGCCATTTTCCTTAGCGCCAAGCTGCTTAACGCTACGAAGCGCGCGTTTGCTCTCAAGTGTCCCAGCTCCCTCCCAGCCCTCACCAGAAGTTACACATGGCCTGCAGCGCCTCACGGTGAAGCCGCACCACCATGCGCTGCTTCCGCTGGTACTCCACGTAGCTGGGCGGAAGGCAGGAAAGAGGAACGGGGAGAAGTGATTGTAAAAGGAAGGCAGGAGAGGAAGCACGTGGGAAACCTGGAAGCTCGGACACCACATGCCGCGGATGTATCTTTCCAGCCGTACAACGTTAGGCTGAAGCACAAGAGCAAATGTTCACTTGGCCGACATCCGGCAGTTTTCGGTTTCCGTTGAATCGATTAAACCCAAGCTAGCTACGGCAAGATTGTCGATCAATCAATATGCACTTGGCCAACCAACAAACGAGGTTGAGCCCGTCCAGGACACGGACATGCTGAGACAGGCCCAGTCACGCACCCGAGTAGGTCCATAGTCGCGCTCACACTGCTGCCAGCCGCGTGTTGCTGGGGAGCCGCGTTGCGTGAATGGGAAACGCAAGGGGAGGCGGGAGTGGGGAACGGTACGGGCGGAGCATGCATCCATCAAGCGCACAAAGCAAAGAAATATATTCGACAAGTCCAAGCTTGGATGTGTCCTTGTGCGGATTAAGAATATTTAGAAACAACCAGCAGTTCGGTAATGCATGTCGCTTTTTGCGCATGACACATGCAAGCTCCCGTACGTGCGTGTCGCCGTTATCCAATCCGTTCTTTGAAGCAGCCGATGCCTGACCCTTAAGCACCCGTGAGCACGTTACGTACCGTTGCTTGCTGCTGCCGTACAAACATAATGAAACGGCACATGAGGCTTGGATTGAGCTTGCGCGCCTCCTGTGGGTGCATGCGGGTGATGAGAGCGGGTTGCTTGCAAATATCGAACCTATAGCACTCATAGTAACCCCGTTCCGCTGCTTCTCAGTCAAACCCCGCTCCGCTGCTTCTCAGTCAACAAGTATTCTCCACGGTATAACTATACATGTATGATGGACAGGGAAATGCAAGGCAGCAGTAGTACAGAGGCGGCCTTGGTAAGGGGAAACTAGATAGCAGACTCCTGACACGCAGCTCAGCCGCTCTCCATTGCCCAGGTACACGCGCCAGCCCTTCGGTTGCAGCTGCACATCATTATGCAGCCCTCCAGATTCTGGGGAAGTGCCTGCGAATTGTAGCAAATGCACCGAATCTAGCGGAGGAGCAAGCTGAGCTCACCTCGATGCGGCGGCTGCCACTCTGGCTGACCCCCAGGACGTCAATCATGAAATTGGCATGCAGCAGCACCATGTAGGCGCTTGTGGGAAACATCTCCAAGCCGGCCTGCAGTCGAGACAATTCAATCATTTTCGCTGCCGTTAGACAAATAGGGTCAGCTTCATCTTCGTCGAAACCAGCACAGGATGCGGCCCCTTGCAGCAACTGCAGGCTTGTTTACGATCCATGGCGGCCGATTTAAATGCATTTTAGGTGATACCCACAAGCTGCACCCATATTCAAGGGTTTCGGAACGGACATCCAAAGCGCACGTGGGACAAACCGCTCTCCTGGGATATGTGTCCACCCTTATCCCCACCTTTATCAACATGTGCGCCTTATTGACGGCATCCGGGTCCAGGACGCATGGCTCCTTCCACATGCGACAGTACCTGGAACCAGGAAAACGGGATGGAAACATTGCAAGAATGAAAGAAAGAAGATCCTCAGATCTGCGCATCTAGTACCGTTAGTTGGCCCTGTGGGACCACTATGCGTATGCATGTATGGGCTTAGATCCTCACTTGAATTTGCCATATGATGCAAAATGCAATTCCTAACGAAAGACCCGCGGCGGGATTGGGCATGCACTCGGATGATGCACGGACAGCAATGCCAGGGATGCACGTCACGTGCACCAAAGCAGAAAAACAAACTTCAAAACCCTCTGCATGCTGCTGCCGTACGCACGTAGTAGCTGTACATAGTACCGCACACATACCGTCGATGGATACGCTCCAACGGCATCTATAATGGCTTTTCAGCAGCCAGATAGTACGCCACATACCAGGCCTTTGAAAATTTCCTATGTCCTCGCTGTGTAACATCCCAACGCTTGCAATTTCCTGCCTGTACTTACGAACCTTGAAGCAATTTCGACGTCACGTGGTTCATCAATGCTCGTGAAAGCTTCGATCAACGGCAGCTTCTTAGGGTTCCTGCAAATATGCAGCAGGTCAGGAAAGGGGCCAGCATAGGGAGCAATTTCCTTAAACCCCCGGCACTAATGGATGAAGTCAGTCGCTGCAAATCTCTCGTGCATGCCACTCCAACGTGGCCGATAGTTTGTTTCCTTCCGATCATCAGGCAGCGCATTCATATAAGACTTGCGCGGCATGACCATGATCTGCGCAGTACATCGTTTGTCTTTCGCTCTGTATCCACTATCCAGTGCATTGCACGCTCGCCCACTCACTCGAGGCCTCTCAGTGCAGCTGCCGTGTTGCGGCGAAGGGTGGCCCACGAAATGAGCGCCCCCACGCCGAAGGCGGGCGCCAGGCCAGCCAGCATGAGGTCTGTCATGGCGCGGGACCATTCGCCCATCTTGGGTTTATCATGGCTGTCGACCCCGGGATGAAACACCAGCAGCATAAGGACGCCGGAGCACCATACCACCGTGACAGAAACGCCCGTCTTGAGGTAATTCACCCAGCTGACCAAATTGGGGCTCTGCACGCGCGGGCCGCGGACATTCGCACGGGGCAAGCAAGTGCGTAGACGGCACCCGGTGGACAGGAAAGAAAATGATGTGTCTATGATGCGTGCAGCCGGGCAGGGCTTCAACCCCGCCGCTATCTCATCAACGCACCAGGACTCGAGCTTCCAGGCCCTCACCGGCAAATGTAGTACTCCATGGCCACACACCTTGCTGAAGGCAAGTGGACGGCTGGCAATACGACTCGTGATTCATCCTGAGCCCGGCGTGACCATATGATACATGCACTCACCCATCGCAAGGTTTGCCATGCCAGCGCCACGGCCAGGGCTAGGTAGACGGAGGCCTCCACACGCGTCCAACCCAGAAATACGTTCACCAGGGTCATCAGAACCTACACAAAGGAATACGAGCGATTGTGCCATTTATGCCTTGCCACAGCAGATTTATTTGTCGGGAGGAAACCCTTTAGCCTAAACCCTGCTGGCTAGCATCTTAACCACTGCGTCAAGCATCGTTATGGTGGGCATGCCCCTAGGACGGTACCAGGGTTTAGAAGAAAGTATCAGCGTCTGGGGTTGGGGGGAGAACAGTAGCACACCGTGAAACGAGCGCCAGGTGCGGCGTTACACGGCGTTGTCAGATTTGACAGAAGCTCGAATGGAACACGTCTGTGTACCACTGTTCGACGTCAACTGACATAACCGCTTTACGATAATGCAAATGCAAGGACCATCGGTTTTCACTGCAACCTTTTGTTCACTATTGCAATCAACAATCAGTTGTTCCATGTTCCTTCAGCCAGCCTCACCTAGCCTCATGGGCAGCTCTTGTAACAGTGTATTAACGTTTAATATTTTTATGTTCACTATCGCACCCTGCGACAATAAGTGTGCACAGTAGCTGCCCGTGAGGGTGAATGTCACGCACCTTAATTCCGAATGCCATTACTTCTGCCCCGCTGTGCCCCAGAGCCATCGGGCGCCGAGACAAGGGGTTCACCTCGACCTGCACGAAATGGCAGTACGGATTACTCATGTTGGCTTCTTGTTACCCAACAATATGGCCAATTAACGTAAACCTCAAGTCCTCCTTGCTCAAAATCTTGGTAGATAGAGCAGATAATATTGATCATTGCAGCGTATCACCGGCCTAAAGCGGGCCTTATCCACTCCCGCGACAGGTTTACCCGCATCTCCCCATTGCGGTGGGTAGGTGCGGCAAAAGTACGACCTCACCTCGGCCATGTTCAACAGTAGCGCTATGGCGACGAAGAGGATAAGGCAGAGCGCCGAAACCACAGCGTGCATGATGTGCGGAGGCTTCGTACAGCCTGGAAAACACCGTATGGGCGCAGCTCTTAGCTAAGGCGGCCGGGAGTTGATCATATGCACGAGCATCATCCACTGACAGATGCCAACCGCCCGCAACATGCAGGGTTGATGCATTCGGGGCAATTATTTGGGACCGCTCATCACCCACATTGAATAGCAAAGCCCAACTTACTGTACTGTGGAAAGAGGTCGAAGTGTAGTTTCGGCTCGTCTCGGCTCGTCCCGGTGAATCGACACGTTATACCGAGCTGTGGGGCCAAGCGCAGCGCGCGGCAATGGTTCATAGACGTATAATGCCTGAGTGCGGTAACATCTGAAGCCCCGCGTGTTTATTGCAAGGGGCTGCCCTGCACCTCGTCTAGTGCATGTAGATTGCCATGTGCCAGTACTTACTGCAGCTCCCCAACGGTTAGCGGGAAAGGCCCAAAGCTTGGATACCCCAGGAAAACATGAGCACACGCGCGCGGTTGGCATGCAGTGGGCATCTTGCCACATTCGGTGTTTTTTCCCGTAAGGTAGGGCTGTGATGCAGCTGGGCAGCAGAACCCACGTACAGCTTTTCCTTTGCGGTGGTTCACGGGAAGTTTTGACCTCTCAATAGACAGCTAATCTTTACATGCACATACATTAATGTATTCTGCCCTTGGCCGCCTCCATCCGTGGCCTAGGGGACTCCGGGCCTGTGACTTCGCACTCCTTGGGGTATCCATATTGGGTGTTTTCCCCGGACATTGGGCGTTGTTCCGCTTTCTTGTAACCTAGCTTTCTCGCGTTGAGCGGGCCGCTCCCTTAAGACCTATAACGACTGAGTTGTATGCGCGTACGCGTCGCGACGCGTCGAAGCGGACAGCGAACAGGAGTGTCCCTCAGTCGCTGGTTTCCCTTCAGCTGCTTCCTAAAATCTTTCCTCTTCTATTGTTATACGCTAGAGCCCTTTGCCTGAACCTCCTTATTCTCAATCATGCTGGTTATCATGAAGGGGAAGTTTTGCACAGCGTTAACACCTATACTATCCTTCGTAAAAACAGACGTTGGCTGCCGCTTGCTTCTACAGGGTCTTTGAGGTTAACGTTTACAGACGTTAAGTTTCAGAGCAAAATGGTTTACGCGTGACGCTCTATTTCCTGAACAAGAACATACGCTTCTCCCGCGGCCAAGCAAAGCAACACATTCTTCGCATAAGAAGTTTTCCTGAAATCAGTTCAGGTAGACCGTTTTAAGATTTGCACAGCCAACCCTATGGGGCCGATCGATATTCGGGGCATACCGTGCAAAAAATATTTATGCTAATCTGTTAAATATGCGTTGTCGCATCCGTGATGCCAACGAAGTACTAAGTAGCTGGAATACGAAGGGACCGCCCAGCTATAGGTTTGTTATGCCTTCGCTTACGTACCTGCAGCAGGTTAAGCGAAGCTACGTCAAAAGCCTGAAAGAATACGCTGCTGAAGACGCGCAGCACCTGGGGTATGGGCAGCCGGATTGGGGGTTCAGACTGGCATGGCGGGCTTAAGCAAACGAAACAACCGAACATTGTCGATCGGACAAGACGACTCGTCTATGTGCCTTTTCGATGGCTGTCCACGAGACTCAACCTTAAAAGCACTTATGCCAACTGACAAAGCAAGAATTCACTTCTTGCGTAATTTGCGTAGCTACACGTGAGACTAACCAAGCAGGACCACGTGCGAGCACGTGTTCGCCAGGACACACGCTCGTACCTTAATGGGCCACACAACGGGGAACTTGTGCTCCTTGAAGCACCAGGCTACCCAAACGCACATGGCAATGTTGATCGACAGCAAAGCCAGCATGGAGTATAGAACAGCAAGGTATGCACCGTAGCCCTGCGGAATTGTGCACACAACTGCTCAGCTAGCTGGTGCAAACGACTCAACACCACGCGTCAAGCAAGGTGGAAAACAAGCGGACACCGGGTTTTCCTCCTCTTCCGGTGCGCGCTTGGGCAGCTTAGAAACGCATATGGATGCTTTATACAAGGCTGCTGCAAGCGGTTCAACCCGCTGCAGGGACCCGGAAGGCTCCAGCTGGCCGCTCCCAAATATGCAAGAAATGCAAAGGGCCCTCTGCTGGTCCATGTCATCCCTATGGGCAGCAGACATTCGCGCCCGGTCGGTGATTCATTCCTTCAAGGCAGTCTGCCCGTTCCCATCGCAGCAGTATTGGGCCAGCGGGGGAAACGTCCGATGGTGATCCACACACCGGCGAACGCAGCGCGACACAGCACATCTGTGAGGAGACGACAACAAGCTGCATACTAGACCGGCACGCCAAGGACTCATCGCAAGGGCTGTTTCAGAAACCCCCCTTCCCGCGACATGCTGCTACGATGCCTGAGCTACGCATCTCCGGGCATATCCTAAAGCTTTCCATGGCATGCCCTCTCCAACATCGATGGGGGTGTTCTCTGCGCACATCGCTCTTTGCGTTGCCACCCACATACCCAGCTCGCATCCGCGGCAGACATCCTGCAGGGACTGAAGGTGACAACGCCTGTATTTCACCCCGCTGGCCCGCCAACCCGGCTTCCTATTGACTAAGCTAAGCGGTGTCTGCCATGGAGCTTGCACCGGTCCCCACCACAGGACAGCTAGCACTGCACACACAAGCGGCCCCGGCCCCTGCATTATCCAAGTTCAGTCCTAGGGTGCGCAGTGCACTAAAGTCTCCATATGCGTTAATTGTCTAGGAGCATGGCCCCACTTGACAAGACGGACTTACCAGGTCTCCGAGCCAAGTGAAGTTGAGCACCCCAACGATTGCCCAAGCCCTACACAAGTCGCAGGAAGGACAGTACCGGAAAACCATTACGATCGACTGTTTGGCTTCATTCCCCCTGCACCAGCTGCCCGTCATGTTAGTTTGCATAGATGTGGAATGCCAAATAGGGAAAGCCGTACGACAATGGCTGACGTGCAAGATATATGTGCTATCCACAGGATGGAGAACGCCATATCAACCTGCCCCATGCTTCTGGGAGGGGATAGGGGTTCATACGCGCACGTGCTGCCCATAGACGGAGTGTGCAGCCATGTGAAAAGATAGCTCACCGGTGCACAATAATCTGTGCAGAGCAACGCAGTTTGCAGCACAGCGTCATACATACAGTTGCGATGTTACTTACACCATACACGTTTACTCACGTTCCATCGGGATTGATAGTCCATGCTTGCCGCTCGGGCATTATGACAGTCGTGAATAGCTGCCAGCCATCCAGAAGAATCTTGAGCAGCACCCATCGGATGCGGATGCGATTTTCAGATTTCTCCTTGCTATATGTGGGCAAGATATGGATTTCAGAATAAAGTTAAAATGAAGGTCACAACGAGCTTCAGCCATGAAACAGTGGGCGCTGCCGCTGCCCCAAAACCCCAAGTGGCTGCCACCGTGGCACCTTGCTTCGGCGGCATGTAACATACCTTAGGGTAAACAAGACACCGAAGATGCCGTACTGCAGGGCAGAAACAATATGGGTTTCCAGGCTATGATGAAGGGGGGGTGACGAATGGTTGCTGCTTACGTGGCATGGTTGCGCTCAGGCTCGCTCACAAGGTGCGTAAGTGTGCGATCACAGAGGAGCAGCTTTGGGGCATACCTCCAAAGAAGACCGGCGGTCCAATAGATTGTCACCCTGCTCATCCTGGTCATAACCGGGCCTGCAAATGCAACCGACACAGGCTCAAGCACTAAATTCAAGCAACTTGACTGAGCATAAGTCAAGAGTCCAAGGAAAGTTGTTTCCGTTACTTCATGGTCACAGAAAACAAAAAGGTCACATGGAGTTGTCCTCTATTCGGATATCCAGCTGTTGGCATCGACAGCGATGTAGATGGCAAACGGTCGAAGAAATCCAAGCTAGTTCTTCAGGGCTGGGCAATTGAACTCTTCACCTACCTCTCTCGTTTTGCTGCAACATAATTAGATTTGGAGGACCCGCCGCTTCCTGCATAGCTACTAGCTCCAGACGTTGCCATGCCGCGGCACGCCACAGAGTAATCGCAGCGCGCTTATGCAGCTTTGATGGCAAACTTGGTAGGTTGGGGGTAATAATGCCAGTAGGTGGGCCTTGCTGGGTTCATGCTGCCGCAGGGTGACCGATACCAGCCAGAGCGAAACTTCGGCGACTATCAAGATTCCTCCGTGTGCGTCTTCTGTAAGACTCTGATTATTGTCCTCTATTCTCAGAGTTGCCTTCCTAGTCCTCGCCCGACCTCCCGGAGCGCCACTGTGAAGGTAGGCCCTTCTAGCTGCATGCGACGTGTACTTTTAGGGCTAAGCAGCATCATACTGGCATGTCAATGTTGATGACATTACGTATGTATCCCGCATGTATCGCACTTTTCACAGGGACGTAACTGAATTCGTCCACGCAATGAATTATGTTGTCACTTTAACAACACGCCTCAAAGGCGTCTTGATTTATCATAGTCTAGTACTTTGTAGGACTTTAACGGCAGACACCCTTTTGTGGGTTACAAGCCAAGGCTCGTACCTCGCGCACCGCCTAAATCGGTGCAAATCAAGGAAATGTCAAAGAAAGTCTCTGTTAAAATCAATGGATAAGATGATCTTTTCGATTAAGCAAGTGCAAATGCGCATATTACCAAAGCTGGCGGCATAACGCAGCACATTTCTTGGGAGCCTTCCCCTGAAAACTGCACAATATGTTTTAGTTTCATGTTGTTGATGCATTCCGGTCCGGGAACGCTACTAAGTGTGAAAAACGCCCCTGAATCTTCTGCAAACGCCATTACCAAACCGTATGGGCCTTCCCCAATCAAAGATATACCTGCGGCATAGAAGATAACATATCGTGCGCGCGCAGCTGAAGCCTAAGGCACCACCCAATTTACGAAGTAGTTTGCAAGGTACCGTTGTCCGTTACCGCTGCCTGCTAGCTGTGGACGGCTAATCAGAACAGCGCTGTATGATGGCGATATAATCTGTGCTTTAACGATATTTATGAAATCACGACTTGACCCGCCGCTGCCCGTCGCTGTCCATCCCGTCGTCCGCCCTGCAGATCATCTATCCCAGCGGCTAGCTGACGCTGGAAAACAACGTAGCAGAATTTGTGGGACGGAGTATCGGGTAAGCATGCGTCCTTTTAAAAGGTATTACCGGTCATCGCTGTTTCGCAATGACGGTTGCTTAACCTTCGGGACGGAATGTGTTTTTGCCACCCTTATTACTTGGCAATCAACTTCAGATTTCCTTTCTGTGCTTTGCTATTTTGTCAAAACGCCGCTAATTCTGGCGCTGGGCTCGCTTTGCCATCTGCCATCGCCAGCGTAGGAGTTCATCTACCTATTATACGATGGCACGATCTAAAGGACAAATCTATACCATGTTCTATATACGATCTACTTATTGGTCCTATCCATTGCATGATGTCTCTGTCGTCTATAGACGACAAAAAGTAAATTTTACCGACGAGTCCTTGTGTCGCACATCGTCGCATAATGCGTCCCGTTACGTGGCGTTTTCTGTGTGTCAACCAAATGCAGATTGTGGAATTTTGATTGAAATTTCTCATGTTTATGAGTCGCTTTTAACGGTCTGCATGTAGGAGTTCCCCCCTGGTGCTGTCGTTAAATGCTGCGTGACGCGAATTGATCGTTGTAGCTCGTTGAGCATAGATTATGCTCAACAAACAAAGGATTTTGCTAAACAAAAGTGCATTGTATGGATTGTCAAGTGCAGACGGCGAAAGCAATTATAGTGTATGCCACCGGTTTCATACCGCTGCAGCTGCTGAAGTACATGTGCATTTATGCACGTCAAACATGTTTGTCGCTCACTCGCCATCGATAGCCACCACGGACACATCATTTTTGTTTAAGCGCAGGATGGGTAGATGATGCTGGTGCCACTGATGAGCACTGATGCTGGCCTTATTGCCATGCATGACAGTGCGTATCTCGGATTACTATACAGGAATGCCGACTCAAATGCCTTGGTCAATGCCGTGACTTTGCCTATAGGGTAGCTGAGTACGGGGTGGCTGGAGCCTCAGAACACTTACATCATTTCGGTCCACCTGACTCGAACAGGTTAAATTTCAAGCATACCTAGCCAACGCTACGTCATTCATACAGACTGCCTGGCAAGCGCCCAACGGCCCACCTGAGCACGACGTAGAGATATTCGAGGCCGAATCAAAGTAGATGGACATGGGATGCCTAAGTGCATGGGCCGGGTTAAGGCGTTATGTCAATGCAAGATGACAGCAACACTGGACATGCTGTTATTGTCATGAGTCCATTGGAATTCCCACAAGGAGATCCGTGGATGGTATCCCCCTTGAGGGTAATTTGCACATATGCAGGGCGGCACCAACCCAAAGGATATGCGGATATGGGCCTCGTCCTGGGGAACACGAGGTCAACTGCAACCCGCGCCAACACCACTTCTGGAGGTGTGAAGTGTTGCAGGTGATTGTCCATCAAGTGCCAGTGTGGGTGGGTCAGCCCAGCACGCGCCAATACCTATCCCTAGTTGAACCACCTGATGTGGTGTCACAATTGGTTTGGGATGTAGCAGTCTTGGCAGCCGCTAGCGCTATGGAGACAGCGTTCAGGTTCAAGGCGGCATAAATGCGGGAGCCTTGGCCCCTGGGAATGAGCAAGGACAGCCTAAGGCCCTTCAGCAGAGAGCCATTCATCAAGCCATGTTGAATTTTTCGAGTCTACTCTTCGCTTTCGCCTCCCTGGGACTGCGCCGCGGGGGTTGGGGTCCCATCATCCAGTACTGGAGCTGTCAGCGGCCCACCTGTGTGTGCTGGGGTTGGCTTCCCTCGGGGGCAGGCTGCTCTCCTCCAGAAAGAAGGGGAGTGTCTCAGGTTGCCTGGTGCTGCTTAGGCGTGATACCGAGCTAGCCCTGAATATAGCCTCTAACAGCCAATACAGTGCTTGGATGCGGAGAGCACCGGGGATTAGTTCGGATTCACTGCTTTAACATGAGTTTTCGGCCATCGCGACGTAAGACGCTACTACATCGTCCCAATATACCAAGCGCACGATAGCGCACGCAGCTGACAGCTGCTAAAAGATTTACGCAGCGTGAACGAAATGGCGTATTCGGCATTGACTTCCGTTTCCGGCTGCTCTATTAGAAAACTTGTTGTCCGAGGTTGTCCGAGGGTAACGGTTCAGAGCTACTACAAAAGGGGTAATGGCTTACTAGACTCCCTAAGAAATTTCAAAGCATCTGTAAATTCGATGTAAATTTAAGCTTATTATGCAGGTATGCAAAGGTGTATCTATATCTTTTTGTTAGTTCGCACAAACTATGACGCTTGTACGGCGGCGGTCCATCCTCGCATTGAATAAGGATGTACGATCATCGTCTGTATTTTTGTCAAACTTGATTTTGCGCCGTCAGTTCCTACATTTGCTGCACACTGTTATGAAGCAAGAAGCTCTCATTCAACTATATTGTTCGTCATGCATGATGATTGCGGGGCTGAACTTTGAACAGCAAGTGCATTACTTTGTGGCATCATACTACACAGCATAGATTTAAGCGGGCTGCCAAAACTTCAGACTAATATAGACTCTTTACCATGCTGTGGTTTTTTACGTCAGTTTAAGCCCCTTCAAAAGCCACATTAAGTTGTTTTACCATTCTAGGATGGGCTACTAGTATAAGCGCCACTAAGAAGCGAACGCGCCTTGATGGCCAGCTCTCTTGCAAGGTCTGCGTCAGGTAGCTACGCTGGGAGCGTGGCCTCTTCACGTTCTTTAATATCGCGGCGTGCAAGGTATATTGGTATCGTTGCTAAGAAATCATCCATTTGGCTTGAAACATGGTGGTTCGTATAGCGGTGGTAGGCTTGCATTTGGCCTACACTGCACTTAAAGCCGCCGGCTTGTTTGCAATGATTATGAAATGTAAAACTGCTAACAACTGCTTATAATAGGGACATATATGACCGCAGATAAGAAGTCTCCAATCGTTATTGAAAGTCGTTATTGAAAGTCGTTTTCAACGGCGGGCTTGCACTTTATTCATTTTCCTTTCTGTGCGGACTACAGACTGAAGAGCTATTTGATTTATGTATATGAATTGAGTTCAGTAGCATATTGCTTGTATGTTATTACTGTACGGACCCTGTCCAGTGTGAGCAACAGGTGGTTTTCAGGGAGCACCTTCCATCGTCCGCAGGGTTGACAATGGCAAGCATGATGGAACGGGTGAAGACATTTTCGATCGCCCCTCATCGCTAGAGGTGCGGAGAAGTACTCTTGTAGCTATCCAGAGGCAACCATCACTTCACCATCTGGTTATGACCCAGGGCGATTCAAGCGCCACAGATAGAAGGGCACGGCCGTATGAGTCTGGTGGCCTCTGTACATATTTACTTATTAGATGCGTCAAGCTTAGAATTCCCGCACGAGTACCCTAGGCTACTGTTTACTGCTGCCTTACTTTGAAGCTGTCTAATAATTTGCCTCGCCCTCAGCGGCTGTTTGCTGCCCTCGGCGCCTCACCACATGGTTTACGCAACCGCGCGTGTCAGAGTGCCATCGGCTGTGGGAATGGTGTGTGGCTTACCATTCCCTCCTTCCTGGGTGATGGTACATACACTAGTGTCCCTGCTGACCTGGCACATGTTTGTCTAATTTCCGCGTAGCTTGTGTTTGCGGGTTGCTGGTATCGCGATGTAAGCGGCTTCGTATGTTATCTGAGTTCATTCTTTGCCCTCATGGGATGTTGCAGCAGTGGGGCTGTGGGGGGATCCTCTAATTCCATACCCATCACACATCCGTCCAGCGCTGCTGCAGCTGCCAGCGGTTTTCATCTTGAAGGAATTCGTATGACGAGCACCATCTCTGCTGTCACGGTCGTTTGCAAACGTTTTGCGTCTATAGTTCGTGCCCTGGTACATTAGCTAGGGACCGTCCCTATCCAATGCACTAAAGGGTACAAACTAGATGCCAAGTAAAAAATGCAAACGGTTGACATACGGTTTATGGACGGGTTTTTATGCTACAACCAGCAGGCCATTTGCTAAGTGCCGGGGAAATGAAGCTGCAACGGCGCAGGGAGCTCCCTGTCCTTGAGGACTGGCCGATGGGATGGTACATATTGCCATGGATGCACATAACACTGCCTACAGATCTAGAAGGCCATGCAACAAGGCCTTTATGTATAGTGTATGGCACACACGCACAAATCCACAACCACGACCCTATGTCCCATCTGGTGCGACTTTGCCAACGCAATTTTTGTTCCCCTTGTACATGTACGGACTGTTCCCCTTGCAGAGCGGCATCTTTGGAGTCCTGTACACTCTTCGGTGCGCATAGTTCCATCCGCACATGGATGACGTGCAGGCGGGAGTTGTAACAAAGTGTCTGCATGCATGCATTCCTGTTCGCTGCATGTTTGCATTTGATTACGTGTAGCGCACTGCTGAGCGGCATGACACTCGCACGCATCAGATAGTTGTTTTGCCGTCCAGGCAAGCATGAATGAGGCCACCTCAACGTGCCTAGGGTAATCAACCTGGCGATAGTGCTGTAACGGGCCTCTATGACTCTGCAACGCGTATGTATGTATTTACACGCATCGCCTGTAAATGCACATGCAGGAAGGAAAATAATGAAGCACGCATTCGTCTTCGCTGGGTGATCCTTAAGATCCTTTTGGATGCCTGGCAGCTCTTCACAACTGTTATTATCGCAGATAGGCAGGGCTGGAGCATTCACGCGTCCGGACCGTAAGTGGATTGTGCCGTTCTGTCACCCGCAATGATGAGCTTGCATTTGTTCCTTTCGTACATAGCCCGTGTAAGGCCAAGTGCACCCTGTCTCCTTCCGCGCACAAAGCGGGGTTCACAGCATTACTGCTGTCCGGATGAAAACGTCTGAAAGCGAGCGACGTCACAGCGTCCTGAGCTTCATCATGCTCTTGAAGCGTGCAACCATCCGTGGTTAGAGTTCTGTGGCTGCTGCACAGGCCTAGGGCATGTCATGGGCTAGGTTCTCTTCTCATTCACTGTTTTAATTTCCCAAGGGCTGTGTTCGGAGGTAACGCTGTACACACGACTGGCTTTATTAAGATTGTTATGTTTGGTTAATCGTGCACAGGGCATGGACTGCTGTAAGCGTCCTAAATTTCACCTGGCTGTCGCGCCTGGTAGGTAATCTGCGGTGGCCTTGTTTCAGAATGTTTCAAACTCCTAATCGTCAACTATACGAAGTACCCTAGTTTGGATTGAAGGCCCTGGTGCTTCATCATACGTACATAGCACGTGCACAATTTTACAGCTTTCGATAACGCTTGGATCGGGTCAAACATGCCTGGATTGCCCCGTCACGGTTAAGATCAGACACCTGTCGCCACAAGCCGATAAGTCCAAAAACAGATAGTTTGTAACATAAGGAAACCACTCCATGGTAACGGAAAGCCAAACTGAATTGGTGCATGCCCATCTGCTTGCATGCTGTGATCATTGCTCGGCCTGCCCTCGCAATCAGAGCTATGGGGCGTACCTAGCGCTACTGTATGTCATGGTAGGGCTCCTTGCTCTTCACATGGGCCTGTGCGCCTGGGTAGCCTGGTGCTTCCAAGAGCAGAAGTTCCCCGTTGTGTGGCCGCTCAAGGTGCGTAACGAGGACGCACATACCTGCAGCTGGCTATTCGTTTATATTGTCGAAGGCGAAACTCATGTCATGTTCCCTTCGAGCATACATGTGTATAACGATGTAGAATTGCTTGAGCAGCCTGGATATGCGAGTGCTTCCCTGACTAATGCTGCTGGGAACGCGCAGGCGCTGCGACTATCCAGCACTGTGTTCTTCCAGACCTTCGATGTGGCAGTCTTAAACCTCCTCCAGGTACGCAGACGCTGCTCAGTGCGTAATGATCATGTGAAACGCGTGTGCATGTATGCTTTCCTTTCGCGCGTTCTTTGTTCGCCTGTCTTTTGTCATGTGCGCAGAGAGTGATAAGCATCTGGTCGTGATCTTATACGGGTTTTTACACGGCTTAATTGAATGCAGATAATAAATTGCCGTTAACGTTAGCGGTCCGTCTGTAAAACAATCTATGGTCTATAGACAGGGTAATCGTCTAGTAGACAGGACCTATTATAGATTTAGTCTGGTAAAAAATGCTCCATATAGAGATCGTGCAATGGTATAATAGGCAGGCCTGAAACTCGATGGATGACGTCGGGCATCCATGCATCGGAGCTATTTAGCATGGCCGCCAGCTCAGATGAATATAGGACTAACGCCGTTCTGCCTAGCTAGGCCTCCATCGTTCTGCTGGTTACACTGCGCATGTACGTCACCCTCCTTGTACCGTACGGCCATTGAAACGTGCCCCCAAACAGCTGGGTATCAGTTGCCGTTATACTGGCTACGGCAACACCAGAATGCGCTTCGACCTCTTCCCTGAGTACGGTAAGCTGTTGATTTTTAATAGGCTATTTCTTATGACTAGGCTTTCTGGGAATGTTCAGTTTGTTGTGTTTCCCCTGGACTGGATAGAACTGTTTACCGAAATCAATCGGTAGGTGCAGCAGTGGGAGCATCACCATTCGAACTCCAGGTTCCGACCAGGCTGGTCCGGACAGGCCAATTAAGCCAGCACCATTTACCGTATTTAAGGGGGGAAGGTGACTGGTAGAACATTAGTGTACGGTAGATTTCCTTGGGAAGTTGCCACAGCCACGCGCGTGGCTTCCAACGTCTGGATTTGCATGTTCGCAGCCTAGGCCTGGCCAGGCCTGGCATAAGTGCGCCCTTCTGCGTATATGAGTACTGCAACGGATCTTCCCATAGCCTGCGTAGCTCCTCATGTCGTTGGCTGCATTTGCTGCAAATTCTTATTTCAATGCTCTGCAGGCTGCAGTTCGTCTCCACATGTTGTGCATGCGGTCGTAAGCGGCCTGAGCTTAGGACTATTCATCGCCATTGCTTTGCTCACAAACATGGCTGAGGTGAGAAAGTTAAAGGGGGGTTAAGCGACGAGCAGATTGCATGTTGGCGTAAATGTTACAGAGGTATGTATGTATTGTTGACCCTTATTTACAACGGTGACGTGCACACGTACACGGCAAGGCAATGTGCAGGCAAGCGCGGCCACCGACCTCATTGACCTGTACACCGGGAGGCATAATATTTCTCGCCATGGGGGATTCGACGATACCTGCTTGTTTACAATCATGATAAGCATGTGTCTCAATTCTGTCCATGCGCGCAGGTGGAGGTTAATCTTTTATCCAAACGCCCTCTTGCATTAGGTCACAGTGGCCCGGCAGTTATGGCATTTGCCTTAAAGGTGCGTGCGTAGCATCAATGAGTTGCAGTAGTCCATATGTATGTATGTACGTATGTATATGCGGTATAGCCATGCTTTGTCCTGTCTCCGTGTCGTGTCATCATGCCTGTTTGCAAATATTAATAAATGTACATCCTTACGCAACGAGGACAATCATGGGATTTTGTGTTTTTGCCGTTGACGACATATTTCATGCTTGATTACGGTAGCTATTGCTTTAGATTGACCTTGTACGTTGGCTCCATCCCACATGTGCGCACGAATGCATGTCCAGGTGCTTCTTACCTTAGTGCACGTCTTCATTGGCTGGAGGCGCGTGCAGGCTTGCCTATACCTCGGCTTGTCCTTAGCTTTCGCATGGCAGTTCCTGCGATGGGTAAGTGACCAGTATGCTCACCTATTCGCACATGTGTTTTTAAGGTGCGGCTTTATTTTGCGAGCCGCCTGTAGTGCTGCTTTCTGTGGGAAACGCTCAGGTAGTGCATCCCGCCAGTGCTCCATCTGCATGGGTATTTTCGGCAGCCAGCGGCTGAGTGCATTGCATGAAATGCATGTTCATAGATAGTGCACGCATGCAGCAGGGCACGCGCGTCGGTTTGCCTAACAGGTACTTAAGATTAAATTTCGTCGTTGCCTGCATGCAACTGGCTCGCTAGCCGCCCGCCCGCACTTAAGTCGGTAAATTTTTAGACACTCCCCCGCTATACGGACGTAATAGCAGGGCGGCGGTTACCAAGCAAGGCACACTTGCCGATCAAGTTGTCCGTATGTGTACATAGTGGCTTACGCCCAGATTGGTGAACAGCAGTATGAGCGTTCGATTCAGGTCTCTATAGATGCTTAAAAATTCGGTATTCGGTAGCACAGAGGAGGCAGGCTTCTACGACTGACAAAAACCTCTCCTTGTCCCTGCCTCTTTCCCCTACAGAACCCGCATATGGTTAATTGGGTCAACTACATGCGGTCAGGCGTCTCGGCCATCGTGGTTTGGTGTTCTGCGACGCTGATGCTGCTTGTGTTCCATCCAGGTGTCAAGGAGGCGAAGTTGCAGGAATGGGCCGACATCATGACGCTCCTGATGCGTTTGGGCTTGGCTCCTGCCTTTGCTGTGGGCGCCCTGATGTCATGGGGCTTCATTCGATATATGACAAGCACAACTCTGTCTGAGCTGAAGTAAGAGATGAACCTGCTGAAACTATACAGTGCAGTAGGGCGTATTGTGAAGTACTGTATTAATATGCAGCCTACCCGTTGCCCGTTTGATGCATGAGCGGGCATAGATGTCTGCGCTTAACGTATGCTTGCTTGCTTGCTTGCATACAGAATGGCTTATGGCATAATGGTGGATTTTGCAGTCCGCAGCATTGCCCGTGAAAATATTTCCCAGCTGGGAATATTTCCCTTAGGATGTTACCCTCACGCAGGTAGAGCCAGGCATATATGCAGGCATCACGCACCCTGCCGTATGTGTGATGGCGGCGGCCACTACTATAGTATGCTGCATCTCTTCAGCTGACCTGTAATCCAACCATGCCTGACCTTGCCACATTGTATGCTGCCTTCCTGATGCCCGCTAACGCACGTGCTCACAGGAATGCTAAGCCGGGCGCACCCCTTTCAGAGATCTTCCAAATCATTGACGACCCAAAGGATGTTGAACTCGTCGCAAGGTATGTAGGCACTTAACAAATCGAAAGGACGTCACCAGTGTGTCGGGTAGTACGTCTATCTAGAAGCCACATGTTCGTCACGTCATGCATGTTGTGCGTGCATGCAGCGACGTGTGTCCCGCCATGCAGCAGGTTACTGCTGATGTTTGCATGGAAGTTGTAACACCAGGCAAAGAGTACTCAGGGAGATGCCAGGGAACCTGATCCCTCCTTACAAAAGTATGGTGTCGTTCGCCGTCTGTCAAAATTTTGATCGTTTATCGATCCGTCGTGCCCTGGTGTATGAAATAGGGACCCGGAGATCTCATACACCAGGGGACGATCTATGGATGATCAAAATATTCCTCAGACGACTGTGCCTACCCATGGCCGGTTGGCATGGGCATGAAGTACGTGTCAAATCAGATTGGCTGCGCGAGCGCACGCATTGTTATTGCGCGATAACATTCAATTCGTAGCTGAACGTCTTGAACCTTGCCAGCGATCCCATGCATATGCGTGGACTGCTACTATATTTCAACCCGCCGTTGGATTTTGCACGAACTAAGCTCACATTAATAAGGGATAGATCTACGTTTGGCTCGAGGTACAGTGCTACCTGTTGCTGTGAAGTGGCGGCGTCCGTCACTCACCACGAGCCATGGCGTACTAATTCCACCTACATCGTTAGTCTAAGATGATACTGCCTGCCCGAACATCGTCAGGTGCTGCCGCGTATGGAAGGACCGGTACACTGTGGATCCCGTGGCTTTGGACCAGGCACGACAAGTGATTCAGGTTGGTAACTATGAGCGATTGCATTTTTCAGGTTAGAGCTACGTGAGTCTAAAGGTCATTACGGACCTGCACCGACCTGCCGTGTATGTCCTTAGTGTAACACCAGGCAAAGAGTACGCAGGGAGCTGATCCCTCTTACACTTAGCTCAGTTGTCTCATCGAGTAACGGAAGCCCATGCGATATGTTTGTAGGCTTGACTTCGGCTTACAGCCCCATCTTAAGTTACAGCTGTGCGAATGTAGATAGAGCCGGCACGATTGTTTATTTCCTGCCGCAGGACTTCTCAAATGCAGTACATGTCACGCGGGTAATAGCCGCCTGTCTACGCCATGGCATGTGTGTATTTGTCCTGCTAACCATGCATTTCCGTGTCTAGAACTCTCTGCATGCATGCCACCGACCACTCAGCCGACCTAGCATGCGCCTTGATTGGTTGCACGTGAACAGATGGTCCCGTGCGCCAATTAAGGTGTCCTATCCCCCATGCTAATGCTCGTTCAGGCTGGCGCAGCGATGTTCCCAAACAGCGCCTACATGGTATTGCTGCATGCCAATTTCATGATTGCTGTAATGGGAGTGAGCCAGAGTGGCAGCCGCCGAATTGAGGTGCGTCTGTGATAGATGTCTCGCTCACTGCTGGCCTCAATAAAGTGACTCATGAGATAAGCCACGATTGCCACGGCTAGGTGCATCTAACATATGTGAGCAAGCCAACCAACTTCCGTCAATTGACATGGCTTCTGCCTTTCACGCGAACCTGCACTGCTTGCTTCTCACCATTACACTGCGCGCCCAAGGCAGATCATTACCATCATGCTTTATTGAGGCGAAATGTCTTCCTGAACGGTTGCCGGCAGATTTTACACCACGGAAGCTTGCGGTGCTGTGCATGTCTACATGTAGATGTGCCTGTATCCGGCAAACGCCCTCTGCTCTTTGCCATGCAGGATGCACGGAAACTAAGCCCCGGGCTTATGAGCCGCTTTATTATGTTTGTCCGGCAACAGCAAGCGTCGGTACGAATAGGGTATTGTGGCCAGGGGTCACGGGTCAGCGTTTTACTGCTACAATTCATTAGATGGACAATACTTGTTGGCAACCCTTCAGACTTATTACCTGCGTTCGCTTCACACCTCCTTCAATCGGTGTCGAGAATAACGCTGTATTGTAGCTGCTAGTTCATTACATGGCAATGACACGCACGGGTCACAGAATTGCCATAACCATGCGAGGGCATACGGGCATGTCCCCATATCTGACGCGCACGTGGGGTACTCGAAAAATCCGACATTTTTATCGGTGTCTGTCAGCTTTGGCAACACATGGCTCTGCCTCTACAAAGCATGTAACGGCGTCGGTTTGCATGCCCTTTTGTACTGCTTGTGTCCTTAACCTGACAGCAACAAGCCGCCGGCAGCCAAACCGGTGGTGGCACGCGTATGGACCTCCTCGCGTAAGTCCAGAGCTTGGGTACTTCCGGTGACTCGGAAACGGGTTTATTGTCTGATGGATACAGTCCGGTGTAACGTAATAACACCCGACACCACGTGCCGTACTCAGGTGCTGGTGAGAGAAATTGAGAATGATGAGCTGTCATGTGCACTATTCCGGCCGTCAGGGTTGTGTATTATATCGTATGTTAATGCAAAGTAACGAAGCCATGTTTCATTCTTGATGATCCTGGTAGGGACCCATAGCTCTCGAAGCCATCTTGCGCGATTGGTCTTGAACTGGTCCGTCCTTCGGAGGAGTCCTCCTCCCGCCCTCTCTGCCTCTCCCCTTCATCTTACCTCTTATCTGATTCCGCGTGCCCTTGCCAGCTACGTGGAGTACCAGCGGAAGCAGCGCATGGTGGTGCGGCTTCACCGTGAGGCGCTGCAGGCTATATGCAACTTCTGGTAAGGCCGGGTACGATCTCATGTAAATCTGGATGATGCTGCCTGGCTGCTTGTACACAGGCGTCGCAACGAAATGCCGGCGGCGTGATACTGCTCACTGGCGCATCAGTCGGCTATGCCGCCAGGGAGCGAATCTCATTGCTTGCTTACCCCTACCTAGTCCATTCCTAGTCCATTCCTAGTCCATTCCTCCTTCAAGCTCCATGGCGCCCACAGCATTACTGCTCACGACTGTTTGCCCACTCGCACTTAGCTGTGTATTTCTTGTGATAGGTACCTCACCTCTATGCATTTACCCAAGATACGAGCTGCTAGTGCTTACCAATAATCCCCCTCGGTGTATGTAGGAAGATGTTGGACACGTCAAAGGTTTCTTTCATGCACCTAAGCAAGGCGTTGGGGAAAGTAGAGAGTTCGGTTACCCAGGTATGGCCCCCATGTGGCTCATGTATTACACGCAGTAGGCAAGCAAACTTATGCAAATCAAGGAAGCGATAGATTGGATGGAACGCCAACGGAGTGGCGAACGAGAGTGCCTCTGTACACGCGCAGGAAGTCGGCAAAGACTGCTAGATTCTATTGGGATGTAATGATACCGTACCGAATCATTCCGCGCATTACTATCTATGGCAGATTTGGGCTCTTCCCAACGATTTAGCAGTAGGGCATTTGCTGAAACTACTCGCACTACTGCGCGTATCCGCTGCCATCTGCATGTGTACACGGGGACACAATGTGTACGTACGATTGTGCACTGTCGAAAATGCTTGTGCCATCCGGCTACCTGCATTCATCAACCAGGCGCAAACGGCTTATCGCGTCGTGCTGGATACCTACGGAAACAACCCCAAATTAGTACGGCTTTATGGCAAGTTCCTACTGACGATCAAGAACGATCCTTGGCGGGCGGTAGGTGCTTATAAGGATGGTTCCCTTGCTGTTTGGTTACAGCCATCAGGGGGAGCCCCATGTAACGCAACAGGACACTCTAGCTCCGTCCCTACTTCTTTGTCACTCTTGTGTATAGAGGCGGTTTCTCGCAGGACTCGTACATAGGTAACCGCATACATCAATCTACCAGCATAGATTTTGGCGCAATCGTGGAGATCGAGATATGATGGAGCAATTAGGGTTTGGGAGCCTTGAACTAGATAGATGTACGTAGGTCTCCCGTGGGCATTTCCGCCATCATGTGCTAAAACAGCACCCTAGGAGAAAGCGGATTCACCATGACTGTCTGTTGCTTGTTGACGGCACGCAATTCCAAGCGCTCCCTGCATTTATTTGCATGCTGCTACTTTATGAATGCCTGTTACCAGTCCGAGTACTTTAACGAGGCCGACCGGCTTGAGGAAATCCAGAATGGCGATTCGGGAGGCGGCCCTCTTCTCCCGGATGGTGCGTGTGTCGTGAAAGAATAATGACCCAACTTGTGACCTGCTTGTGCACGCACTTGGTGCATGAGTCAGGCGGCTCTGCTTTCCGATTTAAGTCGACTCCTTTGCATGCCGGACATGTGCTGTCCGTACGTATACATAGCAGCTAACGCGCGTCCGTCTCTCGCACTACTTCCAGGCTATCTGTATGCATACCTGTTTCTGATGGGCACACCTTTGCTCCCCTTGCTAAGGAAATGCATGGTAACAAAACAGGCAGTGTGTAGTCCTTGCTTGCGTACGGCTTGCCGCCCTTCAGTGAGCTCTGGCTCCGTAGCGTCGCTGACGTTGTGGTGTATGTGCACAGGTACACCTTTGGGCCGCATGGATGAAATTGCAACCGCTGTTTTGGTCATCACCGCGAACGGGGAGATGCAAGTGGTAAGCGATAGCCGAGTACACGCATGCCAGTTCTCGGGCGGACGGCGCCTATCATGTACGACCCAGCGGCCTATAATTTCGACCTGGAATTCGCATGGCCTGCTGCATGTATATGATAATACAATGCGTTGTGATGACTGGCCTTGCATTAGTCAGATAGATATGGTATACAAGGCACAGGATGATAGGAATATTCCGAGTACCAGTGTTGTGCACATGCACGGACCTAAAAGATGTTTCTCAATCCTTGCAGGCAAACCGGCACGCGCACGTCCTTTTTGGTCACAAAAACGGTAGGTGCCGGTTGGCGTGGAGGATGTTCTCCGAACAGATCCGGAGGTAGATGCAATGGTATCTAGTCATGGGGAACATTCCTATCGTAAGCAAGGAAATATTATCGACTGATACGAGAAAACAGCTGCATCCATGCATGGAATGCAACTCGGCAAAGCATGCGCCCAATGCTGCCGAAACACTTCGAGCTCGTCGCGGTGCGTGACAGCATTGCATCAGGGTTGCACTGTCTACATGTGTGTACGGGGAATTGCATAACGATTTGTCATGGCTTACGCCGCCCGTACATGCCCTCTATGTTATTACCGGACGTCCCCCTGTCCTTACTGCTGCTCATCATTAGCATATCCTCCATACATACGTGTACTTCGATTTCCATGTAAATGCGTGTTGTGCAGGCTCGCTGGAGGGAAAGCCTCTGGGCATACTCCTTGCGCCGCAATGTGGCAGATGGCTGTCAGAGCACCTCGCCGACCTGGTCAGCCGCTCTGCAGGGCTTATCCTCACCCCTTCAACGAATCAGCAGCAAGGCGCCAACAATAATGGCGAAGAAGCACTCAGCAGCAACACGGTGGTGGTGGGCATGCACTCTGACCGGTTTGCGTTCCATGTGAAGTTGGCCTTGCGGAAGGCTTCAGGTACTTAGACAGCATGTCAAAAGCTTGCACACGTGTGGGGGGTTACATGTAGCACAGCCAGCCTAGTCAATGTAGTCCATGTGTGCGAATAGGGTTTGGCACTACTGGTAAGGCGCGACCATTGCCCCCGGGAGATCCCGGGATCGATACCCATTAGGGTCAAAAGTCCTTCCGATGCTGGAAGGCATAGCGCCCCTAGTTGATGGACGGTGGTGACCTGGGATAAAGTTAACCTGCGAGCCGACCAGGAATGGAGTTGGGCCGCTGTCGACCCGGCAGATTCCGTTGGATGCTGGTGGTGGGTGCGGAACCTGAGCGATCCACTGAGAAGTTAACTAGGGTTACTGGATGAGGGTGCCCCGAAATACCGGGGAAGGCAGGGTTACGCAGGGTAGCTGCCACGGGCGAAGATACACCCCCCTGTTTCACACATCATACACATGCTGTATGGAGCCCACTGTAACAACCACACACATGCACCATCGGTATGCTTGCCTGAAAGGCGCTGGTGGCTTACTTGGCTTGAATCCGTGCACTGCATTATCCTGCAATCAATTACCCTTCGAAACATCCCTAGGGCCGTATATTGCTATCGTAGTGCTTTATCGCTGCCCAACAATTTTATGTAACTGTGGTGAACACCATGTAAATGCACCAACGGATGTGCACGTAAGTACGTCTATGCTGAACTTGCGCAGGTGTGGGGGATGATTCAACCTTCATTGCCATGATGGAAGTCGTGCCGTCTGCCAAGGGCGTGGCGAGCCTGTGGGTGGCCAACAACGGGACAATTGTTGCTTGTGACCCGCACTTTGTCGCGGCGTTTGGGTAAGCGCGTGAATTAATCAAGCCTCTGGAGCGTCTGTGGTAGCCGTCGTCAGCGACGGTGCGATGGTAGCTAGGTGTGGACACTTCTTTGTGGAACAGTGCGCATTTTAGTTTAAATGGCCGACGTTGTGGACGAGAACGATGTGATCCGCCTGGATGAGAGCTCGATTCATGGGATTCAACTATACCGTGCGTGTGCGTGTTCAAACATCACGTACAAATACGCACATATCAACGAAGGCGGTAGATAGACCTCCATACGACTTACCACCGCTCTATCCGTGTGCATGTGGATGGTAACACGTGTATTAATTCGCGCTCCAATGCTGCCGGCGACTGCCGCCTGTCTGCAGGTGGAAGCCTCCTGAAATGAATGGTGCGCTCTTAACCACCATCATGGCTTTCCCGGGCTCCACCCAGGAAGGAGCTCAGCAGAAGACCGAAGCAGCAGCAGTAGAGTACGCCTCCACAAGCCCGACCGAGGCTGTGAACAGGTGCATCGACGATATATGAATGAACGGGCGTAAGAGAACGATGAGAAGATAAGAATAACGTTGTTGGAACGCGGTGCGCTCTCGAACCAACGCGCCGTCGTGTCATTGACGCGAATGCTCAGCCGAATGGGTTAGAAATCAAAGCAATCATTCATTTCCCTTCACTTCTGCACCTATACCCTATGGATAGCGCGCGTTCCAATGTTTACTTCAAATTGCCTGTGCGTCGTCCTTTCCGCAGGCTTTTGCAAATGTCACGGTCAGGCAAGGGCTTACAATGCGTCATCTCCCACAAGTACGATACTTCGCCCGTGGCCTGTGCAGCGAGCATCGTCGGCACAGGTGCAGTACGTCCTCGGCGCGCGCGTGTGTGTGCGTGTCTCTGTGTGTGTGTGTGTGTGTGTGTGTGCGTGTCTCTGTGTGTGTGTGTCTCTGTGTGTGTGTGTGTCTCTGTGTGTGTGTGTGTCTCTGTGTGTGTCTCTGTGTGTGTGTGTGTGTCTGTGTGTGTGTGTCTGAGTGTGTGTGTCTGAGTGTGTGTGTGTCTGAGTGTGTGTCTGTGTGTGTGTGTGTGCACTGCGTACTTCACCAAGGATACGGCGCTTGTTTCACTCGGCTTGGAACATAGTGCATCTTCACAGAAGCGTCACGTCGACATGATGCACGGCGGGTATATGTTGTGTCTTCCCGTTCCACGCATTTGCAAACTGCAGGTACCTTGGACCCCTCAGTTCTTGAAATTAAGATTCAGCTAAGCTGCGACGGCGGATCGGCAGGCCAGCCGCAATTGCTAGTGGTAAACCGCAAGGGTGCCATCGTGCACGGTTCCATGGAAATCCTTGCACGCCTTTCTAGCCTGACAGACAAGAGCGGGGCGGCGCAGCCCTCAGGTGTCCTGCAGGCGCATCGTAGGGCCAGCCTGGGTCCCCCATCGCTGAGCGGGTCAGCGGCAGTAGCAGCAGCACCCGCTGCTCTTACACCTGGACTGGTGACGGGCGCGGAGCAACTGGCGGGGTTCAACTTATGTGACTTCCTGCCATCCCCATGGAAGGAAATGCACTACAAGTACCTCAGGGTATGGTATATTCATACGTACAGCTGTATCTCAGATATAGCTTTCGCGTGCAGATAGTACTGCGGCGTGTCTGATACACAGGAAACTGTTGCTTGTATGTATGTCCCATAATCTGATCAAATGGTCAACGTCATATGCAATATGTTCGCACAACCTATGAACCAACGTAGGATATATGGGAGGTAGGTGCTAAAAGGCTAGGAGACGGGGCATAACACGTTTACGCTGCACCAGGCCTTGCACCGGTCTCTATGTACTCCACACACACTAGCTACAAAACGGATAATCCTAAGTCGATGTGCGCCTGCATGTGCCTGCATGTGCCCCCCCAGGGGACCACCACCACGACACCTCTCAGCCCAAACCGATGGACCTGTCGCAACGGCTCCGCAATGGGCTTCACGACGGAAATGCGCACTGCTAGTGGCAAGCCCTTCTTCATGCGTGTCTCCGTTGCGACCGCGGAGGTGGCAGGGGAGCTGCTTCACGTTATACGCATGTCCGGGTACGTGTGTATGCACAGCCGTCCAAAGCTGCGGGGTGCGCGGGCGCAGCAAGTACATGTTGGCTTCTGCTGTGTATCCATGCCCCGTTGTCATTTAGCTCCGTTGGTGTGCAGGTCATCGTTGGAGGTAGCTCTCGGTGAGCGCCGTCTCCGGCTGCAAACGTCTCAGGAAGGGGTCATTACTGCCGTAGAAGAAAGCCCTGCCGCGCAGCTGCTCGGGCTAAGTCCTCGCCAGGTATGAAGCCGTACTTGTTTATCGTGCTGCTGCGTACTGGGTCACTAAGGGAATGCTGCTATGCTCGGGAGACATGTCCTCAACCGCCATCTGTGTGAGTTATTTTAACGGGTCGCTCGTATACGCAACCTAATTTGTTAGCTCTTCGCACAAGCTGAAAGTACCTGGTTTATCTTCTTTTGGATTTCACCACATTACGCGGTACTTTCATCCCTCAATCTACAGCTGACTGGCCGAGCACTGTGGGAGATCATTGACTGGTCATCGTATACAGAGTCCGGAAGCTTGCCAGCCGTGGGAACGCTGATGTTTGCGGCCTTGGTCAAGAGGTGGGAGATTCTGAAGGCAGGGTTTCGAACATGGGTCGAGCACGTGGGGCACAAAAACTAGTAGAACTGTTACCAAGTTGCGAGACTTACCTTGCATTGTATTTCAAGGCGTTGACGCGGTTTGCAAACTTCACTTGTCCTGCTGTATGTGCGTTGCTTGACTTGACGTAAGCTGTCATGAAGATTGCTCAAGCTTTTGCGGCTCAGTCTTGCTCCGGCAACACTCTAGCAACACATATGCCATCGGTCCTCGCAGGGAGCTGTTGGAACCTGGCTTCAGCTGGCGTGTCCATGTGTCCGCACCTGCAAGGGCTAACGAGAGCAGACAGCCGGTGTCTGAACTCATGGCGCTCGCACGGGCTTCCATGCGCAAGGCAGTAGTCATGCAGGTGTGATGAGCGATGAGTTTGCATGTGGATTGCTGTCGCATAGCAACGACATGTGACGCACGTAGACTACATAGACTACAAGCTACCAAGACGTGCGTACCGACCATGCAGCACAATTTTCTTCCCTTGCGTGTATGCAAACATACCCACAGCGTATAGCTGTGCCTGTGGCCCCTTCAGCCAGGGTTGATGCTGATCTGCACACAGTATGCACGTACCAAACCCGAGCTTTGCGGCCCGAGGATCTGCAAGCCAAGGGTGTACCTCGTGGGAAAAAATGCACAATTACAGGTACATGTTCAGCTACCTTCGGAGGCGGAGGTGGATTCGTGTGCTGAGCCTAAGGTCTTTGTTGACCTGTGGCTTGCAAACAGTATTTTGGGCGTCCTTGAAGTCGACAGTATCGGCCGTGTGCGCGCGGTAATGGAGGAGCAAACACGGCCCGCAGGTTTGCTGTTTGGTATGGCGACCCCATCGCTGGTTGGCTGCCAGCTGGGCGAGCTGCTGGCGATGCCGGCAGGAAGAACCAAGCCAGCGGACATGCTGTTTCTTAACGGTTTGAAGAAGAGCAGCCTCAAGGCGACCACAGTGGAATCAGGTGTCAAGGTACGGCACTTATGCACGTCTTGGTAACTACACACTATCAATCAGAGTATGTACAAATGGTAACCTTGCTTGAATGGCATGCACGTATGTATGTGTAGCGCGGATGATGCATGTGGGGGCTTCCCGAGCGTGTACCCCGCCTCAATCGACTTGATGACGCATTATTAGTAGAAGCCACGACCCGTCGCTCTTGCAGTGAATCTGCAATTGCCTCGTATGTCTGTAGGTTGGACCTGTGCATGTCCTGCAAGGTGTGCACTCTGACGGCCTCCCAAACTCTCTGGGCGTCCAAGTCGTCGGCAAACCGGGGCCCAACCAGACCCTCTACGTCGTACTGCGCAGCCATACAGCACCCACACTCCCTGGAGGGCCGCCGGTGCTGCCGCGGCCGGCTGCCGTCGCCATGGTTACCAGCGGTGCCACGGTGACGAATCGCACAGCATCCAAGACGTCGGCCGTCATGCTATGTCCTGCTGGTCCTGAAATCCCAACCTTTACAGCAATTCCTGGTCCGAAGGCCACATCTGAACTTTTGCCACCAGGCGGTGACGAGGTGAGGACCGTTTCAACACCGCGAGAGCAGACACCACTTCAGCGACGGCCGGTGGGTAACACAAGCGGGAGCACAACGGCGGACACTGGACCAATGACGCCTGTGGCCACCGTGCCCTTGCAGCTCCCTTCCCTCGAGCCACTTCCTCCGCCGCCTCCCCTGCCTGAACAGTTGGGCGTCTTGGGTGATGGCGTGCCTGTGCCAGCTGTGGCCCCTGTGGCGGCCGCAAACAAGGCGGCCACGCTTTACTCGGGCCGCGAGAAGCTTGCAGACATGTTGCGGTCAGCGATGGCTAGCAAGGACGCAAGCAGTACAAAAGCCCTAGGAAGCCGCACAAATACTGGCAAGCTGCAACCCGCCACGAGCCCGTTGCAATCAGCCGACAGCAGAGGGACCTTTCTGAAAGATGAAACAGAAGTAACGGGAGCTGACGTACCAGGCGACACCACGGCCGAGGGTGAGTAAGCAATGGCACTCAGCGTGACCTTGACCTTGGATGGTCGCTCACTGAGGGCGATTAACAGCCAAGTCGGTCACAACTCGGGTAGGCACAGCGGACTCGCTTAGGCCAGGCGCCGGCCAGACAGCGGTGTATGCGGCGTATACATTGAGCAGCGAGCCAGGTCCCTGCATCTTAAAATGTTGCCAGCCGTCGCGTGACGGCCCAACCAGTCGTTGCATTGTCTGGAATATTTTTCGGGTCGGAGGTTAGTACGTTGTCCTACTGCACCGTCTGATGACCTGAGTTCATGCTAGCTACTGGACGAACTGTTCGTGAGCTTCATCATCGCCGAGGACTAATTGGAACGTGTCGTTACGTGCATGCTTGTCCGCTTCTTACTCGCCTTTTTCCTAGGTGCCGAGCTGGGCCCATCCATTTTGGCGGTTACCGAATCGGTGAATGGCGAAGATGATGATAATCTAAACACGGTAGGTGGTTGTTGATGCATCGTCCGTAAGGCACGTAATTCTGCCGCCTATTTATTCAACCATGCTCGCATTCACCTTAGCTGGACCATTGATTTATCACTGATACCTGAAGTTTTCGCTGCTGGGTTACCTAGATTTCTGTAGCATCCCGGGAATGATGCCGCAATCCTGGCAGAGGTTTCCCGCCCGTTATATATATCATCTCGCCCTCTTGGCGCCTTGGTGCAGGCGGACCCAGCATTTCAATACACGGCAGCGGATCCTTTAAGGGATTCAAGTTAAGAAACCCCGCCGCCAGCCTTCCATACACCTGCCTGCATGAAAATACTCAGCACCCAAGCAACACCATCAAATAAAATGCAGGCCTACGTGCTGCTCATATGCGCACCCGTGGCATTATCGGTACATGATGGCATCTGCGCAGATGCCTTGCCTGGCCAATATTGCATACCTAGGGGCAGCCCACCTAGGGACAACCCAGCACATACTTTGACGAGCTGTTCACTGTCCTGTCATGCAATACGCAACTTGTAGATGCCCGGAGGAAAGGAGCGCATTTCGACGTGGATCGCAAGCCAAGGTGCGTGCACGCGATGCGATTGAAGCCTGCTGAAGTGCTGGCGGCGATGTGAAGTTGGTAATGTTCCGATGGGGCTGAATTCTTGCATGTACACACAGCACACATGCCCCACAGCTGTTCCCCTTCAGCGCACGCTTAGGCAAAGGCCGGTCCAAGCCTGCTGCTGCCTGGATATTGATTTCTAGGCACCCTAGCTGAGCTGCTGCATAAAACGTATGGCAGTGTTCCTCGGCATATGTGATCTTGCGTGCTTACCAATAGCGATGATAACATATCCATTTTGCTTCATGCTTGCCGTGTTACGCCAGCAGGGGCCTATTACCAGAACTCTTGCGATCCCGATGGCAGCACTAAGGTGGGTGCAGTTCGTCATCTTGTTTGCCCTTTAGGCAAATAAGGCCTCGCAACCCGTACCCGTTTCCTTTCCTGTCGTCCCGCGTATCGTTTATGCAAATTGCGACCATGCATCGGAGTAGTACGGTGTAACTGCTAAGGCTTTATGAAAAAGACATTATATACTGGGCCGCTCTGATGCTCACCCGAAAGCGTAACTGCTGCCGGCTTTCCAGCTAGCAGGATTCCCCGACTGGTAAGGATAGGACCGACAGTAAAACACCAGATTGCCGAGTCTTGCTGTGTCGTACGCTGAGAGAGAAGCGTTCCTTTTCGGGGTCGTCTGCTGGCTGACTGAATATACCAGTTTATTGGGGCCGTAGGTCGGGCACATCGAAGTACACGAACGAAACACGGAATGGTGCTTGGTTTTTGCATTTCATGGCGCCTGCAGGGGCCCAGTACTGGCGAGCGAGTACTGCACAAGGACATTGACGCAGCGCTAAACGCTATAGACTTGAAGCCCTTGCTTCAACAAAAGAGCATGGATGGCGACCTCACCGACAAACCCACGCGTGACGCTGCGAAAGGTGGCCCTGCCGACGAATGGGCGCGACGGCCTCACGATTTATATCAGGATGACGACAATGCAAGCGAGGGCGGCCAGAGCGCCCTTTCAGCACAGTCAGGTGGGTGCGGGTGCGGGTGCACGGGACCCGCTCGCCCGCGCAGTTGTACTAGTACCAAGTGTATGCGAAATGTACAACTTCGGTTCTTGCCGGTTTCAAAATGCATTTAAGCTGGCTTTCCTTGAGACTGGGAACCGCATGCTAATAATAATTGTGGATGGCATGAGGATAATGTTGCTTATGTTGGTTCTGGACGAGGTTAAGGTGGATCCGAACAGATCCCAGGTGCTGTCCGCACCCAACAGTACTAGTACCCAGTACTGGGTGCGGACAGCACCGGGGATCTGTTACCCTGTAGTGGCATCGTATTGGCGGCTAAAGGCGCGCTGAGGTACCAAGGCCTTAGGCCCCGTACCACGGCTCGGAAACACCAGGCAACCAGAGTCACTCCCCTGCCCTGCACTTCCAAGGGTATACCCTAAGCATGGCCCACAAAAACGTTGATTATTGCCTGGGTGCATGCGATCCCCGGAAAGGGATGAATGCTGAGGGGCTTCGTTCCTTTGGTTATTACCGTACGCAGGGGACTGTGGCGCCGATTACAAACGCGGGAAACGGTTTCGGAAATTGATGAAGCTGATGGATTCTGATCAAGTTCAACAGGTATGCACGTACGTAACGACGAGGAGCAAGCGAGGAAAAAGATGGATACACAGTACTGTTTCCGCCGTGCTCTCTTTCAGTACTAACAATACAGTATTGTCCAATATTGTAATTGTATACTGTTCCTCTCGTAGAACAGTATCCAATAACAATACAGAGACAATACTCAGCACAATACTTGCCGTGAGCACGATTTCATGTAGGGTTATCCCTGCACATGCTTTTGATTCCGGCTGTACAAAAGCCGTATAGACGCGCTTCTTCCGCTTGTCTAACCCTGCCTTGCTACCGTGTACTGCGTGGCGGTGGTTACCCACATATCCACGCTTCTGTCCTAGGTTTACAGGCAGACAGGATGCTGATAGCGCAGGTTCGCGGATGGATATGCACGCGTGCATGGGCTTGTGCCTTGGGAGTTATCGTCATTTGTGTGCTGGGCCTGTATGAGAGGTTGGATCCATGGATAGTTACTTGCTGGTGTGCTTCTCATCTCGTTCTTGAAGCCTTCTTACGCACGTGAAAACCGGCAGCACTTTACACCATCACTTGTGCTTGTTTGTTTGCTTTACCCTGCCGTAGGTCCAGCACCGTTATCGCCTGCACGCGCTGCTGACGGTGGCACTATTGGCCGCTGTGCACGTGGTCTGCTTTGCGCTGACAATCCATTCAATTAGCACCAAGCGTGACAGCATGCTGCAGCTGGGGCGCAGCGGCCAGGCGCAGCGCTACATGCATCAAGTGCGTCCAGGGCAGGAAGCAAGAGAGCAATTGTCCTCAAAACTCTTCTCAGCCGCTTCCGGACGCCCTGAATTACCTGCAATGTAGCTTAGGGTTGTGTGCAATCATCGTTCTGCTGTGTGAAGGATCTGTTTCCTTGCTTTCCGTGTACCGTGGGCAGGTTTTGGTAGGATAACCACATGTGAGCACGCGCTGCTTGCCGAGCTGATGCACGAGAATAACATGCATGCAGATGGCGAGCGATTGATGCTGCTGCCTGACTGCATACATGCATGCATAAATACACACATACATACGGACATACATACATACATACATACGGACATGCATACAGACAGACAGACAGACATGTGCCGTTCGGACTGCAACATGCTGTTGACAATCCTCCCTACTATACACGCAGATCATGACGGACGTCCGGTCTTTGGACATGATTTCTAAGAGCAAGACTGACTCAAATCTGTATACACCTGAAGATACGGCGGTAAGCGGCGGGCTAGCGAGGTGCAGTACAGTTCCGGTGTATTAAATGTAGATAGTACGGCACACATGCCTTCTTTAAGCACGCGCTAAGGCGCTCCGCTAGCATCGTAAGAATCATTTTTCGTAGCGGCCACCTACTATATCCGCCAGATTATGTATATGGTTGTAGGTGGCTTTACGCATAAGCGTGTGCTTGCTTGCTTATAGTCTTTGGTAATTTCCGCCTAGACTCTTAAATCGATACACACGAGTGATGGCGAGCATAATTATTGGGCCAAGCAGGTCCGCGATCTGGCAGCCTGCGTGCTACCTTAAACAAGCAAAGTTGGTTGCATAAATGCTGAAGAAAGCTGGCCGATGGGCTCCTACTGCACGCTGCTACCTAGCTATCGTACCTCTTAACTCCTCATTCAGACAAGTTCATTAGCCAGGCGGAATTTGGAAAACGTTTGAATGTGTACGCCGTGTACAGGTAACCTGTCCGGAAATTGATATAGTTTCCAAGTTCACTAAAGAGATGCTAAACTTCTTTCTTCTCCTCCGTCCTTTCTCCTGCCCATGTGCTGCGCCAGTTCTTCATAAAGCGGATATCAGTGGCTGCCAACGAAATGCAGGTACGTAGGCATGGCTGACCGGGTGCTGACCGGGGCAGCCGACCAGCCACTGTGTGAATGGTGTATGCTGCCATTGCCACTCGGTAAGGTGTGGATCTTCTAATGTACGAGGTGGCCTAGGATCGGCATGCATGTACGTCATCCCGGAGGATGAAGCAAGCAAGCAATCTATTGCGTACGTAATGCACACACCTCCAACGCAGGCGGTGCAAGTCCCAATTTGGGTCCCGTTCGGTGCAAATACAGCTTCCTGGTGTAGACTGTCCTGCGTGCGTGGATAGCTGTAGTTTGACCTTGCCAGCGCGATGGTGGCCTTCAAGCATGGTGCGGACCTACCCTACATCCACCTTTGCAAAAACTCCATGAAGTCCTATGCGGCAGGTTTCATGCTCATTAATATCAGTGTAACGCATGCTCGCCTGCTGGATTGTAGGTTCGCTTCAAAGAGATCATGGACAGCCACCACTCATCGTCTATTCGAGGCTTGCTGTTTTATACTACACGAAAGGTGGGCAAAGTGTGTGTGCTACGTTGCAACCTAAAAGAAGCCCTTCTGGATATCATACTCATACACCTTAATGGTTGATTGATTGTTGCATGGCAGTGTAATGTGTGTTTCCTAAAGTAACGCACGTGAAGCCATGCAAGGCTGCAAGGTCTAAGCGAGCCGAAGGACCCCAGCCTGCAAAATGTTTTACCTTCTACAAATGGTGTCCTTGTACAGTAATTGTGACGGTTTTAATCCAATAAATCAGGGCAAGATGCATATGAATATTTTACAGACGCATAGACCTCCTAGCCCGCCAACGAAGAAAGCGTGGTGATCACCTTCATGAAGAGGAGGAACGGAGGGGAGGTAGTCGTGTAGAAGAGGCAATATAGTATGTTACATTTACCTGCAGATATGTTATGCTATTAAAAGCTTAATCGCAGTAGCGACGCGGTATAGGAATACGAATCACAACCGCTAACTGTATGGATCGCTTTCGGATGTATTGACGCATGGTGACCCGTACCTGGCATAGTCCCGCCACCTAGCCCCGGGGAAATTCCTTGACTAGGTGATCGACCTAAAATCCCAAATATCAAGGGGTTTACCGCGCATTAATTTTAGCCACAACTCATGCCTGAGAGGATGACGTCTGTAAAACATTATCATCTACAGGTCGTGCCCTCGTTGAGTAAATAGGGACCGTCCTCAACCGTCCTCAACAGCTCAATTCGACACGACACAAATTGGTGCTGAGACTTATCGATAGAGGCAAATGCAATAACGTGCATTGTCCTTAACTTGGATGCCTCCATCGACGAGCTCACCGTTGGCACATGCAGGTCTGGGACGGAAATATGGCGAATGGCACGGACAAGTACTCCGACATTACCATATGGGTAGGTCAATCGTCATCAATCTAAAATTTGAAGACGGCACCAGGCAGGCGGGAGGCCGAGCTTGTCCTACCTGGAGATGGAGCTTGCAGACATTTAGACAGGATGAAATAAAGGAACTGGTAGTTTCCTTTGTAATGTAGATGTTTAGCATGAATTAATAAGCTGTATGACGAAGTCTCACAGGCTCAGCGATATGTATAGGGATCTGCGAAATTACTGGCCCATTTCTGGTGCACGGTTCGGGCGGACCTTGTGCACAATACGAATTTTGCATTCTGCCGACCTCCGCACTGGACAGGAGTGCATATCTTGTACTGCAGCCTGTATTTTTACTCAAGTTGTCCATCGGTGCGATGGTGCACAATGGGGCGCGGTACACAACTAACGCGCGTGTGGTGCACAAATTCGGACCCGACCAGGCCCTGAAAAAGGGCCAACAATCTCGCATCAAGCCCTGCATAAATTACTCTCACCCTATCGCCATTAAAGTCGGAAATGCTTTTGAAATCACATCAGCGCAGGCTCGAAACCAGGTTGGGACATGAATTAATAACGACTGCAGCTTAGGAATCCAGGTTTTCAGTAAGATCCGAGTCCACCCTCGGCTTGTAATGGCCATAAGCCGCGGTTAAATGCACAGGCCAAGGTGTGCGCCTGAAGGTGCCCGGCGAGGGCGCCCGTGAACAGGTGGTTTGACCCCTAAGCACCGTCAGTGGATGGTTTCGGCCGAGACGTGGGAGACTAGCAACTTGGATCAAGGTTGCAGATGTATGTCGATTCCCAACCTTCTATCGTCGACACGCGGATGTGGTTCAGGGTCCTGAAGTAATTTCCAATTATTAACGTTTACTCCAACCCTGTGCGTATGTACTTTATTAGGGCCTATTTTTTGCTGTGCTCATGCTAACAGGACTTCAGCACGCGATTCTATGCCATGGCCAAGGAGATTGAGCAAAACGGCCTGGGTTGGGTCCAAAACCGTGTCAACATAGCCGACAACACGACGGCCGGACAATTCTTAATTAAGAGTGGTCCAGACCTTTGGAAGGCGTCTCGGCAGGTAAGACCGTCTTACCTGTGACCCGTGAAGGGCGGCAACGGATGCTCCCACGCGTGCATCCCGGGTAATAACGAATGCCTTTTTATAGCCGGATGATTCCGCCATATCTGTAGTAGCTGGCCGCTAAAAAGGCCTCAATAAATGCTGGCGGAGAGCCATAGGGCGTACATATCGACCACATGCGTGCCGTACTATAGAACTACTACAAAATCATATTCAAAAAATACGCTCCCATGCCCGCGTGCAGGTCCTGGACGCTCTGTTGTATGTTGCTGTTGACGATGCTCGCTGGGTACGTACTGCTACGTATCTGAATTCACGCATCAATAATTGTTAGGAAGCCATACTTACAGATCACACCGTAATGCCAGTGTTGGCTAAGTGTTATCGTCCTTTTCAGAAAATTGAATGGCCCTATTGTGCGCGTGCCGCGCTGAACGGAATATTATTGCCCTTCCCCCTAGATGATGCGTGCGGCACATGAGAGCAGCAGCTCGTCTTGTGTTCCATCGCCCTTATGTGTGTATGTACCCGCAGGTCGACAACCTTCAGATCATATTCCTATGTGTCGAAGGCGCGGCCATTACGTCTCTCGCGGCCTGGTGAGCTTCGGCTTTTGATGCGTGCATACGTTATCTCATCGGGCTCTTAACAAGATGCTGGGCAATCATCATTGTGTGTGTAATTATAGACGTGCGTGCGTACTTGTGTACGTAGTTATACTGTAGTAAGTAGTACTTCCTATCCCGCTGCTCGGCCCTGCCTCATGCTATCCACACGGTGGATCACCGCTATATTTGCGCGCAGCTACCTTGCATACCTTTCGAAGGCCGTGGCAGCACAGCGATACAAGCTCTATAGCACATTCATACTCATCCCCTTGGTAAGCTGGAACGGTGGTGGAGAGGGCTAGAACATGATGATGTGCGTATGTGGGGTTAGACTGTTAACAATTTTGTGGGGTTAGACTGTTAACAATTTTGTGGGGTTAGACTGTTAACAATTTTGCTCGCGTGCTGATTATTGCCTGGGTTCCCTGTGCAGGAACATGTAGGGTCAGTCCTGCGTGTCATTCCTTACGTGTTGTGTGTTAGTTATGGCAGATATGCACAAACCCCTTAGGGGTAGGTATAAGTACATGTAGTTTTTAGCTTGGCTAGCTTGCCTCACGTATGTGTATGTATGTCCATTTGATTGCAGGGCCTCACAAGGGCATTGGCTTCCCAGAACACCAACTTAACCGTCGACGTGAGTAAGCTAAGCAAAGAAAGCAACAGGTTTCGCGACCCGTGCGGCATGGGGACTATTGGGCAAACAAAAATGGATGAAGGCCCATAACATAGGCTACTTTCCGTTGCTGTGCATGCGCCCATATATGGCATGGTCAGCCTAGCTCGGTGCATATTGTGAATTTATGGGTCTTTAGATACTGCCCCAATATGTTAGTGTAGTAGCTGGCCGCTTAAAAGGCCTCTCGATGCTGGCAGAGTGCCTTAGCGCGTATTTGCAGACGTTTTGTGTGCCGCACTACACGGCAGCTACTACAGATGGGGACCCTCTCTAGTTTTCATACCTCACAGAAGTGAGTGGAAGGAAAGGGGGAGGAAGCTGCATATAAGCTCATCTGCCATGCCCGCATTGTTGCCTTGACGACCACCAGGATGACGATGATGATGACTCGGACGACGGCGAAGAAAAGACATCGTTGCCAGAGGATCAAGATGGTGGTGAAGCCGCAATTAAGCAGAAACGTCGCGCAATGCTATCAGTGTCCGATACCAGGGCAGAGAATGGCCGCTTGGGCCTTACCCGTGAAGTCTCATTTACCAGACGGAAATCATTAGAAACGGAAGGAGCGGGTGGTATCCACAATCGCAAGAGTAGAAGCTTCAAAGCACGCAGCAGCGGACAGCTTTCAGCCGATTCCATCGGAGCCGAGGCGACGCAAGCCGGCGCCTTGGGAAAGATGGCTTGGCTGCACCGCATGTTTGCCAGGTAGGTATGTATGGGCGCCGTGTATTTAGATGCACCATGTACTTGCACCGGTAGTAATACATTTCACACGTGCTGGCAGGACGCACGGCGGACATATTTTCCGGTCCTGGGCAAGGTTGACATATGCTTAATGCTATGCTTGCTATGTAGGCGTGGATCTCAGGTTGCTCCACTACCGGCCGAGGGAACTCTGCAGGCCCGGCGAAAGCTTCTGTACGATTCACACCAGACTGGGATGCTGCTTACACCCTTCATCGTTTGGTCTGCCCTGGTATGCATACGGTTCAAAGCAGCTAGCTAGCTCCTCCTTGACCTGTGCATGGTGTACGTGGGGCTAGAAATTTAGTAGTTCTTGCTTGCCTGCCACATGGAAAATCTCTAAGCCTGCACCTTGCCACCGCGGCACTTTATGCAACGGAAACAGCCAGATGCCATCCTACCTGCTGTTTTTTCCGTGTCAGGTTGTGGCGCTTTACACTATTGGCGTTGCGAAAATGAGGGTACGTGCTGAAAATGGTGCATGCAGGTTTGAAGTAAATCAAGCAGGACATCTGCCGGAACAGTGTTCCGGCACAAGGATGCATAGCAAAGACGTGATATTCCTTTTAAAATTGACGCTTAGTGATGTTTAATTAATGCGACCATATTTTCTACAACTTGGATGGATGAACGGACGGAGTAGGTTTGGCCCCGGATGGCGGAGGCTGTGATGCCGCGGTCCTGCAATGAGGCCGTGCGACGTGTGATTTGCAAGCATGTCGTTACAGTACTTGTGATTTGTTAGCATGTCTTGTCATTGCTTGTAATTTGCTAGCACGTCTTCACTTCTACGATGGAACTCTCACACGTCATCGCAGGGAATTGTCGAAGTTCTCGCCGTACACTCGGTGGTAAACTTCATGGCGGCCCGAACGTACCGCGCGGTAAGCAAGGTCCAGGGATGTCACGTGTAGCGAGCTACGGACCAGATACGAACATTATACGGAAGCTCTGCAAGATAGCATGTATCGACTAGTTGGTTTTTGACAGCCAAATGTCCGCCTAGACGGAACTAACCGGAGTAAGGATATACCAGTTGTTCCGCCTAAGCATCACAAGTGATGGTAATAAGAATATGTTACTTATTGCCGTAATTAACAGGATTACTCATAACATCACGCATGACCGCAGACCTGCTCAGTGCTTCATAGTATGCGAGTCATTTAAGTTGCACAGGAGGGAAACCATGAGTCGTATCATTCGCGCCGCGGCACTGTACGTGCTCTATATCTCTAATCTAAGACGACTACGCACACACGTACCGGTTTTTATAATTAATAGCAGATAATGTACGGTCCTATTTTAATTTCCCGTCCGGTCGTGCCATTTAGTTGCCATCACTTACCATCACGAAACGGGGAGCAAGGATGCATGACGCTTGTTGTTTTCAATGCCAACCTACCTACGTAACAAAGCTGATGGGTGCGACGAAGCGGTGATAGCTCACTGGCGTGCTTGCTCACGCTATCTCGTGCGTCCTGTCTTGGAGACCGCGGTCTGACGAAGTGACGAAGGCCGTCCCTTCGGCAGGAGTCTTGCCCCTACTTGCCCCTTGAGTGGCTCTAGAACCATTCTAGCGTACACAAATTACTGTAGAGATTTATCCACGCGCGGATGATACCTCAATGCATGCCGCGAAAATGTACGATTTAAATGCGAAACAATTGCGCTAGGTATTAATTCGCTAAACCTACCGTTTCTTTCACCTGTTTGCCTATGCAGGTATTCTTCTGCCAGGTATGCCACTGGCAAATGGAGGTACTTCCTTGCGGCTTTCGCCACGAAGTGGATTTTGGAGTAGATACATATACCAGCACCGAATGTATAAAAAAAATCAATAGTGAAGGCGGCTTTATTTTTGTTACGTAATGCAGCCGCCAGCACTAATGACCCATATGCTTAATTGAGAACCTGCTGTCGTCGGTGGGTATTACTTGTCCGACATGCAAAGGATCGGTACATGTCCGTGCCAAGAATCAATATCTGGTTCTTGGTAGCTGCTATAGACATCGGCAGCCGCTTGTTGCGACGGAATAATGTGACCATCATGCACGGCGTCACAGGTCCTGGTAGGCCTTTGCCAGGTAGATGGGACATACCCACGGGTTATTGTGTCGCCGACAGTACAAACTCTATGCGTGCTATGCGTGCGCACGCTCGATGACATGCGTGCACAGGAGCTGGCTGCTGTCGATGACTTGGGATTGCTCGGCCCTCGCCGTGCTGCGGTCATGGCCGTATGGAAGGTTATCCGTGATGCCTGGTACACCCTTCAGCTAGGGGCGGAGGCCTACAAGTCCACCGGTACGGCCACTATATGCCTGTTCCTGTGCTTCCTCTACTATCCTGACAGCATTTGCAGGCGCCCGCTAATATCCATCGTATGAATGTATGCTTTGTCGTACATGCACATGTGCACTCTACCTTACTCGTCCCATACACGGCAGAAGGATGTAAGGATGCATGCTGGGCTCTTGCTAACCACGACCCGATCTGCGCATGTGCGTGGCAGGTCCTGACACGGAGCGCTTCCCGCTAGTGAAAGGCGGGCTTTCCTATTCATCATCGAAACTGGAATACCTGTTTTACAGCAATGGCCAGTGCCACCGCGCCCTGGTGAGTATCGTTAGGTCGTTTCCGACTATGGTTATGTCGATCCGACTGGCCACATTAGGCATGCTTAGGAAGTCATGTCATTCCGAATGCTATACCATAAAGTGTCATGCTTCCTCTAAGCTGGAGAAGAGGCGCAGCCCTCGCCCGGCTGCAGGCCTGCCTAGTCAGCATGACGGCCAAATTAAAAGGAAACAGTTCGGGTTGTACCCAAGGCAGGTAGGTTGCCACAATCTGACAGATGCCGCCCAAAAGTGCATATGGGAAAGTGAATGCGCACGATGGCGAACTCCAGAACGAGGTTGAGGTTTGGCTGTAAGATCCCCTTTGCACTAGCGTGGCTTGCGGAGCGTTATCACGTTCGCTGTTCGGTGTGGCTGGCTTAGGGATATTAAAGTGGGGAGCAGGGGATGTGGAGATCAGCAGCAGCAGCGAGTTCAATAAACTCTGCCATCCACCGTCACAACCAATCTATAGGATAACTACTTGGGACCAGGTTGCGTGCACACATGTAAAAGCCGAATAGATTAAATTTTAATCTGTAAGGGTCGTAAGTACTGCTCACAGAAGAAATGTATTCGCGCTGCAGCGCACTGTAGCATCTCGTAGGACCTTTTCGGCATGCAGCTACAACAGTGGAAGTGTTGTTCAAGTTTTTCTTTGGTCATCACGCACTTTGCACACGTCTTTATTATTTCCAAGTGGTTGGGTCAGTACGCAAGCACATAAGGGTGATTACGTAAGCGATGTCTTCAGGCAGACGGCGCGTCTATGGTACTTACTAGGTACTTCCCTGTACAACTCTATTTTGCGTCCTTCCATTTCGTTTGAAATGCCTGGCGCCGGGGTCCCTGTGTGGTCCGTTCAATCGATTGATGCATATGCTGTGCAGGAGAATCAGCCGTGCCCAGGGCCGGAGAGCAGGTTCTACTACATCACTCACTCGAGTCTGGACACCATAATGCATCGATTTATGATGCATGTCAATGCGATGGGTTCTTCTACGAACACCGTACCGGCAGGACTAGGCGATGGTAAGTGCAAACCACTCGCGCCACCACTTTGGAGCCTTTTTACTACGGCTATGACAAGCTTCGCGGTCGGACAAAGGTTGGCTCTAACCAGACAGTATTAAGAAACACCACGCATCACGGCCCGCTGATGGCGATTGATCCACCCGTGTACCGCCGACAGCTACATGTCATACGCATGATGAATGCATGCTCCAACTAGCTAGCCCGCGCTTGCTTGCCGCCTACCGACCTTTTACCACTGGGCGAAAATTTGACCGCAGAACACTTGGACTTCGTCTACAATGTGGGAACCAAGGTGCGTGATGAGGAACGCCAGAGCGTCAGGGCACAAGCAGCAGCTGGGTTCATGGCCAGCCAGCTACGTAGGCATATACATCTGTAAATTTATGTATTGTCAATAGGTCGTGTCCCAGCATAACGGATAGGAACAGTCGATGTTTATCATAGCCAGAGCACAATCTGTAGATCAAGAAAATTTACAGGCGGAGGGCAGGCAGTTAGATGGTATGTAGACGGACACTAGCAGCAAGCCAGCGTAATTTGTACTCGGTACATGTGCATATGGGGCCTGATGCGTTGCATTCTGTGAAATTCGTGATTATTGTCTAAAGATTGTGCCCTGGTAGATTCGATAGGGACGGCCCCTTTTTCTTATACCAGGGTGCGATTATTAGACGATGAAGAATTTTTACAGACAGCTGTTGATGCTGATGCTGATGGTCTGAATGTCCATCCATGCGGCATGCGGCCTCTTCCACAGGACCTCATTGATGGGATTTTCAAAATTCAGGAGGCCCATTTTGAAACCATCATGTCCTTGTTTCATGGTAAGCTTCGGGCTGTGGACCATGCCTATCGTGCATTAGTGTTGCGCTTGTTATGCAGCGCCATCCGCTGTGCCAACGTGCATATGGACACGCAACGTGCCTCACCACGATGGCATAGCTCTGCATCTTACGCAACCCGCTTCTAGGGCAACGCTCTTCCTTGTTATGGACTTGCGCTTGTCACTTGCGCTTGCCACTTGTCGCCAGTGGCGGCAAGCACTATTTTAAAGTATACCCTAGTTTCGGGTGAGTTAAGCGCCTGGGATGTGCGGGTGTATGTGGGATGGAGACGCGACATCGCAGGCCTCCCAGATGGCCCATGAATCCTTACTGGCCCATCCAGCAGGGTCTGAGAACCGAACTTAATAGATAGGGTAAATAAGCAATTACATTTAACCCATAGTGCTGCTTGCTGCCTAATCCACGTCCTACCGCGTGCATATGTGCCATACCTGCGTGGCAGACATCTTCGTCCTGCATGTCATCCTCCTCGTCATGTTTTGGATCCTTTTCGGCGGGTACCTTGCACTGATCCTCAATCCACTCCTGCGGCGGATTTCCTGCGAGGTAAGACTAGGCCGCAGCACGCGATGGCGCCATTCCCTTTCGTCGACACATAACTGGCCTGGTAAATGCCCCTAGCAGCTTTTACTGCCCCAACGCGCGATGTTATCCTGGTGGGGCAAGAATCAGAGTTACAGGTTACACGTGATTCCTCCCTGATGAGTCTCGTTTGGATAGGCAGGTCTGCGCGAGTAGGGCCTGGTAAGCTTGCCAATACTGCAACAGTGTTTATTGACGTGGATGAAACGCGCCACCTAGGCTGTGGCTTCCACCTAGGTGCAATGATTTGCACAACGTAGCAACTGAGCAACCGCGCGCATTTCTGACTGCCTTGCTTTCATATGACCTTAGCGGAGGCGTGTTGCGGAGTTGATGAGTCAACTACCTCTGGAACTGGATGTGGAAAGGCTGGTGGCCAGGGCGCTGGGTGCGGTTGCCAACGGCCCCGGCGGCGGCGGATCAGGAGCCGTAGGTCCCAGCGGCCAAACTGGCGGCGGCGAAATCATTGTTAACGGTGCGTGATTTCTTCACAACCGCGCCAATCCATTTGTCATGTATAGCAAACAAGCCACTACAGTGCTTGCGGCTGGGCAACAGAGTATGGGGGGTCCTCCATACCTGTCATGTGCCATGGATGGGCAAAAAGGTGGCATGAACGACTGGGACCTCGTCAGCACTATGGTTACTGTACATGCACTGGGCCAAGTACGTCTGCTTGCTCTGGACCGTGTTATACGCGCAGGCGTTCCAGGCAATGCGAATGCTGTCGATGCTGTCGCCAAGTGGAAGAGCATCATACGGTAAGCTGTTACCTGCATTAGGCGAAGGCACCAGGCAGCAGAGCGTTGTCTTGGCTTTGTGCATGTTACGGTAATGGCGAAAAATCCATTTGCTGGGTGTTTTTTCTCGGACACCGCTTCAGGTCTCCCCGCCTTCGAGCAGGCATCAGCAAACACGGCCTTCAGGCTTATTTGCTTTGCGCACCCTGACCTCATGCAGCAGCACTGCTCGTTTGGACATATGTATGTCAGTTGATGACATGGATATGCCTACAATACATTTGACCCAATGCCACGCCAACCGGAATTGGCTGGGTGTGATGTTATGTATTGTTAACCAATTGATATGACCGAAGCGTACGTCTAAGCATCCTCCATTACTCGTCTACGTGGAAACACGTATCGTGCCACGTGGTTGTACGCAGATCTGCGAGCTCACAGCTGGTGAAGGCGCAGAGCGGCAGTGTTCACAGCAGGAAAATGTCCTAAGGGCGAGGATACTTTAAGTAGCCAGCCGTACGCGCAAGGCACGGATATCCGTATTTAAGTAAACTTGGTATGTAGATAAAATAAGGAATGGTATAGCCTGCGAGCGAGGGCGCGACCTGAAGCGAGCGAGCGTCAACTTTATATCCGCCGCACTGCTAGTTTGCTGGTTTCAAATCAAGCAGGGGCAGCAGCTTTTTGGTGTTTTGCTGTAGACATGAATGAATGACGGAATCCAGGCGGGTAAATAACGTTCCTTCCCGGACTGATGCACTTGCTATGGACGGGCTCAGTCAATGCAAAAACAAAAACCAACGTTTTATTCATGCTTTGTGCTACACTTCATTGACGACTTCAATTTTGCCCCAGTTTTATATTCTCATTCTTGCCTAATAACCTGCATTTCGACTTGCCAAGCTGGCACACAATGTGGGGCACGGGCCTACCGAAGCAAGGCGTTTGGCGTTAATGCCAAAAGTGTGTGCAAATACTTGCGCTCGCTTGCAAGCTGGCGTGTACAGGACGCGGCAACCTTAGTAGTTAACTGAAATTGAGCTGTTTTTCACATTAATCGTTCAACTGCACCAGCGAAAATTTGTAGCGTGTGCGTGTGGTGGCAGCAGGCGCCTTGTATGCGTGCGACGTGCTTGTTCTTATGTGAGAGTGAGAGTGTGTGTGTTGTTACAGTGGGCTCCAAACTCACGAAGAGCCAGTCATGAAGAGCCAGAGTGGTCTTATGTCGCCTTGTTAGATGCGTGATGATGCGGGACCAGGTAAATATGCTGGTGGTTTCTAAGAGCACGAGGAGGAAAGCTGAAGATGGGACGTGGTGTATGCATGTAGATGTATCGCGCAAGCAAGCATTTAGTTATCCACATATCGTAGCCACCGTACCGCCGTGCGTGGCTGGCATCACTACTATCGCCAGGAATTGCTGGATGATACATGCTTTCATGCTTGCAGGTCAGGCTAGGAGAAGTATGTGCGTGAGAGGTAATGTAAGCAGTTGTCGTTTTTGCTGTTATCATACCGGAATACTACAATTACAGTTACAGTGTCCGCACAGGTGGGTGGGGGGGGGCCCCATGGACCGTTCATAAACCTTAACGTCACATTGTCGGAGTTGCCGGAATACTCGAGAAACCGTGAGTTCTTAAACCCTCCATCAGTAATTACGTAAGCCAAGCGAACCGCCTGGACGGCAATCCATGAGTAACAATACTTTTGCCGTATAGTAAGGCGCGTACATCGTATATGCACTTGCGCTAAGGCGCTCTGCCAGCATCTTGAGAGGCCTTCTTCAGCAGCAAGCTATTACAGATGCAGACGCACTTATTGGGCAGCTACTAGGGCTGACGATATAGCAGAAGGATTAACAACAAAAAGTATTATTCATGCGTTATGCTGCTAGTTCCTCCGACGTTGACTCGAGCGAGCGACGGCAAATCCCCATTTTGCGCACGTTGACAGCATGAGGCGATAGGAGGAGAGTGGGGCAAGACAGAGACTTCAAGGGAAATGAACCCTTAGGCAGGACAATCGTCGCCGGAAATCTGGGAGTGGTCCTTCTAGCAGCCACGGGTGAAACAGGACAACAGCAGACACTTGCGGCTTGCTCAGCGCCTTAAGGCGTAGATGGGTTAGATTGCTGTAACTACATGTCTACCTTGAGATCAAGACAGCCAACTGACCGGTAACCCAACTGACCGGTTAACGTGTCTTTAACGATAGTTAATCGGTCGGTTTGGTTAATGAACCCGGTAGTGTTGAAAACGGTCGGTAACCGACGTGTTTATGCCATAGGGCTTGGGAACCGTGCCGGTTTCTTTGCAAAGTTTGGGAGCGCTTGGAGGAGGTGTACACATGACTCGGCAATCGTGCGAGCCCTGGTCTCAGGAAAGAGGTGAATCTGGACTCGATGGGTGGAGTGCTCTCTAATGGAGGAGCACTACACTACGACTACAAACTTGGAATCAAGGCCCTTACTAATCTGTTGGCGGATGAAGCGGCAAGGGAGGGTGCAGTTTGCCCGGGCCCAGTCCCCAGTACCCATACAAGTGCATGGCCATAGTCCGCAAGGGTACTACTTTATGTTCACGTCTCCTATATATGCAAGAAACTTTAGGATTCATCCTGACCTGCCGCTGGGCAGCGCTTCACCAGGCAGGCAGCAGTATGGTGAAGTGGTATACCTGGATAACGTCCTGGCTTTCAGCAGGAGTGCCCGGCGGGTCTATGGTGCACGGGAGGCGGGGGAGGCGGCCATTCTTATTGCCCTGGCTGCTACCTAACGGGGAGCTACTTGGCGCGCGTAAAGGCAAGGGCTAATACAAGGAGAAGGTGAAGACCACGGACATCAAGGGTGTCGTATAGATTGCGTCCTCACGCGTTTGGGCGCAACAAGTGCTCAGTCCAGCCGATCCTAGGATTGGCTGGATTGAGCACTTGTCGCGCCCAATTTTAATTGGCGTTTAAACGCGGGAGGCCTCCTGCCTGCTGCCTGCCTGCCTCCTACCTACTGCCGGCCTGGCATCGCGCACGCACGGATGCCTGGACAGTTTTGTTTTATCTGCCCAGGAAATCATCTGCCCTACTGCTGTATAGTATCCTAATAAGGTGAGGTGCAAACTGTTTACCGGCGGGAAAATAAAGATCGATGCGACATCCACGCATATGCATGATGATGTGATGGACCGTAGCAACAACGTAGGGAAGCGGTCTCCGGCCGATGGAAAACGTAACAACGTTTTTATTACTGATTGCGCTTACACCCTACGGCTTCCTGGCTTGGTCCACACGATGCAGAGATTCAACATATATGCAACAGTATGCAACGTCCGGGATCTTCCTTGACACGACCCGCAAGTTGCCATCATCGTTGGAACACAATTGCAATGCTACTAAAAGATGGCAACTTGCGGGTCATATCAAGGAAGATCCTTGGCTAATAATGGATCGTCGCGTCGGCGAGGAAAATGAAACATCTTCGGGTGCTGACCGCCCAACTGCACGTAGAGCTGACGACGACGACATGACTAATTCGATCTTGCACATATAGCAGTGCGACGAGCGAGGGCCTTACGACGTTGTCGCTGTCATATACTTGCATAAAACGTACTTTTTATATATACGCATAATAAGTTCAAGCACGCGTGGTTTACCACGCTGCAAGCTGTTTATTATGTACGTCGTGATCGTGCCGCTCTTCCTGCTGATTGCGCCGCTCGCATCTTTTTCTGAGGTCTAAATCTACAGGGGTTACCTACCCTCTGTAAATGTGGTGGCCTTGCAGTATTCCCTTAGTTGCGTTCTTGCGAAGCCACAGACGGCCTGCGTGGCTGCCTTGCTTGTTCGCCTGCCGGCCCTTGGCCGTGTTGTTTGAGATGCGACTCCAGCAGCGAGTATTTCTTTTCGTGGCGCTTGTGATATGGTAAGGAAGAACTAGCATGTATTGGTAGTATATGTATGATGCGTATGCTAGGGGGTGGATAGGCTTATTATGTAAATGTTTAAGCAGTAGCCTCGTGTCACGCATTCCGGGATATTTGTCGGTATAATATTCTATGATCTATAGACACGGTCATCGTATAATGCATATAGATAGGACCGATCAATAGATCGTATATAGATTCATGGTATAGACTGGTCTATAGATATGCCATAAAAACAATAGAATGAAATTGATGGTCTGTAGGCACTACCCAATCTTACAGACGCTTTCCCAACTCGCAACGCCGTATGGACTCATGCTGCATTCAGGCGGTGAAGGATTAACGATTAACTGTCTTTCTCTCTCTTCTGCGCCCGCCTTTGACGTACATACATCGCTTTCATACACGCAGGGCCGGGTTCGCACAGATCTCGGAAGCGGCCCCAGCGGGGATTATTAATCCAGAATTCCCGTACTGCAAGTGCAAAGCAGCCCCCTCCGCTTACAAGCTCGATAACAACGCTCGTTTTCAAGGCAACAACACTTACTGCTTTACGGTGCGGGTCAGCGTTCCTGCCAACTGTACGGACTACTGCTGCAGCCGGGCGGACCTCTACAAGATGGAGGTAAAATATCTCGATTTTCGCGTATGGGCCTTATTACAGTCCCATGCATTAATTTACGTTGGCCACTCGTTGAATTCGCTTGGGTCGCTCTGCTGCTAACAGCTGGGCGGGGGACCTGATTATGGGTTGCTGTTTCCTTACGATTCACTCCATAGAGCAATTTCGTAGCTTCCATGGAATAAGCTGAGAAATTCTCCTGTGCCAGCTATATGTATACCTAGTCCCCAAACCTCCAATCCGCTGCACGTATTACCACGTGAACGGCCTTGCAGGTTGACACGAAGGCTGAGTGCCATGTTCCGGGCGTGGTGATGTCGGCCAGCCTCAACGGTGTCCGTACCCAGCGGAGACCCACCTTGGAACGTGCGCCGCAGCAAAGCACTAATCGCTCCGCCATCCTGAAGCTCACCGCGTTGGGCCTCAACCTCGCCAACACTGACGGTGCTGAGATCTGCATCACCCTCGGCACGAACAGGGCCGGCAGCGGCTGCACCACTATGGAGCAATTGTGCGCACCAAAAATGGACGACTCACGCAGCTTGTGCACCGTTGCTCTGTTCAGCAGCGATACAGACTGCTGCCCCACCGCAGGCGTTGGCCTGCCACCATCACCGCCACCACTGCCACCGCAACTTCCGCCGCCAACGCCCTTACCTCCACTATCACCGTCGCCTTCACCGCCGCCTCCGTCGCCTTCTCCGCCACCTCCGTCACCTTCCCCGCCGCCACCAGTACCTCCGCCAACGTCGACGTCACCACTGCCGCCGCCTGCTTTTCCGCATCCCCTACCTCCTACACCGCCACCACCGCCACCGTCGCTATCGTTCACGTCGCTACCACCATCACCGCCACAGTCGGCATGCGCTACGTGCGTCACCTTCAGGCTTTTTCCCAATAACGCCATCCCATACAATCTCACTAACGAGAAATGCAAGGATTACATACGCGCTGTAGTGGAACGCATCGCCGATTATGCGGCTGTCAATTACGGCGCCAATTTCACCATGACGGCAGAGGGTTGTTACAATGACAGCGCCTTTGCATGCGGTTCGATGAACAGAAACGCGATAGCTGTAGCTGCAAGCCCTGTCGGACATTTGGATGGCATAGCTATGGAATGGCTTGACATGGTGGTTCGTCCTGCCGCATCGGGACCTGACCTGTCCCCATTCACCAAATGCACGCGTCAGTTTATCAACCACACTGTCGAAGTTAATATCGGTGGCGGCCTCGGAGATGATCCACATATCTGCTTTACCGGCAACGCAAGGGCAGTCTGCAATGACCTGGTGTCTTTCCCGTCTTGCAAGTAAGCGAGAAGGACATCCCGCATTCAACGACAATGCAGGACTTGCTAATTGTAACTGTCGCGATGCGTGCAAACACTTTGATGGTATCTAATTGTGTGATGAGCGCTTTTTTTTCATGCCTTGCTATCCCCGCTGCCTGCGCTACCTACAGAACCACGCACTATCATGTCTTTAATGTCTGCATGAGCAGCTAGATGGATGGCAACCCATGCACCCAAACATCTATCGCCCTGAGCTTGAGTGGGCGTGTAGTCACCATGATGTAGGCACCACCGGGTCCGTTCTATATCTATCTCGCGCCAGCTAGGTCGAGGCTGCAGGTAGCTTCCGAGGAATGTGTTCTGACTTTGCAATTATTTGGTTGGATTGCATGCCTAATGGAATGTATTTGAGTCTTATGCTCATCCAAAACCACCCAGTTGCACAAGATTGGAACGCGCGGCACCGCTTGAGGCTGTGCCCCGTTATACGACTCGGCCAGGCCGGAAGTCTTCTACTGCTCTGCACTGCTTCTCATTTCCAAAATTTGATGCGGAGGAGGTAAGTTTATTTGTTAAATGGCCTCGTAAGATTGTCGCACACTTGCAATAATTACACGGTATCCGACGAGTTATATGTAACCGGGGTTTAGGATTTGCTTGGCACTGCTTAGGTGTCGTTGCGATCTGATAGGAGCTTAGGACGCTGCTACATAGACGTTGTCATGCCCCCTATGAATCGGTAGCGTGTAGGCAGCATCGGCGTGGAGTAGTAGCCAGCACATTAACAGCATTTACACTAGCCGCATGCGTGTATTTTGCTGTCCGCCGCCGTAACTGGAATGTAAGCAGTCCGCATGGTATTACGGATTAGTGCGTTCTGACAAGGGCATCTTCGTCTGTAATTATTTAATCGTTATAGATCGTGCCCTGTCGTATTAGATAGGGACGGTCCCTATCTAATGCACCGGGGCTCGATCTATTAATCAGTAAATTTTCGTACAGACGTGCGTGCGCGCGGGTACATGATGTTATACGCTTCGTAGACCTACATACCCTGCTGCATAGTACTGAGCGAGATGATGTATGGGGCTCTGCGGTTGATGCTCATTCCCTTTTGAATGAGCAGGCGGCGGCGTCCTGCGCCAACTTCACCACCTTGCACAAGATTGAGTTCTGGGCCAACGAGACTCTGCGGCGTCACCTGAAATACATTGGTGTCAGACCCGGCGACGCCCGTGACATGACGTTCCGAAGTCCATCGTGGGGCCCGACTGGCAGCAACACTGCAAAGGCGACGTCTCTGGACTGGACATTTCAACAGGCGTACGGCGCCGAGATTTGCCTGGAGCTTCAGAGCAACATTTTGCTCAACGAGTTCTGCCAGGGTCCCAGGTTCAATTACTGCTATTTGGCTATCCTTGACATGGCTTCAAAGTGTTGCCCTATCTACGCTGTTGCCATAACTGATGATGCCCTGCTGGGGAGTTCGAAATGAAGCTGATATCCGACGGATGACAGCGGAAAAGGCATCAGGCCCTCATGACGGTCAACATGTTGTCGGCTGAGCATTACGTGTGCATGCATATCCATATATAGCTGCACCATGGGTTAGGCAGGAAAGCCAGTAATTGCATGAACGGACCCGTCTGTTTTGGCCGCCGCCCTTTCTATCTATTGCGAAGGCGTCTAGGTGAACCTGCACCATACGGGAATTGATGTGTGTGTGTGTGTTGCATGGTTGGGTGTGTGTGTTGCATGGTTGTGTGTGTGTGTGTGTGTTGCATGGTTGGGGGTGTGTGATCCCATACTACCCATACGAGTCGAAGGCCCAAGGGCAAGACCTGAACGCCTAAAAGCCACGGAAAAAGGAAATACCGCACTAGCAGGAGAAGAGAAAAACCTAGCGCCCAAAGGGGCGGAATTGATGTGGCGGAGTACAGGACGTTTGCTTACCTACTGACTTATTCCCATAGCAGAGCTTCGGAAGCTATGCAAGTACGCTATCTGTACGGCATGTCTTGAATCTCAATGCGATCGATAGAGCACGTGCGTGCATGCTGCAGTTTACACACTAACACAGTTCATGTGCGTGCGTGTGTGATGGCTGCTGCCTACACGTCTGTAGATCATATGTGTGTAGTAAAGCATTATAAATGGATGGGCCTTTGGTAGCCGTCGTCTGCGCAATAATGTAGGCCCATTAATGCACAGATGGGCAGAGTCGGGTACTATCCTAATTAAGCTTCCATTCGTAGAAGCTGGCCGCTGAAAAGGCCTCGTGATATGCTGGTCAAGCACTTCGCGTGTATTTATAGATGGTATGTGTGCCGTACTGTGTACCAGGTATTACGTCATTCCACGAGTTTCACCTCGACTGCCCATGGCTGCTGCTCCCGCTGCCTTCCCAACGCCTGCATGGTTTGCAGGGGAGGGGAGACAAGAGGGGAAAACTGGTTGAGATTTGTTGCCGAGACGATAACACAACTGTGTTCAATATTACATGGTGAAGCAGATTCTCCGTTTCTGGAACCGCCTTCAAAAGCAAGTGGGATCCATTGCTCATGCAGTTTTACGGCAGGAGATAACCGATGCCCTGACCAACCCGGAATGGGAGGGTTGGGGAATCTCAATGTTACGACTGTTTTCCTTCTTGGAGTGCAACATTTGGAG